GTACCCCTACTATCTAGCTCTATACTACTAGGTTCGTTATTATCGTACCTAGTATAACTATCCTTCTAAGATTAGGTTTTAGAAGGTAGTTTAACTACTAAATCTTTAGTAGTTTAGGCTAGGCTATACCCTGTACTAACTCTATTAATATAGCTAGTAAGATAGAGCCTTAGCTGAAGGTAACCCTCTATTTAAAGGAAGAAGCCCGATCTCTGGAAGTCTAGAGCTATAATAGTAGACCCTATAGGGCCTTTTAACATTTCCCGGTCCAAATAGCCTCCGGCCTTATAGTGCCGGATCCCACTAAATAGATTAATATCTATAGAGGGTATATAGAGGGCCTTATTAAGGACCAACTCTAAGTATTTCGGGGGACTCTTCTAGACTAGTACTTTAAACTTTATAGTTCTAATACCTTTAGGTTTTATAGGGCTACTACCTATATAAATAGGTGGTATTTAACTAGTATTTTTAGTAAAACTAGTAAATTATTTCCTATTATTTATAATATAGTCTGTAGAACTAGTATTATAGAGTAGAGCATTAGAGGTAACCTAGTAGCTATAGTGATCTTTATAGGCTGGCTTCGAAGATTTCCTACTAGTTGGTTTAGTAGAAGATTTTAAGGTCTGGTAGGTAGTATTAAAGAAAGAACGTAGTTCTTCAATATCTAAATTGGATTTAGAACTACTATCTTCGCTACTATTACTATAGTACCCTATAGTAATATTGTATGCCCCTATAATATAGGTAAAGGAATCGGGCTAGGTACTGTGGTTCGAACTGGAATTTGAACCCTGACCTTTCTTCTTCTTCTTCTTTTAGCCGTTTTAACTACTATTCCCACTACTACCGTTAGTATTTTGTTAGCTTTAGGGACCCTTTTTCCCCTGTTTTTTAGGGCCTTTATAGGGGCCTTTAGCACCCTTATTTTCGCTATAGGCTCTATTAGCTATACTCTTATTGGTAGTAGAGGCCGGAATTCTATGCTCTTCTAGGAGGTTGGCTATTAAGAAGCTCAAATTCAGGTTTTCAGTACCTTGGCCAACTATCCTCAGGGCCTGCATTTGACTGCGTTGCCGTTCAGCCTACTGTGGGAAGGCTTTTTCTATAGCCTTTAAATAGTGGTTTACTTGGTCTATAGGCTGAATTTCAACCCCATTTAGAGTTAGCCTACTGGCTAAGTTGGAAAATTCAGCGTTGAAATCCGCTAAAGAACTACTAAATTTACTAAAATCCAGCTTATAGAACTTCCTATATAGTTGGTCCCACTGAATTCTAATAGAGTGTAAATACCGTAGTATTAGAAGCCTATAGGCCGCTATAGGGTCTGTTTACTAGGCTATAGCAGCCTATAGCCTAGGGCCTATACTATTCTGTAATAGTATTAGAAGTAGAGCTAATGTTTGGTTGTTACCCCTTATAAATCCCTCTGGGTTAGAAGGAAAGGTAGGTATACCGATAGCCCTAAATATAATATTTAGGCTCTGTTTCCAGATATCGAAGTTATCTAGCCCTGTAAGACGTAGATTTTTAGGGAAATCGTATACCTTTCTTAACAGTTCTTTTACTAACCTACTGTTTAAATTGTCTTACAGTATAGTAGGTTATAGGGTAGGGCTTAGAGATACTATATTTAGTAGTAGTACTGTATAAGGTGGTACTACTAGTGGCTCCGGAGGGCCCTGGCTAGTATTACGGGCCTATTGGGCCTGTAAAGTGGCCTTTACTCTATTTTCTACTTTAGAAGCAATAGCTTCTGTAAGCTGCTATTCAGTAGGTATCTGGGGCCGTTGTTATTGTTAAATAGTAAACTATTGTAAACTATCTGTTAATATAGCTATAGTAGTATGTAGTTGTGCCATTTGGGTAGCCTAGGCCTCTAATCGGGTTTATAACTCCTCTATTTGGGCTTAGGGGCTCCTAGCACCCCTAGGCTATGCTATAGTACCTCTGTATAGGCTCGTAGGCTATAGCGGCTATACTAGTTACTATAGGCTAGTAAATACTATCCTATTACTACCTTCGCTATAGTTATAGGGCCTATACTACTATATAGATCTAGGACTTCAACGGTATAAAATACCGGGTTATATTCTATACTATAACTATAGTAAGTTTTTACACACTACTAGCTTTAATATAGTGTAACTACTATTCGCTCTTATAGTAGTAGTCTAGTTACCTAGACCAATAACCTTACAGTAGGTTGTTAGAGCCTTAAGTTCTACTTAGTACAGCTCTTAGAGGTCCTTATTTTACATAGTTTAACTACAACTACTAGCTATAGCAGTAGTTAGTACCTTAAGGTACTACTTTTTACCTACTTACTAGAATCGGTAGAACTAAAACAGTTGATTAGACTGTTAGGAAGGCCTATAAATATAGTACCTTCAGTGAGTGTAATAACCCCTAGCTTTCGAAGTTAAGCTAGATTTTTCTATCTCTTTGAGAAAACCAATGTTTCGGGCTTTATTAGAAAAGTTAAAATATAGGCTCCTAGAAGCTCTATATTAACTATCAGCTATCTAGTATAGTTGACGACCTTGTACTAGGAGGTCTATCTATAGGTTAAAGTTCCTATAGTAGTTTCTAGCTTGGAGAAACAAAGAATTCAGGGATTCCAAGCTATAAACAGTAGAAACAGGCTAAGCTTATAGCGTTTAAAGGCTCTAAATTACAGGGTAATTTATAAGCCTATAGCTGGAAATAGTACTTTTCCGGGCTCATAACCTATTGAGATTTAGATAGGTAAGGCCCTATAGTATATATACTAACAGGGCTTATAATATACTTTAAGGAAGTAATATATAGTACTATTACTTAGCTACTAGCAGTAATTACAGGGCTAAGGCCCTATAATAGTAGTTAATTTAGTAGATAAACCACTATTATTTTAGAAATACCTCTATATTTACTATCTTAACCACTAGAGTTGGATTTACTACTTCCTTCTCATATACCTACCAACCAGGGTACAGTGCCGAATTCGGCCTAGCGGTCTTAGTAGTAAAAAGCTAAATCCTGCAAAACTTATTTATATAGGTTTGACTAAAAATAGGCTCACCTACTCACAGCTATACCCAGAAGTGTCCGGACCTACTTACACTACTACTTTAAAAACCGGTATAGGGTAGGCCAGTTAGGGCTAAGCGGTACAGAGTAGGCCGCTTAGGAGCTAACTACAGTATAGGGTAGGTCGCTTAGGATGCTAAGCGGTATAGGGTAGGCCAGTTGGGAACAACCGGGTGTAGGGTAGCTCGCTTGGGAAACCCAGGTGCAGGGTAGGTGCAGGGTAGCTTGATTTGGGAGAAACCAACACTTAGTGAAAAGAAGAACTAACCTTCTTCAAACTAAGATAACTAGCTACCCAGTAATCGTACCGATATAACCAAAATACCAGTATATAGCTACAGGCTATACGAATTCAATTACAGTACTGTAGAGCCCCCAGATAGCTACAGTACTAGTAATCTAAACTCTAGGGTTTAATAAGGGTATACCCTATATAGATCTAGATATAGTTAGGTAGCTATCTAGTTATAAGTTTTAGTATCTATATGATTATAGTATAGATAAGGAATAGTTTATTATAAGGTAGTTCCTTAGATATCCTACCCTTATTATTGTTAAGTATAATTAAGACCTTTAGATCTTCTCTCTTAGGCTTTATAAGAGAGGTTATATTTCTAGTTTATTTAAAGGACTTATATATAGCTATAGGCTCTGCCTAGCAGGATCGGCTACTACTATATAAGGTTATAGTAACCTAGAAAGCTACTTATATAAGTTTAGAATCTAGTATTAAGGGTATACTAATTACTAAAGGATACTATTAGGCCGGTATTAATATAGTCTATCTTTCTCTAATAAACTAAATTTTATTAGAGTCTTTCTAGATACTTTTAAGTTAGTATAGAGCTACTATACTAATATTAGTAAAGATCTATATATTAAAGAGATAAAACATTTAATTAATATATTTATATACTTTTTAATATATATCTATCTAGTATAGTCCCTCCAATATATTAAAGGTATTATCTAACCCTAAAGCTAATATTAATATAATAAGTTTAAATCGGTTAAGTTAAGCCTATATATTGTTAACTGCCTTATCGATATAGGCTTAGATAGTTAAGTCTATTTAAGTAGTAGCCTTCACTAGGTTCAGCGGTAGCACTTTCATAAACGTTACACTCTTATTCCACTTATTATACTACAGGTTAGTTACTATAGGGGGGTCTGCAGGCCGGGTAAAGGCTATAGCAGTCGATACAGGTTGCAGTAACGCCCTCAGCGGCGTTATTGGAGTACTGCCGGCCATTGTCGCCTTCTCGCAACGAGGCCGGATTGCCCTAAAGATTGGGGGATGTTAAGGTTTTAGCGGTTGTTACTATGGGGGGTACTAACAGAGGGTGCCAAGAAAAAAATTTTCAAGGAGAAGGTGTATGTACCTACTTGAAGTACTCGGTAAGCACTATAATACGCGGCACGTCGCGGTTGTGAAACACCGGGTCCCGCTGCGGCTCGCGGACCAGGATCCGAACCTCGAATCGCGTAATCTTTGCTGAGTATTCGTACCTACCTAGGTAATCAATCATTCGATGATGTCGTCCCACCAAATCACCAAGCTTGCGAGCCATGTCCTTTGATGTCGCCCAGGGAAGCAGACTACGAGGATGAGGTACACTAATTTCAAGTTACACTTCGACGCTTTAAATACAAACTGTCTGATTCTGATTATAGGGGGAGGGACAAATGCAGGACTCTGCGAACTAGAGCGACTGATTCCAAAACCGGCTTGGATAATTTTATTCGGCTAGAAATTCAACCCAGAACTCCACCTGTATAGGTACCAAACCAAGAAGCAGTGGCTATACTACCTGTATAAAAGTGTAGTACCCAAGTAACAAACAGCATGCTTGCTTCGCCGCCCAAGCCCGGAACCCCCGAACCACTGCCCGCACCGAACCGCCATCCACCCGGCTTCCGGTTGTCTAGCGCTGCGCCCCGGATCCCCCGCCGTTTGTCTTGGTATTCGTCGTTTTCGTACCGCTTCCGGTAGTAGTCGTGGTCGTCCTTTTAGCCGGCCCGCCGCTTGTAGTAGCAGTGGTAGTCTTTACAGGGGCTTTTGCAGCAGTAGTCTTTGTGGTGGTAGAGGTAGCCGTAGTGGAAGCGTTGGTGCCCGTCGGTCTCTGGGGAGCCGCGCCGGCGGTGGTAGTGGGCTTTGGGGCGGTAGTAGTGGTAGTAGCGGCAGCCTTTTGGGGAGCGGGCGCGCTGCTGCTGCTGCTGCTGCCCTCGGGCATGGAGGCGACGCGCTCTTGGGCGCCGACCTGGACCAGGATGCGCTTGAAGTGGAGGCCCTTGGCCTCGAGGGCCTCCATGTGGCTGCCGTCGATGGCGCCGAGCTGGACGGTGCCGAGCGTGTCGTCGTCCGTGTACGGCTCCCAGATGGCCGGCAGCCGCGTCGCCTTGCCCAGCTTGATGGTCGGGCCGATGACCTGCTCGATCCGCGCCTTCGCGCTCATCGTGGCCTGGTCGAAGGCGATGAGATAGCTGTACTTCCTGTCCGCGCCCGGCAGCTCCTTCAGCCAGTTCGTTTCCATTAGCGAGTCCTTCATCGCCTCGTCCGCCGCGTCCGGGTCGGGGCCGGACATGTTGAGCGGTTTATCGGTGCCCCCCGAGCTTGATGCGGAAGGGTTTGCCTGAGGGTTGGTGCGTGCCGGGGTGTTGGTCTGAGCGGTGGTGCGTGCCGGAGTGTTTGTCTGAGCGGTGGTGCGTGCCGGAGTGTTTGTCTGAGCGGTGGTGCGTGCCGGCGTGTTTCCTTGAGGGGCAGTACGTGCCGGCGTGTTTCCTTGAGGGGCGGTGCGTGCCGGAGTGTTTGTTGAAGCAGTGCTGCGTGCCGAACCCGTTGGGGCCGCGGGCGCTGCCCTGCCGCCCGCGGGGCCTCTCTGGTTTCCATTTCCGGAAGACATGGTTGTTTGTGGAACTTGGTTGAGTATGGGTTGGAGAGTGGGAACTGAACGGATAAGAAAACGCAAAGTTTTCGCCGCAAAATCTATGGTCACCGATGTGGTAGATCGGTGGTTGAGGAATTAAGATCCGGACTATGGTTAAAGCTCGGACTTTAGAACTTGAATGACCCCGAGCACTTGGTACTGGGAGGATCCTCAACCTCTTATACTCCGGGACACGGTGACCGAGGAAGCAGGTTAGTGGAAAGGAGCCGGCTGGAGGCGGTGTTGGCATGTAGAGGTAATCCTGCAGCCCATTCCACAGCCCCGTAGTAGTCGAGATATCAGACTCCCCACATAACCACGGCGGCACAGCAAGACCATGGTGTGAAACAAGCGGCCGCTTAATCCAACATGACATGGATCCGACGATCCGGCTCCTGCCCTTGGTGTACGGATCGGTAGGAACGATATGTTGCTCATATCCGGTGACCATGATTCTTACCCCCAGACGTCGAGCTTACGAAAGCAGATGAGGCCATTCCCTCACGAGATATGAACAAGCTGCGCCTCCGTGTAAGGGCCCGGGGTTGGCGAGAGGATCCTATATGCAACCCTAACCCTTCGTCATACCCCCTTTTTCAGACTGCTGGTACAGTACTGCGACTCCCAGCAAGACCGCCCGTATCTGAACAGGCACAAGATTGCAGACTGAGTTTCAAGTCTGTTTCCTACATATCTGCCTAACCCAACCATCGTCTTAGAGAATTGGGGAGGATGGTGCCAATGTTGACAGGGTTAGGGTCATGTATGAGAGAAGGCCCCTTGGCAGACTCGTGGAGGATCGGCTTACGGTCTGACATAGTCCGAGGGAAGTAACTATGTAACAATAGCGGGGTCGTGGGCTTTTGGGATTCAAATCTGACAAACCGGGCCCGGCGGAGGCCAGTGGCAGCGGCGGGTGTACGATGTTTAAGGGGGATGAGGAGATGAGCAACACTATGGCCAGTGTCTCCGGTCTTGATCCCCTAGAGTCCCAGAGCCCCGGGACCTCAACTATGAAGGAGTGAAGGAGCTCATGGTCAGCCTAACCCGCGATCCGGACATTGGCTATCCCAAGGTTGGCCATGCCCATCCCACTACGCCACCATAAGCAGTAGTAGACGGTCTGATCCTCCTCGTCGAGAGCGAGGCATGGCCTCATGTCTGAGGAATAACGGCGGCCACTTCGGGAGACCTCGTGCCGCCGCATGGATTTGTGATTCCCATGTTCCCATCCTGTTTCGAGAAACCCGGGGCTAGCAACGCGCAAGTTCCCCGTATAAAGACGTGTTTCCTCTCCCCAGGTTACAGGTAGCCAAGATATTCATACAGTACCTACGTCCTCACCCCATCTTTTCGCCTCGACACTGGTTGTTGTAGGCTGTTCTACTCCCCAAGCAGAGACATCCTATCTATTTGCCTCTCCCCCGTCCCTCCTCGCGCGGTGGCCCGCACTCCAGATCTTCTTTTGCCCGTTATCCCTTCGACATGCCCCCCAATGGCCAACGCGGTGCGGGTTCGGGTACCAGGAGTACTGCGGATCCCATGCGCAGCCGCCCCCCTAGCTCTGCTGCCCCAGCGCCCCTCCCCGTGAAGAACCCATGGTTTGGCATCGAGATCGAGATCTTCGTCAAGGTTAGGGATAGCGTCAAAAAGAACATCGAAGAAAAGCTCAGGAATGGGAAGAAGGTGGCGTCCCATTGGGAGAAATGGCAGTGGGATCTCTCCAATGCCGAAGGCAACCGCGACCACCGCGACAAGAAGGAGAAGCAACGCGAATACGTGGGCCAAGCCATCATGGAGATCCTTGATAAGACCCTGGATCGGAAGCACGGCTGGACATGCACGGCCGACGCGAGCTTGAAAGAATACAAGCTGGAGCTGCCCCCCGACCCCCGCAAATGGTGTAAGTGGGCCCTCACGATCCCTACTGCTATCGGGTAGTTACTAGCAGGTAGTTGCCACCGGGAGGGAAGACCTGGCTAACGGACGGCGCAGGGGGTATCGAGATCATCTCACCTCCATTGTCCTCGAGCAGCGACTGGCAGGCCGCGATAGAGCTGGTTTTCAAATCCATCACGGATACTTTCAACCTCTGGACCAACGATTTCTGCGCCTGCCACGTGCACGTCTCGCAGGGCCTGGGCAAGAAGGCCGCGTACAACCTCGAGCAACTGATTCAGATCGCCAAGGGCGCCTTCTATTGGGAGGATGCCTTGAGACAACTCTTGCCGGCGGAGCGGAGAAACAACAGGTATGCGCTCGCCAACTGGCGCTGTTTTGCGATGGACGAGTATATGAAGGTGCCCCAGGCCGGCTGGTTGCCCGTGTGGCGAAAGATCGAGTACGCGGGACGGCCAGGGACTAAGGAGGCCCAGTTCGCCAAGAGGATGACGGTCGCAGAGGGCGACCCCAACGCGAATCCCAGGTACAGGTCGACCAGCTTCGACCCCTATGAGAGTATCAACACCGTCGAGCTCCGCCGCCAGGCCGGAGTCGCCTCGGCCAAGACGGCCATCCGCCGCGTGCTTCTGGCCCTCACCTTGAATGTCGCCTCCTTGGAGTTCGACTTCGACGTAGTTGGTCCCAGCTACCCAACGGCAGAGAGCCTGATCAACGAGTTATTCTATACTCTAAACAGGAGGCTCTCCGGAGCGTGCCAAGGCGCGGCGTTCAAGACCTGGCTTCAGGATTGCCATAGGAACTACACCTATGATGATATGGAGAGGAGGTTCAATGAGGTGGAGATCAACGAGCGAGAGAAGAACTACCGCCTCTACGGCCAGGCCACCGTAAGTGTACCTCTCCATCCCCGTTCCGGCTTTCCCCTTTCAACTGACCCGGGGTCCGTCCTTACCTATTCACAGAACCCTAACGCCGCTCCCCGGCCCTCTTCGGCCGCCTCCAACGGGAGGTCCGTGGCGTCGGGGACTACCACCACCCTCCCGACGCGGACCGCGCCCTCGACCACGCGAAATGTCATTGTTGTCGAGACCCAGGGCGGCGCCTATGTTCCGCAGACTGTCAACTACAGTCGGCAGTATACCATGGACGACGTGAGGTACGGCGGGCCCAGCAGAGACTACTCGCGCTGATTCGGACATGATCCGAGGTGGTTGGGTCAAGCATCAAGGTTTTCTTCCCATACCCGCAGCAGGGGGTGGGGGGATAGAAGGGCAAGCGCTGGTCCGGCACAGTGGTCCGGTACGGTGACTCGTCTGCTGATTGGGGCTGGTTCCCTGGCTGGGGGGCGGTGTCGTCTAGCGTGATAGATTGAAATTGAATGGTATTAGGAGTTTGGGGTTTTGGGCTTATCTACCTACCTACCTAGGTAGGTACCCATACACTCGTTAGATGTGACCTTGATCCTGCTGTACTGCCAGTAGTAGCTCACTGTTATATTGACTCGTTAATCAACAAAGTGTCTGTCTGTGAACCATGCTAATTAGGTACATGTAGTGATTGATTTAATATCCAAACCTCAACATCCTCCATTTCACGTTTGATTTGTTAACGACACGAATTCGGTACCGGGTCCAGGTTTCGAGTCTCGTTTCACGAGCTCCCGAGTCGGGTCCTAGTATAAAAGTCACGGTAACACAAGCACACTCCAGCTCCGGAAATGGTCACATTTGGCACCAATCACCCACCCGGAGGTCTAAATGTGCATATGTGCGCATGTGAGAGTTAGCGGGTTATGAACCAAAAAATCCCTATCTCAATCGTTCGTCACTCATCCTTCATCGAGCATGTGTGCATGTGCAACTTCTGTGGGTGTAAGTGCTGTTTCTCGTCGAAATTGGCCAGGACCGTTGGCGCTGTCTCACTGCACGTTTCCTGTCTGACCAGGGTGTCTGCAGGTCACGGTTAGCTTCCCCGAAACCCTGTTTCACGATGCGGGCGCGCACATGGCAGCTGATCATTGGCCTGATCGGGGAAGCGCCCGTCGAATCCGAGAAACCGGTCGGGGCCGCCAGGGGGGCTGTCCGATGCAGGCAAACACGGCAAACCGGCAGAAAATCCGGATTTCGTTTGTGCGCAAAATTTTGCTTGAAAAGCACTGGCAAGAGAAGCAAAGTGCCGCGTTCCTGCAGGTGCCAACCTGAGTTTGCCCCTCAGCAGGACTCCGTACCTGCATTCGGGATCGGAGCTGCCCACGATTGGCGGGATGCTTGACAAGCGGGTAAATGTGGGGCCCGATATTGCGAGCCCACCAAGTTGGTTCCGAGTCGTCTGAATGCCCCACAAAGAAGGGGTCGGTCAAGCGCCAGCTGTTGCAGCGCCGTGTCGGAGGATTTGTTTCGATTTTCGAAATCGCTCACAGGAGAAATCCTTGACCCTTGGCAGGTCATGCTTTTGACTGCAGATTGTGTGCAAGGAGAGGAACGAATCGATGGAAGGGGTTGGGTGGGGCGATTGGGTTGACAGCTGCATCGTCTGATCTCACTGCATCTGATGAACCAAGTTGTGTGCTCCGTCAGCCCTGAAAAAGCTGGGACGATGAGCGGTTTTGCTTGTTGGTGGCCCGGGTACCATCCATTCTTTTGAGAAACAAAACACCTCAGGCCTTCCCCGAGCAAAAGGAGAGAGGCACGGCGGAAATGAGTCCGGATGACTTGTCTCGAGCCTGCCAACCTTTGCCACGAGCTTACGGTGACGAGTATAGCAATATATTGTAATAATCGTGTGCCTTGTGTACTACCCCAAGCTTGTATTTTTGTGACAAGGTGTGCCGTCCGGTTCCGTCACTGCGGCCCAGGCACCCAGTTCATTTGTTCCTGACAGGAGTGTGCCCGGTTTCTCCACTCCATCCTGCAGGCACTTTCGTCCCACCACGGTCCAGAACCCCGCGTCAAGCACCCCCTGCCTTGGCCGTTTTCCCTGGGTTCCTTCCTTCCACGATCTGACCATCCCGGCCTCTCCCGCTTTCTTATAAGTCCCAAACCTCACTCCTTCCCGCATCTTCACGATGCCTGTTTGATTCTGGTTTCCTTTCTCACCCACGCTCCCGGGCCTTCCATTCCCTTCCTTTCTAGCAACCGTTTGTTTTCTTTCCATTTCTCCTCGACTGGCTGCGAGCTTCAGCCGTCGTACAACCACCGAATCTTTGGCGCCTTCTGGTCACGGCTGCAGTCATTCAAGTTGTCCCACTCGGACTTGCAAATTCGCATCATTCCTTCTGCGTCTTTGACAGACAGCGACACAAACCTACCGGTAACGCCACCTCGGCCCCCGAATTCACCTTCATTTACCCATTGTGGCCTGGAGCAACCGACACGTATCTAGAGATACTTACACCCTTCCGTTCCTTCCTCGCTTTGTCGTGCTGGCCATCCTTTCGAACTCTTGCACTTCTTTCCAATAACTACGACCCGACAGCGATCGAGCCATCATTCATTGATCAAGACCTTACCAATCTCATCGATTTTGACTAAATCAGTCAAACATCCAACTACGGCTTGACCGCCCCCCTAACATCAGCAAGATGTATACCAAGACCCTTGTCACGCTGGTGGCAGCCACCTTTCTAGGCCAAGCCATTGCTATCCCCCGTGGTCAAGGCTTTCGCCACGCGCACCAGAAGAAGGCCCTTGTCACGGAGCGGGTGACCGTCACAGACTGGGTCACCGTCACTGTCTACGAGGGTGACGAGACCAAGACCAGCCCCAAGGTCTTTTACACCCAATCTCGCAAGTCCAGGCCCCAGTCCAGCACCGAGAGCACCACGACCTCCGATCCGGTACCGTCTCCGGTTGTTCCAACCACCATCGTTGTTCAAGTCACATCTACCATTGTTGCTCCCGAGCAGAACACCCCACCGGCCGTCGAGGCTATCCCGTCTCCGAGCACCACTTCCGAGGTGGTTGTCGTCAACACCCCGCCTCCCCCACCACCGGCGCCTTCTTCCACTGCGCAACCTGCCCCGCCTCCCGCCCCTGTTCCTATCCCCATCCCCGTTCCTATTGTTGGGGACAACAACGGAAACGATGGCAGCGGCGATGACACTGGTAGCAACGACGGCAATAACGGAAACACCGGTGCCGGCGTCAAGCGTGGCCTCGTATACAACAACCCCCAGTTGCTGAAGTCCCTTCTGAACGCTGGAACTAAGGTCTCCTGGGCTTATAACTGGGCCCAGTACGACGACTCGGACACAGACCTCGAGTTCTGCCCCATGCTCTGGGGCCTGAAGCTTGATTTTCCCCAAGTGTGGCCCGGAAATGCCCAAAAGGCGATCGATGCGGGATCCCGATGCCTGCTCAGCTTCAACGAGCCTGAGCTCGAGAGCCAGGCCAACATGTCACCGGAGCTTACCGCCGAAAAGCACATTGAGCTCATGAATCCCTTTTCGGGCAAGGCTCTCATTGGTTCTCCGGCCATCACCAACGGTGGTGGGCCTGACCATGGTATCCAGTGGTTGCAGCGTTTCTTCAATGCTTGTGGTGGCAATTGCGCTGTGGATTTCCTCAACATCCATATCTACGGCGTCGATACCAACACATTCCTCACTCATCTGCGTGACGTGCATACCGCCTTCAACATGCCCGTTTGGATCACCGAGTTCGCCTTTGATGGCTCCGACGACGAGATTAACGCGCAACTCGAGACGGTCATTGACCAGATCGAGACCAACGCGACGTACTCCTTTGTTGAGCGCTACTCGTACTTCATGGTTCAGGATGGCACCATGGTCAAGGGCAATACACCCAGCGTTTACGGCAACACCTTTGCCTACGGAGCTTAAGATGGCGCCCAGCCGCCTTTTGCTTCTATGACAGCATTTCGATTCTACACCCCAGTTTCATGGCTACGCCTGGAAGGACTTTTTAACCTCTGTCTAGATCCCCATGGGCAGACTAGCAGAGGAGGACATCTTTGGCCATCAGCTTTCTGCTACAGCTTTGCTTCATTTCACCTGTACATATTTGACCACTTTTACTTCTTCTTTTCACTCGTTTCCTGTCCACCGAGGCAGTGATTTGGTTTGATGTTTTCATTTTTTGTACGATTTTCAAGGTCAACGGTCAAGGTACATGTGATTTGGCGATGGCGTAGGCAATACCGACCGAGCCGGTACACGGATGGACATGGCACACAATCATCTAGATGGATCGGGTTAGATTCATGAGCTATGAAACGGATATCAAAATAGCCCGCAGCATCTGTTTGTGTTTGACGTGATGTCCGTGTGGTGGCAATGCCACTCGAGCACATATTTCTTGGACATGCCACCATGTAGACATGGCTCGGTGTCTAGACAAAGGAATGGCAAACTTGCTTGCGAGACAGCTTTTAAGACATGAACTCGAGTCAGCTATACTCGACCCGTTGGCGGCGAGGCCATCATGGCCCGACCTCACCGCTCATACGTCTCAGGAATCGCGGACGTCTCCCACTTCTGGAATTTCACATCCGGGAAGGCGACAACACGTGAGTACTTGCCGCCCACATGTGAAGAGAACTGATGCCATGACTTGACTTGAACCCATCTTGATATTTCTTTTCTGCCTACGTACACCTAGTTTCCAACCATACCTAATAAACAAAGCCAACACCCTCTCCAGATCCCCAACCAAACCGTTTCGAAAACCCATATCGTATTATCCAAACCGATCTAACCCTCCCTCCCAAACCCCCTATTAATCCAAATTTTAACCCACCTGAACTCCTCTAGCCGCACCCCCCCTTCTCTCCCTCCCCCAACCCATCCACCCCCAGAACCCATTACTAATTACCCATTAACTCCTACCCCAGGAATCAAAACAGGTCAGAGCAGGTCAGAGCAGAGCAGAGTACAGTACAGGAGAGCAGCACCTACCGCCACCCCCTCCCCCGCCCCCTCTGCCTCCCCATCCCTCCCCCCACCCCGGCCCCAGAACCGGCCCCAGAGCTAGAGCCAGAACCAGAACCAATAACCACCTCGTTCCCCAGCCTCAGCCCCAATCCTTCTGCCTCATCATCCTGATGACCAAGCGCCGCGGTGGCGGCGGCGGCGGTGGTGGTGGTGGTGGTCGTCGTCGTCGTCGTCCCGTAGTCGATGTCCACGCGCACTTCCGACGGAGCTCGGTTGCGGAGGGTGGGTGTTGGCGCTGGGATCGGGGTTGGGGTTGGGGTTGGGGTGGGAGGGTGGTGGCGGTGTGGGTGGAGGTGGTGAGGGTGGTTGTGGTTGTGGGGATGGTTGTGGTTGCGAGGGTGGTTGTGGTTGTGAGGATGGTTGTGGTTGTGAGGATGGTTATGAGGTGGAGGGGTGCCGCCGTGTCGGGATGTGGGTGTGGAGAGCGGGCGGTGGAGGGAGGCGCGGTGGGTGGTGTCACTTCTGTTTCTTCCGGCTGCTTCGGGGGTGAGGATGCTGAATGGTGTGTTGTGCGTGCCCTCTCGCTCGTGGAGCGTGCTGCTAGTGGTTGTGGTTGTGCTGGTGGTTGTGCGGGGTGAGGTGTTGCCGTCTCCATCGCCGTCCCCGTCGCCGTCGTCATCACCCCCCGAGGAGGAGGAGGGGGTGCCGGACATCTTGGCCGCGTCGTCGACCATGATTGCCTCGGCTTCCGTGCTCAGGGAGAGGTGGGATCTGCGCGTGGTCTTGGACTTGGTAGCGGCTGGGCTCTTGTCGTCGTCTTCGTCCGAGAGACGCATGTGTCGGGCTATGCGGTGCGGGATGGCACCTAGCTCGTTGTCTTGCCCCCCTAGCCCGCAGCCACAAGCGTTATGGTTGTTGGGGTTGGGAGTCCCGGAGGAGGGTAGGGTGTCGTCGGAGGGGTGTGGGCTGGTGGTGCTGTCTCGGGAGGTGACCCAGTGGATCACGGCTGCGCTGAATAGGACTGGATAAATGCACAAGCGGGGAGTCGTTAGTTAGCGACGGGCCTTTAAGGGGTAGGGAAACGCACTGTCGCTATTGCAACACATCAGGCACACCCAACCTGGCTCGCCATTCAAACCTACGAGGACAGAGAGGTTGCTGCTAGGGGGTTAGTTGCGTGTAAGAAGGTTTGGGTGGAGGTGTGGCGTACACTATGCTGCTGGTTAGGGTGCAGATGCAGCCGATAAAAGTCCTCGTGGCCATGGTTTTAAGTCGTCGGCTACCAGGAGCCCGATCGAAGTTCTTGTAGGAGTAGAGGCCTGCAAAACTTTAGCGGGTTATTCAGAGACTGTAGGTAACAGAAACAAACCCGAGAGCGGTTTTAGAAAGATTATGGTCAGGTAGACCTGGGACAGTTAGCAAACAGAGATACCGGGCTTAACGAGGCGACTTACGTTGACGAGAAGGTCAAAGACTATAAGGGGTATCATTGCCGGTCTCTGCATGCCAATGATGCACTCACCATTCTCTACTCGCGCGAACCGTCTGAACATCGGTGTAAGAGTTGTGGCAATTCTAAAGACCGTGACTGTGGACTTACAACACAAAGTTTGGCACGACCACCAAGCAGTATGCCCCTGGTGGTGGGTGGTTAGCGAATTCTAACGGCGCAAAGGGGGCCTCTGTGCTCCTCCTACCAATCATGCCGAACGAGTTGAAGATGTAAAGTTTGGACTTAAGCCTCGGCTTCTTGTTGCTCGATCGTATTATGTACTACTCGGCGTCAGCTGAATAGTGCTGGCGGCGAATGCTGTGGGTCTTACCGCTTTCTCTACCAAGAACAGGTATATGAGCTATATGGGAGTCAGTTGTGCTTCTGGTAATCTTGACTTCTGGAGCCCGAGTCGGAGTACCGACGATCTATGCGCGGAAACTGTCAGTATCCTTCCTACAGACGAACTCTGGGGAGGAACAAACTTACCTTGGTTGTCACATAGCACACTAGACAGAGCAAAATGGCAGTTTCGCAAGCTGCGCCCGAGTACCCGGCGCCAAAGCCAAACTGAAGCACGGCGGTGGCAAAAACAAACATGAAGGAGTCGGTTGTAGATGGCAAAGACGACTGAATAATTCCACTATCAGTATGGGACGCATAATGGGAACGAGAGGGTTAGATGACGCACGCCATTGTACAAATGGGAGTTGTTTCCAGGTCTTGATTGCGAGATATCTTTGGGCTAAACGACATCGCCGTCCCCGGTCAGCAAACCCATATCCGGACGACTTCAAGAGCGGGTTGCCATCATACTCGTGAAGCCGGAGAGAGCCGAAATTGACAGCATCGATAGCGCAACACTGATCACCAAGCCCGAGAGTGGCTCGCTGCTTCCGTGGGTTGGCTCATGTCGTGGGGCGAGAGGAGACACATTTGGGGCCATGGGCTTGGAGCCCTAGGGGGCCAAGAGGGAGAGGGAGTGGCCAATGGAGGGCCCGGAAGTGATCTACAACCGGCCTTGAAGCACTCTTGGAGATAGACACGCGGTAGAATCGTAGGATGGATGTTGAAAAGGACTATTTTTTCCAACCCAAGATCGCTTTTCCCATCGCCTTCGTCACCGAGCGGTGAGCCCCGGACCAAAACACACGCGCACCACGCCAGACATACGAGCCCGATAATTTGCCAACATGGTATGGGGCAGATAAAGGCGCAAACGTGCAGTTTGGCTGAGCTGAAGCCGGCGGGAAGCGGCAGGCCGAGTCCAATCTTGCTATCCGAGTCCCAGACATGGGGAATTCCTGAGCCAAACGAAGGGCGCCGGGCAGGTAAGTCAACGCCACCCAGCTGCAAGTTACCGGAGGCTGTCGTTTGTCAGCCCGCCCATCTGCTTGGCGCCTTGATCAAACACTCGCCTGGCTCACGGGGAGGCATGAGGGCTTGCAGGATGGGGTGATACGAACCAAACTGTTTCGATTTCGAGGATTGTTCCTTGCGGACTTTTTGGCGAAGACGCGGGGGAGTATGAGCTGTCTCGAGGGCCTGTTTGTGGTTAAGGCTTAGAGGAACTGAAGGATGTGAAAGAGAATAAAAAGAAACATATCGAGTACACCGGGCAGCAGATAGAAAGTAACACGCCTGGTGTACGGATAGCCAGCTAGCGTACTGCGAGTCATCGGTGTGGCTTGATCTGGAGGGGAATATCCATACATTATTTCTTTTTTTATCCCTCGCGTCTTCGATAACGTTGCTTTCCCGAGACATCAGGATGCACCAACAGGGAGGCCTTGCTTCTCGATGGCGCTACTGTGATTGTGGGATGGAAACCATCACTTGCATTGACAGATCTGATAAATCAGATTCGCGACGAGTCGACCCCGCTCCAACCACGCATCCTCGAGCATCGTCATGTTCGAATCGACGCAGGCATCATGCGTTCGTCTTGAGAAACCGGAACCCCCACGGCCTGTGAGAGGCTGGCAACATGGAAGCCACCGAGTGGCCGAGCTTGAACTTAACAGGACAATGGATGCAATGCACTGATGCGCGAATGCTTTTTGTGACTGACGGCAGGGGGAAAAGAAAACAAAAAAAAAGGAGCGCGGTTCAACCTCAACCCTCCGGTGGTAAGAAGGACCTGACACAATCAGAAAGAGCGTCTGGGAAGAGTGAAGAATGAGCTGCCATGGCAGTGCCAAAATTGCAGTGCAAACGGCGAGAGACGGGATGAGGAGGCAAGAGCCAGCCGTCCGGTCTCATTCAAACAGGCTTAGCGTCCATCCCAGGGCCCTTGCAATAACCCCGGCGGCGATCAGTCCGGGGTTCTCTTGGCATTTTGCATCACGCCCCGGTTCGCAGCGCGAGATCTGCGATGGCATGGTGGGCCTCAATGCATCGCGGATTGCGGCCTGGTACCGAGCTCCGGGTTCTCCCATCACGTTGAGAACTTAACGCGGATTTTATGCTCAGCGGTTAAATGTAAATCGGGACCTCACACCTTCAGTTTCACCAAGAGTTTCACCCCAGTACCCTGTCGAGCCACCTTGCGGCAACACTCAAAGGTCGTGATTGAGAGCAGGAAGCCAGGATAGAGGACCGAGTACGGACGTATCACAACCTTGTCTGCTTTTTCCCCGACCTGTCCTACGCTAAGAATGAGTATGGTGAACAATGTGCGACCCCACAAATCCCAACGCTTCCATCAACCACACGAGAGACATGTCACCACCCGGGAGCTGCGGGGACATCCATAACTGTGCGCAATACAAACTTCAACAATTTATATATGTGTTTACGTGATCCCCGCCATAGTAAAGAACGTCTCTCCCTGTTCTCTTGCCAATAACAACTCGAACCTCCCACAAATGCCTCCCAGCGCAACTGTCCTTTCCTGGGTGAACAACCAACCACTAGATCATATCCCCTACAATAGTGTATACACATTCTGGTGTTGAACCCCTTACAAGAACAAAAACAAATAAAGATTACAAGCCAAACCCAACCGCTCCAAAAAGCAAAGTTGCACCCTGTAAATGCTGTGTCGGTCGGTACCCAAATAACCATAAGCCGAACCGAACCAAATCCAACCGAACCAAACCAAACCAAACCATACAGCAAGAAAAAAAAAACAATCAGCCAGCCTCCCAAACGCCAGCGTCTAGCCCAGACGGTACCTTATCCTCACAACCTGCAGTCACCGCCCGAACCGTAATCCCTTCCATCCTTACTCCACCCCTCAAGATGACGCAAACCCCCAAAGCCCGAAATAATACCAGCCAGCAGCATTAACCATTCATATTACACCTGTGTTCTCCATCCATCTGGCCGACCGGAAACGGGGTCAGGTTTCGCAAAAGTAACGGGTATCTCAAACTGTGAAAAAGAAAAAAAGAAGTCAAAACAAAATGGGGAAAGAATGGAGGAAGCGTGGCTGGCAGGTCAGTTTTCAAGAACCCCTTCTCTCACCGGCCGCCGTGTCCGGTGCCGTTCCCTCTCCTGCCCTCTCTCCCGCCCTCTCTCCCGTCCCCTCTCCCGTCCCCTCTGCCGTCGTCCCCTCCCCCGCACCACCACCACCCTCCCCCGCCGCGCCCGTATCCCTCGGAGCCCCCACCCTACTAAACGAGACACGCCAACTGGGCGCGCGGGGGGGCGCGACGCCGGCCGGGTCCGTTCCGTCGGCCGGGGCCGTGTTCGGTTCGCGTTGCTGCTGGTGCTGCTGGTGCTGCTGGTGCTGCTGCTGCTGCTGCTGCTGCTGCTGCTGGTGCGAGCGGTGCCGCCGCAGGATCTCGATGCGCTCTTCGATCGACGACGCGTGCCGCAGGCGGTGCAGGTCGAGGAAGCGGAAGGAGCGCCTGCGTTGCTGCGGCGTGGTGGTGGTGGTGATGGTGGTGGTGGTGTTGGTGTTGGCGGTGGTGGTGGTGTTGGTGGTGTTGGTGTTGTCGTGCTCATTCTGGTTTGCGGTTGCTGTGGTGGGCGAGCTGGGCGGGGAGGAGCTGCTGTGGCTGGAGTTGCGGGCTCGGCGGCTTTGCGGGTGTAGGTCGAGGCGGCTGTGGATGGGGGGAGGGGGGATGTTAGCGGTGTTGAGAGTGGTGTGGGTGGTGGGTGGTGGGTGGGTGAGGGCTTACCATAGTGGGCAGGTTCCGGAGATGTTGACCAGCCAGGGGTCGATGCAGGGTGGGTGGAACTTGTGGTTGCATGGCAGGACCCGGACGTCCTCGCCTAGAGTGAAGTCTTCTGTGCAGATGGAACAGCCGAGATGTCCCTCCTCCGGGCTCTCAGCGGGTTTGTTCCCGTCTTTTTGATCGGTTTCGTTGCTTGTTGGTGCAGGCACTACCTCGGGTTTAGGCATTGCGCCCGACATTGGCGCGACGCTCCGCCGGGCCTGCGGCGACTGCGGCTCTTCCGGAATCGCCGATAACCTTGTTCCCATGGTCGGATCCGGTGCGGTTGCTGAATGCTGAGACTCGAGCTCGAGAGACTTCGACGGGCCAGGGTCACCAAATTTCACAATCGGCAGTGTCTCCAGCACGGCCCGAGCCAGCCCCTTTACCCTACTCTGCGATGGCCGCCCGCCGGCGCCTGACAGTGGGCCATATCGCTCGGGGTACCGGTGCGCCCGGATCGCCCCCGTCCCGATGATAACCAAGAAGAGTAGCGTGATGAGGCCCGTTATGCTGTAAAGGATGCTCATAGCAACCGCCGAGTTGCTCCCGCGTTGCCCCGGGTTGTCAGGCTCCGGTCTAGTCGTCATATTCTCGGCACCCGTAATCGTCGCGCGCAAGACCCCACCAGCTCGGACGGTGGTATTCATGGTGTCCCGCGCCTCGTTCGGGTTGCCCATGGTGTAAATGGAGTTGTAGACCAGATCGTCGCCCTCGAGGCTGCACGAGGTTCCGTCCACGCTATAGAGCAAAATCGCCTGGGGCTGGTCACCCATGATTTGGTTGACCATTACAGTCGCATCCTCGCCGTCGCAACTGAAGAACACTATTGTTTCCTCGTTCATCAGCCGGGCATCAGCCAAAACTTCGGCCGGGACCAAACTCCCGCGGAACCAAATAGACTGCCGGCGCATCAGCAACAGCAACTTTCTATTGTAAGAAAAAAAGAAAAGAAAAGGCGAGCCTCACGCTTCTGTCACTCCGGTTCAGCCCCGCGGGTTCCGTGAGAGGGTAAACGCTGTAAGTGAGTCGCAAGGCCTCCGTCTCCGGGGCGGTAAGCTCGAGGTGCATGAGTGAGTTTAGCTCCAACTCAGTCACCTCGGATGCCGGTGCTATCCTCGCGTCCTCGGCGCGGACCCCGAAAGGGGCCGAGAGGAGGGACACGAGGAACAAGCACCCGAGCGAGGCCATCTTTCCCAACACCTGCGACGGTCGACGTCGCTGCGGGCGGAAGTAGAGGCAGGATGGCGAGAGTGGGTTTGTGTGCCGATTTCAAGTCGGGGCGGGGATGGTGGGATGCCGGCGGAAGTGGGTGTGTGGCAGAGGAGAAGACGGAAATGGTGGTTGGGACAAGAGTTGTTTGGTAGACCAGATCTCACATTGCACGTCGGCCAGCCGGGAAAGTCTCCATGCTGGGGCTGCCTGGTGGCGCTCGTCCTTGGTTTCTTCGATTCCTGATCGACGGCGTAAGGCGTATGCTAAGAGGCGGGGTGGCTCGGGTGATAACCCCGGGTGGGTTGACGGCCTCGGATGCTCGGGCAGAACAAAGACGCGCTTGGTCGAGCCAGTCGGAAGAGGTCTAGTCAACGTGGCCAAGTTGCGGAATGCGGAAAGGTATGAGTTGAAGTGTGGTGGTATGGAGGTAGGTATTCTGTTGGCGGGGTACTGTTCGTTCACCTGAGCTGCGTACTGTGTATTGAAGAGAAACCGAATCCGCGTTGGCCGGATATCCCGGATGACACAGCCCTCTCAGACTCAACTAAAATCGGTCACACTCAAAATCCCACAGCGTATCCATATGCACCCCCTGCCGCCTCATGTGAGATGGCGCACTGTAACAATAAGGTGGTAGCTTGGGTTATCACCTTGGAGGTCGGCATCAACCAAGCTGGATGGACGTTGTCAGACGGATCGCATACGGAGTAGACGTGTGGGGAAATGGAGCATGCACAGAGGAGTAACTTACACTACTAGTACACTCAGCTGGGCAAAGGATGGGGTTGTAGTGGATCGGTGGACAGAGCGTTTGGGATATGTTTTAGTGCTTGCGGGTACTTAAAGCATGGAACGGGTAAGCCCTGTGCCCAAGCCCTGAGGATTGCATCATAAGAGGCATGCGGGGTAGGTATCCCAGCGTCTCGGAGGAGGTGATCTTATTACATCATCGCAACGCCGTCCTCCGAATGTTCTACAAGAAGGATGTTGCCGACACCGAGTTAGCGTGGTCATCATGATTGGCTTTTGTCCGCATAGATGGGATGGCAGTTAAACGACGAAGGTACATCTACTGTGTACTGCGTAGGTAGTGAACTTCCTCGGCCTTTGTTCAGCTGAGGCTCTTCGCTGGTGGGTCTTTGTTGCATTTCCCGGATTCGGCTCATCGTTGGCACTTGACAGGTCTGTGACAGCGGTCCAGCGAAACACACCGTTTTGGTTCGGAGATTTTCTCGGGACGCTGGCAGCCGAGCTCAGGGATCGTCCATCAACGTCTCAGATGCTGAGCGCAGCTCTCCAGGTTGCTAACAGGGAACTTCAAGAGCGTGGTAGCCAATAGGTAACGTGCCCTGTTGTGTTACTTTCTGTGGACGAATCACCCCTGAAGCCCGAGAAAAGAGGCGGGCATGGCCATTTGGTAATGTAGAAAACAACTGGAGCTGCCATACGCGTCCACAAGGGACTTGGTCGGTTTAAATGTGGGTTAGATATATCGTGCGAGCTCGAGATCATTGGGGCCGTTCAGGGTAACAAGTCGTGCCGAGTAGCGTGGTATTGGCGAGAGACGGGACATCACACAGGGGGTGTTACAGCACAACATCCTTGCAGCAACACCGGCAGGTGCGGCTAAATGACAGTCACGGTACTGATGTGCTCGCTTGTTTGTGTTCTCCGAGGCTTGGTGTTTGTCAAGACTGTGTATTGTGGAGGTCGCGGTTGTTTCACTGCCCATGTGTGCGGCCAAGCTCGCGTCGCTTCTCGGACCACATAAAGGAAGGGGGCCACCATTTTGACAGGGTGGAACTGCGCAACAGTCTGCTCCGGGTGGCTTGTCAGATGGATACCAGGCGGTCAATTGGTGGTTGCTGTGCCCAAGCTTACCTTGTATGCACAGACCGAGATGAGAGCAGGCAATTGCGCATGAGAAAGACTTAAAGGCAGGCCGGGGAGCATCAAGCGTTGCGGCAACCAACAATGTGGGGATTGGGGTGACGCCACGCATTATAACGCTTCCATTGTGCAGGCAACCGCGCCGGTGACCGACCGCTCAAATCTCCTCCATGTCTTCGAGGTCATTCAGCGCTGGGAAGTCGCCAACCTCAACCCGCTCCGGGCGAACGAACACGCCGTGCTTGAGTTGCGATTCTTCGCCCCAGTAGCGGGAGCCACCAATGCTCCCATCGTTCTTGCCAACTGGCTCATCCAGGTGGACGCCGACCCAAGCACCCAGGCCGGGGATTTCCTTCACATCGCCCACATACTTGATTTCCCCCCGTCTAGAGTCGTCTTCGCCGACCTGGCAGCGCTTTCCCACGGCGATGCCCCTGGCTTCGATCTCTTGAGAAATGGCGGTTATCTTTGCTTGCTCATGATTCGCAGCGTTAGGGTCGAAACGCCCCAGCTTCTCCGTCTTCTTCCAGGCGAGGACAGAATCCGCTTTCTTTTCGTATTCCTCCTCGGGCAACACGTACTTCTCAACACCGGCCGTGCTTGAGAAGTTGGGCCTTGCGGAGGCGGGTCTCGTGTCGACGATCTGGCATATTTGATTAACCTCCCACTTTCCACCTAGACCCCCTTGATCTTCCATTAAGATAGCGACGTGATGTGCCCGGGGGTTGAAGTCAGGATATACGAACCAGCAACTCGGCATAAGGGGTGAGGGGAAACTGCTGTAGATAAACCGACTCCTCGTCTGGAGCCTCGACCGCAATCTTTTCACTGGATGACGTCTTGAGAAAGATCTGCTGGCACGAGGGGGGGATGCCGGTAATGGGTTCAAGCTTGGTCTTGAGCTGCGATATGGACCACGACGGAGTAATCCGTCTCTCGGCGGAGGCGTAGTCAGAGACCACATAGAGAGGAACGTCTGCCATAGTTGAAGCTCGGGGTGTTGATAAGTTGATAAGAACTGGATTGATGAAGGATGTTCTCGTTGTTTGGTGGAGGGAAATTGTAGAGACCGATTGCAAGACGTAGCACGTTGTGAGCCGAGTGAATTAGTAAACTGAGAGAAAGGAGTCGAAAGTATTCGTAACCGGCGCTCGCTTGCTAGGACTGCCCCTGTCGCGATTTTCACGATGTGTGGGAGGAAGTTATTCACGATTAAAATACTCCCAATCCTCTAGTTGTATTTTGAAATGCAAAGATCTTGTTGACATGGAGGGAGGGTTCTAGGGTTCTGAGGTTCCCTCTCATCGCAACTGCCTCAACTGTGTGTGTGGGGTTGTTGCCTGACGTCTGTGGAGAGGAGAGTTACGCCGCATCGCTATACCACCAGCCACAGTGCCATCCCGGGTGGTGGCTGTGCTAGTTGTGCCTTCCATCTCGGGCGCGCAATTTCACATCACAAACCTTCTGTTTCATTCTTTCCCTTCTGGCATTTTCAAACTTCTCAATCATTGCCAAAACCGCAATGACCAATCTCCTAACCCAAACAATGCATCGTATATTGCAACAAACCTGACCCATGCGGCCTCCCGACGCCAACACACAATCTGGCGCCCCGGTACGGGAACTGACAGGACTCGAATGTTCTCCCGCGGAGCTTCCAATCATTCAGGTCCTGCCCGTTTGCAGCCTCACCAGACACCGTCCCATTGGAGATGTTCCAAAGCACCATCGGCTTGAGGCATCTCGGCATCGATGCGGTCAGACCCCAGATCCCGCCGCAAGCTGAAAGTCAAACGGCCCTGCAGATCACTATTGGCTTGACCCTCAACAATGATGCTGGACTCGTCCACGCGTCCGACGGCCTCCCGTCATTGACTATCGATGCCCGAAGCCGAGGCGGAGACTCCATACCAGCCGGTACGAGCCGCCCGTGTCCGCCTTAACCCCATACACATACAAACGGAACGGCTGGACAATGGATGGATGCAGCATCTGACAAGTCATCCATCCATTGCCTTGCCCTTGCCCCGTTGCAACTGCTGATAGTTGAGGCGGCCGCGCGAGGCCTGTACCCGAGATAAGCATCCCATTGTCTCGACTGTCCACTAACACGCTCTTCCTCCATTTTCCTCTGCAAAATGTATCCCTTCGCGAGTCACCGCTCTGCCATGCATGCAATTGACCGCTCAGAAAGTCCTGCATATCCAGGCAGCGCCGTCCATTTGACAATGAAGCTCGCCTCCTCCCACAGCGTCGTAACCGAAAAAAAGAGGCTTTCTCCTCGTCGCCTCGTCCTCACTTAGCCACGCATTTGTCAAGTATGACAGGGACATGGGCTCGAAACAAGTGTCAGGCCAGGGACGACATGCATGCTTGCTACCCAAGATCTGTTCCTGTGTCATTCACCGCCACGTTGGTTCGTTCGACAAGATCCTGTGACGTTGTTGACAGTTTTCTGACGTGGGCGGGAGATGACATGATGGCCAGGGCCAAGGGTCGAACCTCCTGGGCGTGTCTTTATTCGCAGTGCAATCAGTGTCACTCATCGGTTTCGGAGACGCCGGAATGGGGATGTCTGCGCGAAGTCCAATCCTCTTTCTGCTCCCACACGTGGTTTTGAAACCTTGTTACCGGCCCGCCACAACCTGGAGCAACAACGGACACAAGTTCACAAAAATTGAACGGATGGCGCCGCCAAGGCGAACGAAGCCCGCCAAGACCAACACATCGCCCACAGCTAGCCGAGGACGGGCAGCGATAAGCATTCGCCTTGGCCTCAGGGAGCCGGCGGTCTTGACCATCCAATAACTCATCTCCTGCGTGAAGAAAGCGATCGAACCGCCTTGATCTGGCGGTGGCTGGAACGGTTCCCATAGGCTCAAAGGCGCCCGCCCTGGCAGAGAGGGCAAAAACGTCGACGTACATGAGGTTCGTCTCACTTGACTTGGCAGCTGTTGAGCTTGACGAACGGCCCACAGACGAAACAGAACGCGCCAAACCGACACCTTCCGCGCTGTTGAACGCATAACTCAAGGTTAGCGAACGTCACCGCGCGGGCGACGGAAAAGCAACCATGAGAAACCCACCATCCCCCGCCCGTTTGCTCCAGACTAGTTTCAAGCGGCCTCCAGGTTTATCGGACGGCTTCTTGCCGCCTTCCCTGTCGCGGATCGCCCTTGCTGCCGTTCCCACCTCGGCGTAGGGCCAGATGAGGTCATGAAGTCCACGTATTTGCGAGGGCCATATCACCGGAGACGTTGGATGACAACGCAGAATCAGCACCCGCCAGTCCCATGCTGCGGTTTTAACCCCCCCCCCTGGAAGGCGCGGTCTCGCCGCGCATGCGAACCCCCCACGACAACATAAGTTGAGGGAGGCTGAGCATGTTCTGTCAGCTCTATCTTGACCACCGTCCAATTGTCATTGGGTTGTTTGATGCCCTCGGTGGTCTGATGGCCCGTTGGTCCGTGGGTTGAGACAAGCATCTCAACCGAGGGCGGGCAAAAGCATGCTCTCAACCATGAAGTGTAAAGTCCTGGTTCACCAGTGAGTGGAGCACTCTGCGGCCGGGGAATTCTTCGAACGCAAGAACCCAAAAACGGAAACGCGATTCATGATCGCCTTTCCGGCATGCTACCATAATAACCCTGATCCTCACTGATGCGGGGAAGAAATCCATGCAAGCTGACCGCCAGTTCGTCGGCAGAAAGAAACCTGGCTGGTCTGGCCATCTCGTCGCTGGATAGAAACCGACGGTTTCAGCCGACCGAGGGTTTCCGACAACGCAGACGCTGACAATCCATTATGTGGACATTCATTGTTCAGCCATCGCCGTCCAGGTCAGGGACATGTGACAAAGGATTGTTGTGATCCGGCATTGGTTCCGGAGCCGCACAGACATCGGATCAAGCTTTCAAGCTCGGCAACAAGTGCTCGATTCCGATCCCTCGCTGCACCGGCGCCTCGCCGCTGCCGCCCTGCCACTTCCGCGGCCGGGCGACTGAAGAGAGCGAGAGGTGCGGGTCAAGTTCGGTCGATGTTACGATGTTAGGGCATTTGCCCCCCGTTGGTCCATGCAAGTAATGCGTCGAGCATCTCTCTAGCCCCTCCTGTGCAGCTTGACAGGGGTTGGTCGCATTGAGGAGGAGGAGAGACAGGTTCATGTCGTTATTTGCGCACGGGGGTTCAAAAAAAACAAGCAGAGATCCTCCCAACGTGCCATCGCGATGGCGCTCGCCAGATCGGGTAGGCGGCTGGGATCTTGGTGATGGGACAGGGTTGAGATCTCAAACCCGATTTGTGACCCGGGCGACGGTGTGAGCCGAAGGACGTCTGTTTCTGGATGGCTAAGTCGCGGATCGAAGCGAGCCTCCTCCATCCCGCTCTTCTATCTTGACCCCAGCACGAGCCTCCCCAAAGGATCGATCACCTCCTCTATCCTTCCTGTATGCATTGTTCGCCCGCCAAATTTAGCCCTTTTTCTTGTTCCAGATGCCAAATATGGGCTTGCAACAACTCGACAACGGCGCCGGAACTCTGAACAGCATGATGCTACCAAGGAACAACCGGGCCGCCGGGCTGTCGGGGCAGAAAAATCTCAAATCGAGGCATGGACCACGAGTTGGCTCGCCCCCTTCCACCGTTCGCAAATCCCCCCTCCCGTCAGTGGCGGTTTCGAACCCATGGGGCACTCTCTTTTTCGTCCTGGCCACTCATTCGTTGCCGTCCTGCTCTCCGTCGTCTCCACGTTACTAGGACTCTTCGCCGCCGGACCCGACGAGGATAATGCTTGAAGACAATGCCGATGTAGCGTTGACTTGGCCAACGCCTTGCCATTCTTTGACGCCACCAGTTCTTCATGCAGCAGGTACCGTCCATTCCAACCTCCAAAGCGGCGCACGACAGGCTACCGATTGCGTTTGCTACTTCGTGGGGAAAGTAGAGAATACAGGCCGGTCGAGCCCAACGGCAGTCAGCCACCGCGGATTGCAACCCGATCCTCTCGCAAGGGACCCTTTCGGCGTTGAGGACGCCAACCTCCCTCCCATGTTCCGATCATGGATCCACCAATCTATCGGACTGAACGCGACTCACGCAGACCAGCATTAAAGCATGATACACTCACCCCGTAGCCACCAGGTATGCTCCCGGCCGGCATCCCGCAAGGCGAGCTTCAATCTGTCAATCCGTGGTGTTCGATTTGAAGCTGTCATCGCCTCCGGAGCCTCCCCCCCCCCCCCCCGGCAACTAGACGCCCCGCGCCAGATCACACAAATATCGTAAAGAAGCCCACAGGTAAAGAACCCGGTGCTGCTTCGCAGAACAGGGTACATAGCCACCGTATGACTAGCTGTCTGGGCGGTGCGGTTCATGTGGCCGTGAACGTCTGGACCGGATCCGCGAACAGCACTTTTTGGTTCTTCCCATCTCTGGAACGAACACGCGGCGTGGGAAGGCCAATGCTGTTATCGGCGCTTGACCTTACCCTGCTACAACCCTCGGACGCTAGCAGAAACTGTATTGTTGCTTACCGAGCCATGACGGTTGTCTTCCCGGGAATCGCCCGTTTCCCCTAGCACATCTCTCCAAGAAAAAAACGAAAGCGTTTGGCGGGCATGGGGGCTGCTGCATTGTACATCCGGACCCCCCTGGCAATACTACCACTCACCAGTTACTACCGAAGCCCTATGCAAGCCCGGGGCCCGATTGCCTAGCACAGCATCCTACACCCAAGCCCTGAACCCACATCTACTTGTTCTGTTTCCTCCCGCTCCACAATTATACGCTCGCTCCCTGCTCACACCCCTCGTGGTATGCCCAGCAGGTCCTCTGCCGTTGCCATCTCTATATGGCATGCAACTAGTTCTGCACACTCCCGTTCTAAGGTCTTCTTCATCTTTAAGTCTTTCCTCCTCCCGGTCGTCTCTAGCTTCGTGTTCCCTCGAACCCCGGTTCAGTCCCCCACCCCTCCTCACCACCCCCGACAGGCACGGCGTCATCGAGATATCCCGGCCCCCTTCTGCTCCAAGCTCCTTCCCTGCTGCTCACCTCTTTCTCCAGTTGGCGATTCTGGAGAGGAGGGAAACAACTCCCCTCAAGCCGCAGGAATCCGCCAACCTCGCCTGACCGACGTATCCATCCGCGAGCACCCCTTGTCTCCATTGCCTACTTTTCTTCTGCTCATCTTGTCACGTTCATTGGTGGAACGCTCCCCTTGAAGAACCAATCATCATGTTAAAGACCACCCTGGATATACGGGCCACGCCTTCTTGAGGAAAGACAACTCCAGTAGTCCCATCTAAAAGGGACCCTCGCTCCTTCTTTGGACAGACGGCCCCCCTTTTAGCACCGTCCACCCTCGACAGGAACGACAGGAACACCCGTCCCTAGCACCCAGGGATCACGGACACCGTTTACCCATTGCACCTGACTTCAACCACCTTGCGCTCCGAGTCCGATTCCTCGCCTAGCTCGCCCGAGTGACCACACTTGGTCCGCCCTGCTGACGTTTCACCCGGATAGCTAGTACGTACCTTGCGCGCGTCGACATCGCTTGAGCCACGAAGACTTACCATATTCAGACGAAGGACGAGACACGATACCGGATCCTTGGCCTAACCGAGCGGGACAAGAACTTTCGAGCCCCGTGGGACACCATCTAACTTGACACCATCTAACCCACTACGCGGCACAGAGGGACAGCTCTCCACCAAGACGCACGACCTTGCGTGCCTATGCCACATCTGCCCTTCTAGGCTAAACCCGGCGAGATAGAGCCCATCGTGGATATCGCCTCCCTTCTCCAGGACGACTCAAATGAGTCCGCCGTGTCCCCCGCCCAACAAACACCATCTAGCACGGTCCCAGTATCCGCAGCGGCAACGGCATCTACGAGCGGCCCGTCGCCGGCATCCTTCGCCGTAGCAACCGGCCCGTTGTCACCCCGATCTGGCGCCGCGGCCGGGACCGGAAGCAGAGCGCCGAGCATCTCGGGTCCAACATCAAGCTCAAGGATAAACTCCCGTCCTGGGAGCGGTGGCGGGAAGCGCAGCATGCCGCCGCACACGTTCGAGTCGCCTGCGAAGAAGCAGAGCAAGTGGTCGTCCCAGGAGGATTCCCTCATCATAGAACTCAGGGGCAGCGGCATGAAATGGGACGACATTTCGAAGCGGCTCCCGGGCCGGAGCTCTATCAGCTGTCGCCTTCATTACCAGAACTACCTGGAACGGCGCAGTGAATGGGACGAGGAGCGCAAAAACAAACTCGCTAGGCTTTACGAAAGGTAAGCACCGCCAACGGGAGCCCCCCTGGACATCACTAACACCCCCCTCCTCCCAGGTTCAAACCTGAAATATGGGCCAAGGTAGCCGAAGAGATGCAAGTCCCCTGGCGAGCCGCTGAGGCAATGCACTGGCAGCTAGGCGAGGCCGAGATGGCTCGGCGGGCTGGAGTCGTTCCATTTTCGCTGAACGTAGCGTCAAACGAGCCACAAGGCTCGATGACGCAGCGAATCTCCCCGACCCGTGGTGGCCACGCTCACTCGCAGTCCCAAGGCAGCATGCCACGCGACTTCTCCGGCCTACCATCACCACGCTACACCCGGGGACCCCCAGGTCCCGGCCCCGGCCCCGGCCCGCCCTCCCACCAAATCCCACCCTTAATCCCCCCGCCGACCCCGACCTCCATCGGAAGCCGTCCCCTTTCCTCCCGGCGCGAGAGCCTCCCGCGCGGGCCCTTCGGCCCCCCCCTCTCAGACACAGGCGACTACGGCTACGGCCTAGCGCCCATCCAAACCAGCGGCTCCTCCTTCGGCCACAGCCGCGGCTCCATCGGCAGCGGCGGCGGCGGGCTCCCCGGCGTCGCGGAGCTGACTACGGGCATCAGCCCCTACAGCACGCCGGCCTACGCCCAGGGGGGCGGCAGCGGCGGCGGCGGCAGCGGCATCCCACCCCCGCCCCCGACCCCGTCCCACCCCTACCACCACCACCACTCCTCCCAGCAGCAGCAGCAACCGCACCAACACCACCACCAACACCACCAGTACCAACCCAGCACCGCGACCAGCCCGATCCATAGCAGCGCGACGGCCAGTCCGGGCCCGGGGGTACCAGGCGGCGGCGGCGGCGGCGGCGGCCTGCTGCCCGCGCTGTCTCCATACCCACAGCACGAGCCGGCGCCCCCGGGGCCAGGGCCAGGGCCAGGGCATGGGAAGCGGCGGGCAAGTCCGCCTGACCACAGGTTTGGCAGCCGCGAGACCAGCCGCCGGAGACAGCACCTGTACTCTTCGTCATCGGCGGCGGCTAGGGATGGGGCGAGGGACGAATACCCCCCGCCGCCACCCCCACCGCCGCCGCAGCAGCAGCCGTCGTCGGTTTTTGAGATGGGGGCGGGGATGGTGCCGGCGAGGAGGGTGGCTAGGCATGGGATTTGATGATTTGATGTGGGAGGTTTTTTTTGGGTTTGTTTGCCTATGCTTTTGTTTCTTTTCTTTTGTTTTGGTTTCTTTTTGAAAGAAAGAAAATCATCATGGGTTACGCATTTACGAGAGCGATGGGATTCGGGTTGGGCATGGGTATGGGGCATGGCCATGGATATGGATATGGATATGGATATGGATATGGACATTTACGGGATACGACGGATGGGACAGAGGGACGAACGACTACCTGAAACGACGGCAAAAGAGGAGCAACAGCAACAGCACCATCATCGCCATTCTTTCGATTTATTCCCTTGCCTACACGGAACCATCCACGACAACAGCACGCGGCGGCGAAACGCGGACGGCTATCTGTACTTTCAGCTACTACTCTGCTTCCCTTTCCTTCTTTGGGGTAAAGAGTCCCCCGGCTTTTGGTGGGCGAGAACCCCCCCTTTGCTTCTACGCCTGTCGTTTCTCAATTCCATTCCATTGAAAGACCTTTTTCTCTCTCAAGTCACATCAAAGATCTCGTGTTACACGGCGTCTGCTGAGCTAAGTGGTACGGTACCAAGGGGCAAAAAAGCAAAAAGTCTAGACCGGTTTCTTGTTTGTTGGTCACGACGGCGAGCGGGCAAAAAATGGGGGGCGGCAGGGGCGCCAATGGAGTTTACTTTGGACGTTTACCAGGGGCTGGTGTGTGATTCAGGGGCAGCGGCCCGCTTGAAACAGCCGTTGTTCCTTCTATTGGGCTGGGTTACGAGACAGGGAATCGTGTGGGGGATAACAGAACCGATGAGGCATACGCGGAGAGCATGGATCATCAAGCCCAATGGGCGGTAGTCAAAGAACCCGATAGACAGACTACCGAATGAGATGAGATGCAGCAGTCACAACAAGCGAAGGGGGGCGTCTGCATTCGTGAGAGAGACTAGAGCGGTCCAGGGGAGAGGCAGCCGATACCAGTTACAAACAGTATTTGCTTCGGCCCAGGATGTACTTTCAGATTAGGCCTCATTGTTGACCCTGGGGGACCGGCTCATTGGCAGCAACCACCCACCAGTTGTCTCTCTCGTAGCCGCTGGAAACGACAACACCCCCTGCCGCCAGCACATCCTCTTCCAGCTCGCCTTTGCGGTAGAGGTGGTAGTAACGCTGAAAGACGGGGTCGGTGTGGCTAAGTGGCGTCCCTGGTTCGGCAGGGCCAGCTGGTGTTGGTGAAGGCGGTGTTTCACCGCCCTTATCGACGGCATCACCGCCACCAATGGCTTGGTTTTGGGCTAGGGCCCTTTTCTGCGGCTTCTGCTGCTTCGGCTGCTTCTGTTGGGACTTCAAGACCCACGGCACCAGCAAATCCTGCTCGCCGCCCTCGTCCCATCCGCGTCGGCTTGCGTTCTGCTCCAGCGCCCAAACGTAGACGAGGACCTGGCCCCCTGTCTGCCCGACCTCTCCCAACCTGACACATCGCAGCAGCTGCCGGATCGCTTCTTGCCGCCTTGCCCGCGTCGACATGTGGTGGATGACGGCCACGCAGATGACGAAGTCTGCAGCACGCTCACGGAAGGGTAGCAAAAGCCCGTCAGCCACGAGAACGTCAGTGGCCACCACGGCGCCACCGGCTTCCCCGCCTGTTCCTGCCTCGGCCGCATTACCCTGTTGAGCTTGGAGCTGCATGCAACGGTCCCTGGCAAGCGCGATGAGCGATGGGCTCCGATCAGAGCCCAGCATGAAGACGTCGGGGTTCACGCCCAGGTACTTGCCATTGCCGCAGCCCACATCGAGCCCAACGGCGCCGGCTGCCCGAGAGCGCAGGAACGACCCCACGGCAGGCCAAGGCTTGTAGCGAGTGGCCGAGAAGTGCGGGGCGATCGCCTCGTAGACGCCGTGGACGTGTGTCCGCTCGTAAGCCTCGGCCTCTGCTTCGGCCGCTGTTGGTTCAGTCCCAGTCCCCGTCTCGGTACCGGCGGTGGGGGCGGCTGTTAGTTTGGCAACCGCATCAGCCGCCGAAGAGGACGGCAGGGCCGATGGCGTGGCGGACGACGAAGCCATGGTAACGATACCTCGGGCAGCCCTCCCGCTCCTGCTTCTGGGTCGGGCAACGGTCGCGATGAGGTCCTGCTTCCCTGAGGCCCAACTTGGCGTGGCGCACAGCGCGGTGGCCAGATAACCGCGGGCCGAGCAGGGGAACGAGGGACACAGCCAAGCGAACTGAGGATTGGTCGTTTCCTGTGCTCGTCAAGTCAGGCCGCAGAGTTCTTCACACACCGCTGCGTCACACCTGCCGGCCTAGTCGAAGGACGTGGAAAATTCCAGATTCCTGGTGCGCCTTCTTTTGGTGTGTTCTTGACCGCTGTTCTTTGTTAGCGCATGAAAGAGCGGAGAAGGGTGTATTCGAAATGTAGCGGTCGAGAAGACATGAGCTAGGGGACTGCCACGACTTGCAGATATGTACCACGCATATTGCACTTGCCGTAGTGTGTCCCTCGATGTGCGCATGTGGGAGTCCCGAGGATGCAGAGACAGGGGGAGAACCCAGTTCCCGACCGCCCGATCCGATCCGATCCCATCATCCGCCCGCGCAGAATCGGAAGAGAGACAATGGCATCCTAGGGGGTCTGCCAACTGGAGGGGTAAAAAGGGTAAAGCATGGTTCCTTGCCAAATCTGTGATGTGCAGTTCCGGGCACACCCATACAACTTCCCCGGCCGGACAGGGAGCCGGACAGGGCTGAAGGGGCACGAACGACGGAAGAGGGACAATGTATGAGATACATGCATGTAGGTACAGGGTACAAACAAGTGGAAGACAGTAGCCGAGATGCTCACCTCCGCAGTAGCTCCCTCAGGCAGCCCCGACCGCTCAAACAAAGCAAAAATATAAAGCAGGGATATTCGAGGTCAGGCGGATTGCTCGGTCAGTCGGTTAACCGGTTCGGATGTGGTATAACCTGCGGTTGGGTTAAAGTTAGGTTAGAGTCGAATAGAGAAGCTGAAGGTTGTGTGTGGGCTGAACTGAAACATTCTGACGTTGATTTGTGGATGGTGGGGGAAGCCAGCAACTTTCCTCCACTCATCACCTGCACACAAACTCCTCCCCTCCCCCTCCTTCTCCCCCTCCTCGAGCTTCGAATCGCTGCCTGCCGAGCTGCCCCCAACGCTGCAACCAAGGAAGGAGCAATGGAACTTGGCGCACAAATTGTGACGAACTTTGGATGAAAATTCTGCAATTACTTGCATCACGATTCCCGATTCCGTCTCTCTGCAGACCCGCCGATCGTGCTAGTTCGACGGCTGAAGTAACCCTCTTTTCTGCATGTGTCGGACCTGCATCCTACCCTCCGTCTCACCTCCAGCCCCCGGCCCTTTTCCGATATCATGATGCATGGGAAAGTGAAGAACAGGGCGCGTACACAGTACTTCGATGCAGTGACAGCAACCGGGACCCAGGGTTCCGGGCCCGAGAAAAGCGCCTTGGCAGGAAGCACAAAGTTGTCATGCATGACACCCTCCGGTTTGAACGTGTCTGATAACGACCTATCCGACCCGGATGTACTCTGTACTCCTAACAAATAGCCGCAGTTCTCAACGGGCCCAGTCCCGAACCCAGTCAGGTAGGTCTCTCTCCGGTGACGGTGAGGGGTGGATTGAGAGAGGGAAACAGAAGGAGACAGAGCCGAAACCTGGTTGGCTGCTCCAACATCTAGTCACAATCCTCCAAGCCCGAAGGTCATGCATGAGAAATCAGATACATCCGGGCATGTCAGCCTCAGAATCCTGAACCTGAACGTCCCTGTCTTCTGGCTGACTAACTAACTCGTTAAGCTCAAAAAGAAACAACAACAGCTTCGCCCAGCCAGCCCCGAACTGAACTAGGGCTGATGACGCCAGTCCCGTTAAGGCCCAGCCCATTTTCTCAGCTCACCAGTGTCACATTCCAAGCTCCAAGCTTACCAACGAACTACCGCTTGCCAGTGTTCAGCGGGCTCTGAGCATCGTACACGTCGGTCGAGATGACATCCGAGTACACAACCCCGCCCTGCCGCAGCGTTTCCTCCATGACCTCCATGATGGTGATGCTCTCGCTCCACGGCAGCGACTTGCTCTCCTTACGCCCGTCCCGCAAGCAGCGCGCGCACTCGTCGGCCTCCCAGAACATGCCCTGGCCCCAGCCGCTCTCGGGGTCCTTGGGGATCGGGCAGTCGACCACCTGGACCTCGCCACCCCCGTTCTTCTTGATCACCCGATACTGCAGCGGGCAGTACGCGGGGCCCATAACTTGGATCTCGCCCGTGGAGCCCTGGATGCGGATGGATGCGCCGGCGCTGTTCTTGCCGTCCACATCGCTGGAGACGCGGAGCGACGTGAGCGCGATTCCGTGGCTCTTGTGCTGGGGGAATTGCAGGATGATGCTAGTCGTCTCGTCGGCCCCGGTGTGGTACTTGTTGATGGCGGCCATGACGTTGGGCGCCTCCTTCTGCTCCTCGGGCTGCACGTGGTACAGCGTCTGGAAGACCCAGGTCAGGGCGTAGATACCGAGGTCAAGGAGGGCGCCGCCGGCCAGTTCAGGATTGACCATGCGGTGCGAGTCGGCGAAGTCGATCTTGCCGTCGGCCTTGTCCTTGCCGATTGACAGGTCGGCTGGTTAAGTTCCATGTTAGCATGGCACTGGACGACAGGAAGGTGGGAGTTTTGAACTAACCAATGGTGCGATAGACGTTTCCGATAGCCCCCGACGAGATCAGGTCCCTCACCTGGATGCTGAGAGGGAAGTAGCGGGTCCACACGGCCTCCATGAAGAAGACACCCTTGGTCCGCGCAGCCTCGACGAGCTTGCGGGCCTGGGACGCCGTCACGGTCAGGGCCTTCTCACAGAGCACATTCTTGCCGGCCTCGAGCGCAAGCATGGCGTTCTGGAAGTGGTGGCTGTGGGGTGTGGCCACGTAGACGATGTCGACATCGGGGTCGGCCACCAGTTCGTGGTACGAGCCGTACGCTTTGGCGGAGCTCGGGGCCTTGACTTTGGTGAGGAAGTCACCGGCCCTCTCCTTGGAGCTGGAGGAGGCGGCGGCGACGACCTCGTGGCGAACATCATGCACGCCACGGATGGCCGGGTTGGCGAGGAGGTCCTTGGTGAAGACTGCGGGCATAAAGTAAGCGCCGTGCAGGAAACGCGGTTCAGCGTGGGAGTTTACTTACCCTCAGCAATCCAACCCGTGGCCATGATACCCCACCTCACCGTGTACGGAGTTGACGACGCCATCGCTGTGATTGTGGGATGACTTGATGCTTGGGTTTCTCTAATGATCACTGACTTGGAAAGGGGGAGAGCAGCGAAGTTTGAAGTTTCTAGTCAACTTCTCGGCGCCTGGCTCTTAAAACCGAGAGCAACAGCCTGTTGTCCGCCGTGACCCCCCATCTTCCCCTCCATCGATGGGGCTCATGGCGGGGCAGCGACGGCGTTGCGGGTAAATGGCCGAAACATCCAGAGCTTGAACTGCGGGAGCAACCCCTGGATCTCCAGCTCCCTCCGCGCTAAATCAACTTGGTATCGGCCCGCTACAGGGTGCAGAGCGAATCAGGGAGCGCCGAGACCGCTCCCCCCGGGATGTCTCAGTGAACCCCGGGAAGAGCTTCCCGGGACAGATTGGCGATCTTGCATGGGTGTTGACGACGTCATTCGTGGTTGACAGAATACACAGTGCTTCTCATCTTCGAGAATGGAGCTGGTATAACGAATTGATGAGTTTACTCATAAGAAGGAAAAGGAAGGATCGTTATATTCTGGTCCAACAGCCGATATACAACCAAGACCACCTCCTGATCCCCTCATTGAGCGACACAGCTTCCCCGCCCTCTCTCAAAAATAACCCATCAATGACTGGCGTGCTTTGGAGGGGGGGAGCACCGTTGTTCATCCGCGCGAGGCAACCAAACCCAAACCCCCTCGGATCCTGGCATCAACGTAAACCATTTTCATTTCATTATAATCTTAACCGGCCTTTGTCTCGGTTAGAAAGCAACAACACCATGGCAACCCCCGAGGCCACTGCGGAGATGCCGCCCATGATGTACGGCACCGCGTGGAAGAAGGAACGGACCGCCGATCTCGTGTATGAGGCCATCAAGGCCGGCTTCCGCGGCATCGACACTGCTGCCATGAAGAGACACTACGACGAGGCCGGTACAGGCGAGGGCATCCGCCGCGCAATCAGCGAGGGCATATGTTCTCGGAAAGACCTCTTCGTGCGTCCCTCCCAACTGCCTATTTACCTTTCCACATCCCACATCCTAACCACCAACCAGATCCAAACCAAATTCACCCCCTTCGACTCCTCCATCCCATCCTACTCTCCCACGGACCCGATCCCCACCCAGATCCACGCCTCGCTCACCTCATCCCTCGCCAACCTCTCCACGCCAGACCACGAACCCGCCTACCTCGACGCCCTAATCCTGCACTCCCCCTTCCCCACCACAGCCGAAACCCTCCAAGCCTGGTCCGCCCTCGCAACCTACCTCCCCACCTCCACCACCACCACCACCGACCCCTCCCGCGCCGGCCGCGTCCGCCGCCTCGGCATCTCCAACGTCACCCTGCCCACCCTGCGCGCCCTCTCCTCCTCCTCCCCGCAATCCCCAACCCCCCTCCCACCACCCCCCAGCATAATCCAAAACCGCTTCCGCGCCGCCGAGCGCCGCTGGGACATCAGCGTGCGCACCTGGTGCGCCACCCACAACGCCGGCTACCAGGGCTTCTGGACGCTGACGGGCAACCCACTCGTCTGGCAACAACAGCAATCCGCCCCGGAGAACGGGGACGGGGGGTTTGTGGCGCGGGTGGCGCGCGGGGCGGGGTTGTCGCGCGCGGGCGCGTGGTATGCGCTGCTGATGGTGCGGGCCGGGGTGGTGGTGCTGAACGGGACGGGGGATGGGGCGCATATGCGGGAGGATCTGGAGGTGCTGGGGAGGGTGGCGGGGTGGAGGGGGACGGGGGAGGGGGCGGTGGAGTGGGAGAGGTGCGCGGGGGAGTTTGGGAGGTTGGTTGGTGATGTTGCGGGGGGAGGGGGAGAGGGGGGGTTGTGAGGAAGGTTCTGGGGTGGGTGGTGTGGTGGTGGTGGTGGTGTTGTCAGGGGTAGGTTTGCGGGTTGGGTGGTTGCAGAATGGTTGGGCTCACCGGGCCTAGCATTCACGTCTTGGGTTCATGTTAATGGGAAGGGTTTAATATCAAGATAGGAAATGAAAGCTCAAATTACAAACGGCTCATCCAATTCACTTCTCATATTCTGGTAGTAGTGATTGTCATCCTCGTCCTTGCCACAAAAGTGAATACCTCATAAGCGTAGGATTCACTCTCTCAGTTACACACAGCCACTGAACATGCCGTACGACCCATATTAGTTGCGTTTTCACCACGAAAACCATTCGTCAACCTGTGGTAGACATTGCTGAAAATATCAAAAAGCATACCGGCCATTGATGATGCTAAGATCCAGAGGCACTACCTGCCGGGGGCAACAAGCAAAGACAAGCAGCAACCTCCATTCCATCACGCGCCTGATAATGCATCCATCCTCAACCGTCCCTCACCCCCAACCAGAAACCAAGCCCTCAATACCCCTCCATTTTCATTCTCCCTCTTAAGCCCCCAACATCATCCTATCACAAAATCGTCAGCACACCATCCCCATCATCTCATCTCAGGGGTAAAAAAGAAAACAAAAAAAGAAAAACATACCTCAGCCTTCCTCTTCCCCAACACCCCCTGTCCCTGGCCCTGCGCCTGTGCCTGAGCCTGCGCCTGCGCCAAAGCCTGCACGCCATACGCCTCACGGTGGCAGCTAGCATGAAACACACGCTCCCCGACGCGGACAGCATCAGTCCAGACCCACTCCTGGGCCTCGTCGAGCCACTTCATCTCGAATTTCTCCTGGCAGATCGGGCAGGCGTTGTTGGCGCGCGCGCTGTCCTCGGGCACGGGCAGGTAGGGCATCATCCTGCCGGCGGCGGCGGCTGCTGCTGCCGAAGCCGAGTTCGGCTTGCCGCCGTGCGCGCCGCCGTCGTGCGCGCCGCCGGATGTGGAGGAGAGGTGGTGGTGGTGGTGGTCTGAGGCGGAGGTTGATGAGGGGTCCTGCGGTGGGTGCGTGTAGTCCGTGTCGATGGCCTCGCGCGTGCGGATCCAATCCTGGGTGGGGGTTAATGATGGGTGTGTGCTGGCAAAGAGAAGGAAGGAAGGGGGGATACGTACCGATTCGTCGACATACCAGCTGCGGTGCTGCCCGCGCTTCTCGGCGTCGGTCATGCGCTGGTGCACGCGGAAGTGCCAGTCCATGTGCGCCGTCTTCTTGCGGCGGCCATCCTCGTTGGCTTTGAAGCGCCGACCACACTGGGTACAGGGCGGGCCGAGGTCTTCGTGGAGTCGCGAGATCATATGCGGGCGGAAGCTGGGTGGCGGCGTTAATTTCATGCGTTCATGTGTGATATGAGAGGATAACGATGAACTCACGTCTTTAGGGAAGCAGGCCTGAGCTGGGGGTTGGCATCTAAAGTCAACCCGGCAAGCGACTGGAAACCATGCGGGCCGAAACCGGGCAGCAGAGGAGCAGCTGGCGGGGGAGTCGGCGTTCCGCTGGGCTTGATCAGACCGGACTGCCTCAGCATGGCCAGCAACGCTGACGGATTCGATGCCGGGGGGGCCGAAGCCGCAGGCTTGGGCGGCTCAGCAGGTCTTTGCAGAGGCGGCGACCGCAACGCAGCAGCTATCGCGGCGGCCGCCGCAGGTCCGATCGCCGGGGCAGGGGCCGGCGGCGGAGGTTGTGGTGTGGGAGCTTGCTGGGGCGTGGCCGACTTCCGCGCATTTCCCGATATCAGTGCCGCCAACGCGCCTTGTCCGAAGATGGAGTCAATCGACACGCCTCCGCCCGTAGCGGGAGGGGCCGATGCAGCAGACGGAGGACGCCCGAGAGCTGCCGCAACGACCGCGGCGGCTGCGGGGGGCACAGGGGTTGACTGCTGAGACACAACCGGGGGCGTAGGAGTGGTGGTGTACGAGACTCCCGAATAAACGGTGTTGGGTGCAGCAACACCACCGCCGGCAGGACCAGCAGTGACTGGGAGCTGCGGGCGAATTTTTACAGCAAGTTCAGCAACTCGATCTCTTATGATCATCAACTGATCCTGAGGCATGTCTTGGCTCTGGATTATTGTTTGCAAGTCCAGCAACGCCTTCAGTCTGGTCTGTTTACTAGTATCAAGTGGGTCTTGTGCAAATTCCGCCTTTTCCGCAACGATCAGTTGCTGGACATCATCTTTCAGCTTGTCTATGCTTATTCCTGGTTGGGGAGCGCCATAGACTGGTCCCGCGGCCGGCTGCTGGTAAGGTGGATGAGACCCGGCAGGCGGAGCTGGTTGCGGTGTCGAGCGGTGAGATGTGGTACCTGGGCCCTGTAGAGGTCGTTAGCAACAGGAATCGCCAATTTCACGAGTAGGAATTAGCTTACGTTGGCCGGTTGCATCGGATACGGCCGCTGAGCCGCATCCGGCCGATGCCCATTTGACCCGGGGTAAGAAGGTTGCTGCGGTGGAGGTTGATATGACCTGGTAGTCGGTGGCGTAGGTGTGTCTCGGCTGGGGGCGGGTTGGCGACCGCGCATGAGCTGCTGCTGCCCCTGAAAGCTATTCTGCTGGGCGGTATAGGCGGCGTTTCTAGCGGCCATCAGAGCATGCTCGATGGGCCGGACCTGTTCGAGCGGAAAGACAGGCTTCGTTGAGATAGAGCCCGGGACCGGCTCCTTCCATGTCTTGAGCATTTCGTCCATTTTTCGTCTTGTCGCATTGTCGACCTTGGTGTAAGCGCCCATAAAGACCGAATAGAGCTTCGGGCCAAAGTATAACGCATAGGGTGTCGGGACATTCTTGACAACGGAATCGAGGACATAGAGCGCTGGCAGTGTCCGTGCGGGTGGCACCTGATCAAAGTTAGGTCTTGTACGTTCAATCGTGTAGCTATCGCCAGGGAGCGTCTAAGCCTTCGGCATAGCCAGACATACCTTCTTAATGTGGTTTGCCAATGCCTCTGAGATGGCGAAGCCGTGGTGTGCGTTCTCACGCGCGATGTTGGTCAGCGTGGCGATCTCGATGCGCGAGTTGACCGTCAGGTCCTCGAGGGCCTGTCGATAGTCCTCGGCCACCTCGGCCGCGTTGTCTGCCATGGTTATGTCGAGCAACAGGTGTAATGATGGGTCGAGAGATCAATCAACGGTCAGGTAGTGTCAATTGAGCGACAGCCGCGAAGTGCTGCCGTGAAGAAGGGCGCAGAAAGGATGTCCTCTAGCGATTCCAGTCACGAATGGGAGCAGGGAAATCTCAGAGGTGGGCCCCTATTCAGGCGACGAGAACAATAGACGGAGAACAGCTATTATCTCCCTCTGCGAATGGAGGCCAGCCCAGCACCAGGGTGCTCGTGCAATGCCCTCCACAGATTCCACCAGCCCAGCTGCACGTTTCCGAACACAGAGCCCAAGTCACAATGCGCACACCATTCACAGCCCTCTCCTTCTAAAGTCGTGGGCCTGGCGAAGAGAGCAGAAATGGGCGAAAGGGCGAGAGAATGGTCGTGATGTGGTGGTAATCGCTGTGGTGGGAGCAGCGAAGCAGTCAGTGGGTGGTGGTCGAACGGTCTTGTGGCAAGTCGGCAGCTGCTTCAGTTACTGTCGTGCTACGCAAGGAAATCGCAACGCTGCGTGGGGCCGTCAAATTTATAGCCGTGGAAACGAGTCAAGCTGGGGAAAGAGGCCGTGCAGTGCAGTCGTCACGGTCGTTGGAATGAGGCACACGATGGCAAGCAAGAAAGAGCGACGCGGACAAAGGGCTGATTAACAAGTGCACGGACCATACAGCTGCCCACAACCGCCAGGGCCGTCAAGCAGCTCTTTCCCAACTTCAACTCACAGGTTCTCCATCGGAGTCATAGGTGAGGTAGCCCAGGGTTCACATGATTTTTTTGAGGGCTCACTAAACATCTATCTTGGTGTTTAAGGATTCATAATTCGCACCCATTGCCGGCCCGACGCGAGAGGACGGCCAGCTTAGGTACTTACTAACAAATTTACCACAAGATAGCCGACCCTCCACGAGGTATGGCACACAAGTCGGAACAAAGTTCCAGGCCAGTTTCAACGAACATTGTTCCAATCTAGGCAACTGGATAATACTATTACTTCCCATTGCCATCCCACCGAAAAGCAGAAAAAAAACTAGCGGGTATACATTACAAAGCAACGAACCACCAACCCATGACTCCCAAACCCCCAAGACGCCCGTCAACCCACCGCACCTCCACCCTGCCTTGTATAATGCTGTTCCCACCACGCACTAGCAGTGTACTGACTGTTCCAGTCTATAACAAAGAAAATGTAAAACCCAAAGAGGGAGTTTGTGTTGTCCCATGCTTAGAACCGATCCATGTGCGCCGCGCTGTACAGGCTGGTCCGGGACTTGGGCATGTAAGCGGGGTGCAGTTCGGTCGGCGGGCGCTGGAGGCCCGGCATGATGGGGCTGCCGCGGTCCTCGCCGTGGCCGTTCAGGTTGTCGTCGAAGCTGTCGCCGCGGCTGTGGCTGGAGTGGCCGCGCTCGACGTCGTCGGCGGCCATGTTGTGCGGGATCGGCTTGCTGATCTGGATGCGCGACTTGCGGAAGTTGAAGTTGCGCGGGTTGAAGGCCCGCGTGAGGCGCTTGACGGCCGACGACGGCTCCACGGCCTCTTCCTCCTTGGAATAGCTCCGCGCCGACCAGTTGTCGCGGTGGGGCGACGAGTAGTGGGACGAGAAGCTGTGCTCGATGTCGTCGCTCTTGTTGGCGGCGTTTTGCAGCGAGAGGTTACCGTGGGTGCGGATCTGGCGGGAGGTGACCTTAACTACCTCGCCGCGGAGCCCGTCGATGGAGGTCCGGAAGACGATGGAGGCGCAGATGTTGAAGAAGCCGAAGGTGATCGAGAGGATGGCCGCGGCGAGGATGGCGCGCCACCAGTCCAGCCCGATGGTCTCGACCGTGTACGCCGGCTTCCAGGCATCGCCCAGGATTTGGAAGCCAATGAATACCATGCCCCAGCCGAGCCACACGAGCGAGTGGTCCGGGCCAAACACAGGCCAGTTCCTTTCGTAGTACCCCTTCAATTTCCTCCACGGTACCGGCAGCTCCGAGACGAAGAGGAACGTGGCGAAGAGGAAGACGAAGACGTGAGTGATCATGTCGAAAAAGTAAAAGTGGCCTTTGATGCCTGAGAGAACGGGCATGACCATGCTGGCCACCATGGCGGCAGCCAGGCCGATCATGTTGAAAGCCCGTAGAACATTGAGGACGACGTGACCGGCGCCGAGGAGCTTCGAGTCCTGCCCGAGGCTAAACATTTTGTGTTGAGGTTTTGCTACTCTCCTGTTAGCCTTTGCCCGTCTACTAGGCGCTGCCTTCGCCCGAAGAGCTGGTTGTGTTCGTGGGAGGGGTGCTGGCGGTGTGGTGGGAACGTCTGGGGTAGGTGGAAGGGGTGGTAATGGTTTTGGAGACCTGGATGGCCGGGTCTCAGTGGAGGCGGGCTGGAGCAGTGGTCGACTGGCCAGTGGCTGGCCAGGGGCTCGAGTCGGGGTTCTGCGAGCCCTCCGTGGTGCTGATCGCCTTCTAGATGGTCCAGGGGTTGGGGGACGAACTGTGGTAGGGAGGTGCAATGACATAGGGGAACCCGGCGCGTCTTCATACAATGAGACTATCGAATGGCGCTCCGGGGGTTCGGTAGAGCCTTCCGAAAGTGTAGAGACCTCCGACCGCATCGTCGAGCGCCGCCCCAACTCGATAGTAGAAGAGTGTGCCATGGCGCGCCGTGGACTCTGCGGGTTTATAGCGCCGGGTTGCGGGTGGGTGTAGTTCCGGAAAACATGCCCCGGGATTTGGGGATTTGGTGCTCAGGAGGGAACAGGTGGGTTGGGCAGTGTATATGTACTTACAGAGAGTGTGTGATCTGATATCAATGGGACTGCCCGCAGTGCTTAGAGTGCCGAATATGCTAGAGAGGATCTGCTGGCAGATACACAAACAGCTAGGTGTCGAGAGAGATGATAAGTTGGAAAAAGAGAAGAGTAGAGTTGTTCAAGGTAACATGAGGCGTGACGATCCAGATCGTACAGGGTAAGAAGAAATGGACGAAGGAAAAAAGAGCGGAGGACAGATCAATAGTCCAGCACTCTCATTGTTGGGAGGCAGACAATAGAACCCGACAAAGGTGAATGGCCAGAAAAAGGCCAGATGGAGAGGCAGTGGTGGCAAGCGGCCTTATAACAATAGGAGCAGCTGCCACTGTCATAAGCGGTTTAACGCCCAAAACCGAATAAAGAAGAGAGCGGGAGGGCGGAAGCAGGGGGACCCAGTGGGTAAGGAACTGGCTCGCGGGTGTTCCCCATGAGTGTTTCGCATTAAGCAAGAATGTTTCCTGCTTTTCTAGCCAATGAAGCCATAGGCACTGCTCCGGCTCAGGATCGAGAGCACCTAAACTTGCCCACCCCGTCCCACGGAGGAATGTGGTCGACAGGGGCACCATGCGGGTAACGGATCGAAAGCCGCAACATTGAACACAACAGCTCCGCGGTCTCGTCTCATCGCGTCGGCGGCATGCTCCCAGCTGCCCCTCCATCGTCGGCAGAGAGGAGAGAGCCAGGGTTCAAGGCGGCATGCGACGACCCATGGCCCCGCGATCCCACGCAAGGACAGTGGATGCTCTGTTGGCAGCGCATAATCGCGACCTGTCGATCACTGTAGTCCAATGGTTCTAATGGACCCATTTGAGGCGACACGGCGAGAACAGCCGCCGCCTCCAGACAGATTCCGGGGTGAAGAGGCGCGGAGCAAGCTCGGCAGGGCATCTTCAAATCCAGACCTGCGAGATGAATCGATTGGCTACGAGCAAGCCAAGGCCGTTTCAGGCCATTTAGCCTTGGGCACCACCGGCCAGGTATCGCATTTTGCTGAACTGAAATTTCGGTCGGGTTTGGGAGGGCCAGGCACAAGGGGAGGGACACAATTAGAAACATTAATATCGCGTGTTGCGCCGAATTGTCGATGTTGCGCATGGGTTCTCGAAGCCCAAGTTGAAGTTGAAGTGGGGGAAGTTGGGGCATTTGGTGGCAGATCCCAAAATTATCGTAGGGTTAGGGCTGAACTGGAAATTCCTCGAATCCATCATGAGCCTCTTCCTTTGACTCAGAGGTGTCTCGATCAGTAGGTATTGGTGACTTCATTGCTAAGTTGTAAACTTGTCCTCCAACGTACCTACTAGGGCAGTCTCCCGTACATTGCCCAGGTGCCTCACCTAGAACCAGCTGTTCTCATTGTGCTCAAGCCTCAAAGCAACGAAACGCACCTGCCGTGTAAGTCATGAGCCGCAGGCCTCGGTACTGTTCCTGTGTACCATGTCTTTCTAGGTTGTTCCTCCTACACAACAAACCTATTTTCAGGTCGACCCATCTTGCCGCGGGTAACAGTGGCCAAGTTACACTTGACGCCGACACAAACGCGGAAGAGCAGGATCCCGCGCGCGTCTAAGCAAGAGGAACGCAGGGGGTGATTGGGTGAAGATTGAAGGTGTTGAATCACTTGGCATGTTCAAAGGCCCCACCAGAAGAAGCGCCCAGAGGAGCCGGGCAGAAGACTTCCAATTTAAGTGGGGCAGCACAGCCTCGTCCGACGCCAACTGACGGCAAGTGACGCCCAGGCGGCCTTGTCCATTTCCCACATGCTGACCGCAAAACCCCTTTCACTGACTGACCCTCAGCACCCAACACACCTCACACAGCGTCGAAACACGAACGCGGCTCTCGTTTCCATATCGAACCGCATCTAACGCTAACCCAAATCCGCCCTCATCGTCAAAATGGCTCGCGGAAACCAGCGCGACAAGGCTCGCGAGGCCAACCAAAAGAAGCTGGCCGCCTCGGTACGCCCTCCTTTGCCTCGGTAGCCCGGGAGCCGGGCACCTCAGCACTCTAAAAGCCCGTCTCTGACATATCTATTTCGTTTACAGAAAAAATCTCACGGTATGAGCGGTAGCGAGCTGGCCAAGGCGAAGGAGGTTGCGGCGCAAAAGATGCGCGAGAAGCAGGCAGCCGGTACGCGCCGACCGTCACCCCGATTGCGAACCTCACCCGGCCGCTCCGACCGGCCATACTGACCCAGTTTCTAGCCGATGCAAAGAAAGCCGAGACCTCCACTGCTAAGAAATGAATGACGAGCCACCATCAATGACCGAAACGACATCCTTCACTACCTACACATTCCACATAGCGACCGCGTTCTTCCTGCCCAAGGTGAACTGTATGGAGGGGAGATTGGATCCGGCGTCAAGACGGGGAGGAACATTTATATGACCCTTATCATCGTTGGGCCGAGGGACCAAACACAGCCGCAACCACACTCGACTATCTCCTAGGCGTAGACGAAGGCGTGTTGTGTGGGCAGGTTGATTAACCCCCCAGCCCTTTGTGTCAGTAGGCGCAGCGATTTGGGTAGGACAACTTGCATCTTCCTCGTCCGCTGCGTATCGTAGCCCCTCTATCCCTATCTCGCTGAACAAGCATTGCCATGGTTAGCACGACCTCCAATTTCTTATCTCGTCCTACCTCCGTGAAGCATTGCTGTAACCCTTCTCCTGCGTGGCTACTAGCATCAGAGAAAACGAGAGAGTCAGTGAACCAGGAACAGGAAATACCGCTATCCAATCGATAACTATTATGGGACACACATTTTGTATTTCGAGCCTCTGTCATGCCATGAACAGACAACACATTGGAACCCGGAAGTAAAACTAGCAAGATCAAATAAAATATGCGGGCAGCTATGCCAGAATACATACACATTGTGGTTGGCAATAATGACATGCCAGAGATTGAACGAGCAGCTCTTAGTTAATTGCTGGGACGACGGAATGTGGACGAAGCTCACACTCACATAAGAACAGGCCAGAACAGTCCGGTGAAGGTGAGAGAATCAATTGTTATCACGACATTTTCACCTCCCGGTTTACAATCTCGGACTCGTCCAACGAGGTCAGCTGAAGAATACAAGGCTAACTGATGAACAGCCTTAATGATATGCTTTGCGAGCATCGCTCCAAATACTTCGTCTCGCATGATCCACGAGATCAGATAGATAGGTAACCACCAGTTCCCCTCTGCGCCTCCTCCATTCCACGAGGAAAAAACGAACATAAGTGGCAGAAACAACCACATGCACAGACCGCCAGCGGGCACAGCGAGAGTAAGAGAGCTGCCCCGAGAACCCAGGCTAACTTGTGCGCGTCACAGAGTCTGAATACCCACACTGAACAGGTCGACTGGGTACAGGTCGATTGGGTACAGTGTTGACCGAGTTCATACACTAGACACCGGCCAAAAACTCGTGATTCCACCTCAATGTGATATATTAAGATTTGTGCATCCAGAAAATACGAGCCAGTCATATACCTCCCTGCGCCGACAACACCCAGGTTGGGCCAGCAGGAGAGAAAAACAGTAGAAAAAGCGACAGCAAGAAAAAACAAGTAAAATCTACAGATAATGGTATTTCCGCCTTCCCATCACCACCACAGCGTCTTTAAAACACCCGCCCAGGAAATAAACCGCCACAACCAACCAGACAACAACAAAGTCATAGCTTCATGAAAAAGATGATGCTTAGACCCGCTTATGCCTTGCGAGCAGGAGGCTCGACCATGGCCATGGGGATGGCACCTATTCGTCGTCATTAGCCACACGATCTCCCCAAAACGAGCGCAGGGTTATTATAATAACTTACCGCCAAACCCGCCAAAGCTGTCGCGGCCCTGGACGGCCTGGTTGGGGAACCCGCCGACGCTGCACTGGACGGCGCAGACGCAGGAGCCGTCGGCGCCGACCTGGCCGACGCCCGTAGCGATGCCCGTGTTGACGGCGCCGGCGGCATCGGTCGGGGTGGCGCCGGGCGGGGTGACGAGGGCGGAGGTGGCGGCTCCGTCGGCGGCGCCGCCGGTGCCGGCGTTGGGGTCGGCGTTGGGCGGGTTGCCGGTGATGGCGCCGCCGGCGCCGTTGCCGTTCTGCTGGATGGCCAGCGCCTGGAACTGCGCGTGCGTCTTCTCGGCGCTCGGGTTGATGCTGAAGACCATGCCGTTGCCGCAGTGGTTGCCCTGGCGGCAGTAGAACCCTGGAGACACGAGTTGGTTAGTTTTGGAAGCTGTGAAGAGCGGGGATGTGGGATTGAAACGTACAAAGCGGGGTGTCAACCATGACTTGCATCGCGACTTGCGGGGGAGGGTTGACGGTGTTGTTGGGGTTGGCCTGGTAACCCGAGTCCATGCCACCGTCGAGCGCAGCGCAGGGGGTGTCGAAAGCGGACTGGGTGGCGGTGTGGTTCTGGCTGAGGAAACTGAAGATGACGGTGTCGCCAATCGCGGCGCTCACTTGCTGGGGGTTGAAGGAGAGACCCTGGGGGCCGCCGACCGTGACGCTGTGGGTGGCGCCGCCGGCGCCGACGGTGCCCGTGGGAGGGGCAACGACCGTAGTCGAGCCAGCCTCGTCCGTCACGACGGCGGGCGGAGGCGTAGCGCCGGCCTCTCCGCCGACGGTTTGGGTGACGGTGACGGTCTGAGCCTCGCCAACGACCGTGGTTGCCGCGCCACCACCAATGTTAACCCAGAGGAAGTTGATAGAGGTGCCGCTGCCGCGGTTGAGGCCGATCAGGCGGGCGAGCTCGGCAAGTTGCTGGTCGGAAGCCTGGACGCTGTTCTTGCCACCTGGTAGCTCAACGACCTGGTGACCATCTCGCCGGACGGGATAGGCGTTGTGAATTGCCTTGCCCAAAGCCAGGGGGGCCATCCCCAATGCCATCGCTGTTGCTGTAGAGAACTTCATTGTGCTTCTTCGTTCTTCTCTCGTCCTACTTCGTAGATGTCGTTTGTCTGCCGGGGAAATATATGACGGAAATAAGTGGTGTATAATCCGGATGCCAAAGCGAGTCCCTGCTCGTGTAGAAGTGAAGAAAAGAATGGATCAACCAAATGAGCGAAAACACATAGAGAAGGTAATGGTGGAAGAGGGGGATGTGAAGAGAAGAAACAAGACTTCTTGTGTGGCCATCTGAGGGGACCCGTCACGGCTTATATCGCAGCATGATGATCTTCGAACACGGCGTCCCAGGCTGTGAAATCGAGGGAGATCCCGGCCAGCGAGGGGTGCAAAGGGGGGAAAGTCCTGAGAGAGTCGAAACACTCGGGAAGGCATCACCGTGGTAGCGATTTCCCCTGCCACGTCCCTGTCACCCCCATCTGATGTCTGGGGCGTCTGCCCAGAGCGGGTTGCAAATGTGAGGCGATGCCGTGATTGCGAGTAAAGGGCGACGATGGCCCAGACTTAGGGGTGGAAAGCAGGAGGTCGGCTGTGACACAATCGTCTCAGAATCGCGTTTGGCATTTCGCCAAGCTTAACGTGCACGGACGATTCAGATGGGACGAAGAAACCGAAGCAGGGGTTTCTCTACCACTTTACCCCGGACCTGGCCCCGGAAGGCGACATTCGCGAAACTCGAGTCTGTCAGTCCTTGCAAAAAAAGAGTTTATCAGGCTCTTCCTATTCAATAGGTGCCAAGTCTTCTTACCGACATACGGATTACTGTGGTACTGTGAACAGTACTGTGCGCAGCGATTCGTGCCACCCAGAAGACGGGAGCGTGCTTCGCCTTCGGCGCAATCGCCATGTCAGACCTTGTCTCTGGGCGCTGCAGAAACATGCGGCCGACACCGAGGACCAAGCCGGCGCGCTTAAGGAACCGCTGGGTCTCAGCAACGGCAGCCATAGGCCGGAGAAAACGGCAACCGCCCGGCATGTTGAATAACCATCACGGCCAGTGATGGCGGCCCGCTAACTATCCTGTTTGGGGCGTTGCCATGTTTCTTGGTACGGAGTGTGCGCGTTTCGCTTGACTCGACAACCAGCAACATCCCATCCCATCTGAGAGGTCGTATCGCCACACAGGATGTCACAACCACGATATTTTACTGCTCGTGCAGAGCACATTTTAAGGATTCTGGGGTCGAGGCATATTGAGAATTCCCCTCAAGATGCCCTGGGCAATTCGAGGTCAGGATAAACGTTGGCTTCTCGGTTGCGGGCCCGAATTAGAGTGATGGAGCGGCCCACCTCGCGCAACGCCCGGGGATTCCGCAGGTCTGGACCTCCGAACCTGGCCTTGGCACCGATTTCATCGAGAAGGCCCATGGAAAACCAGACTCCCGTACATCCACGGTAGTTGGATGAGTAAACGGGAGGCAGCCAACGGATCCGGGTGAGGAAGATCAAGTTGCGCCTGTGCATGAAACGAAGCCACTGCTTGGAGGACAAGGTGGAAGGAAGTGAGCACGGAGATGCGTCGTGTCCCCGTGAAATGCCGAACGCAGGTGGGCTCATCCGGAGAACGGGCAGTGGAATGGACGGATACCGGATTTTGCTTTCCGTGAGATGAAAGTTCGTCCCCCATTGCCAGCTGCCACGCCGGAGAACGAGGCAAGGCACGCAAGAGGCTGTGGAGTTGATACATGCCTTGGCGATGCTCAGACGTGGAACTCGTGAAGCCGTGCGAAAAGTCAGGGTTCTGGAACGCGAGTCGTCGCAGTCGGCCGTTTTCGGTGGCGATCAGGGTTGACAGGGCCTGGAGACCGGGGCTTCCCAATTTGTGTGCCAAGACCTGGATTTTACATTTCCAGATACTGTTACCCCCAGTTTTTCAGCCTTTCGTTTTGACTGTGGGGCACGCTGCATCTTCGCCTGCGCACATGCTCTCTCGGGGATTTTGATCTTTGGCTCGGCTTCGGAACATTAGGTTATCATTTCCACTTGAGGAGACACTCCGAAGTGGCTGATGTTTCTCGTACGATAAACATATCGGGAGGGAACCATATTACCACCCAACAACGCCCGGATGGAACGCTCTCATGAGCCCTTCGAGCCTCCTCCTTTTGCCGGCTGGCTCCCTTGTTGCTTGCCCTCGTAGAGGCCCGTGTAGTAACCTGTAACAGTTAGTTGGAGGGCTGAGATCGGGCCAAAGTAAACTTGCCGGCGTAATACCACGACATCAAGAGCTTCTTTAGCTCCCCATCTTGGACTTTCGTCAACCCATTAGCTTCGTTAGCCGTTTCGAGATTCAGTACCCAAAACTCACCAGCCCCAAGAAACGCCTCTGGCCCTAACGCAGGAGCACCCCCGGCGAGCATCCCATCGGCCTGCTTGAGCATATCCGTTAGTCATCCGCTAGTCGGTGAGAAACAACATCTTGAACTGTTTGATGCCAAGCTTTGACGATCTCTCCGATTCTCGTTCTGCAGGTGAAAGGGGGGTCAGATCTCCCTACCTTCTTCACCTCCACGGAGCCCTGAGCATCCGAGATTGCCGGGTGCGATGTTTCGTCGCTCTCGTCCATGGACATCGTCTCATCTCCCTCTCCCTCGACCTCTCCCTCTGCGATAGGTTCGTTGAGCTCGCCCGTTTCAGGCTTGGCATCGGCATTTGCCCCAGTCCTAGGTACCCTGGCATCAGAAAGGGGATCATGACCCGACTCTCCTCTCTTGGTCTGTCGCCCGAGTGTTTGGGATGGCGGGGGTCTTACATTTCGTCTGTGCTGTCTGGGATGTCATCGACCGTGCCGCCTTTCGCATGGATGCTGTGGTATTTCTGCGATTGTGTCAGGGCGCCGGGCCAGCCTGGAAGGTGACGTGCAGCTGTCGCGGTTTCGAAACGTGCCGCTCACTGACCTTGTACTCCTCCAACGCCTGATTCCAAGAATCGACGAGCGCCGAGTCGTCCCAGATTTCTTCGTGCGTTGCTGCCGTTTCAGAGTCCATTTTGATGGAGGCCTCGGCGTTGTAAAGTGGAAGTTTTCAGAAGTTACGGTTCACATTCGAAAACGCTTCCTTAATTGACCCCAACCTTGCTGCCTCGACACTTTCCCACCCAAACCTCCCACAACTTCACCACCAGTGCAAGTTTTGTTTATTTCTCGCTCTTTACTCATAAAATTCAAGTAGAGTTAACAGGGCCGACACTACGAACTCGAGCGTTAAACCATCAGCGAAATGTTACTCAAGGCCAGATTGATTCCGCATCAATATCCGACCGACTTACTTTGCCCAGCAAACAACAACTAAGAATACCTACCTACCTATAACAACGAGAAAGACAACACATAACGCAAGCCGAGAGATGGGGAGACAGTTCAACACCAATGGTCAGGTACACAGCAGTTCCCCACCCCGCACCCGCTCTTTACTGCCCACTGGGCTGTCGTTTAGGTTGATCGAAAGACACTCCGGGTAGACGGACGACGGACAACGGACAACGAACAACGGACAACAGCGGACAACAAAGCAAAATGTCCGCGATCGGCGTTACCTCAACTCGGCGGTGGGCGTTCCTCGCGTTCCACGCGTACCAATTCCTCGGAGGCGCTGCGACAGCCCTGCCGGGTCCGGATTCCGGGTAGGCCGGGCCGCCCGCTCTCGCCCACAAAACAGCCCCGCAGTGGCCGCACACCCGCAGCTCGCGTCGAGGGCTCGGTAGAGCTCCGGGGAAGGAACAAGATGCTGTAGGAGTGGGGGAGGCGGCGATCCAGACGCTGTGCCACTGGCACGACTGGTTCTAGCCCCGACCCGAATAAAGCTTTGCATGTCACGAGGCAAGAGGGCTTCCATGTCGGACCCGCAAAAGCTGCAGAATGTTGCAGTTTCGCTGCACCTCCCCCGGTGTACCCGCTCGTCAAGCTCTGGTCGGTGCAACCCCCTTACCGACTTCAGAGATAAGGCGTGCACGACAGCGTGTTGATCATTGCTGATCCTGCTGGTGCTCTGACGACGCGTGATGGCCAGACTTTTACACACGATATCCCACGCTTCCGGTTGACTTGTTGAGAGCGTGGGTTGAGCTGGGTGGGTAGTGCTGGGTTGAGCTGGGGGTTGAGTCGCAGAGTTGCTGAGTTGCTGAGTTGGCGTGGGAGCGTGGTTGGCAACCAAGAACCTCAATGGGCCTCGACCTCTTCCCTGCATACCGCCCCTCGACCGCCCCTCGACCGCCCCTCGACCGCCCGCAGCTCTTCCCTGTGCCGAGACTCCATGGTGTGCTTCCAAGGGGCGACAAGATACGGGATTTTGGGATTTTGGGGATGACGAGGCAGGTGGAACCATCCCGACCATGGGATTTCTTCTTTCTCACCCCCATCCCCCCTCCCTTTCTCCCATCGTCCAATGCCATCCTTGGATGCCATTGTCATAGCTCTCGAACATAAGACGGTTCCTTCTTTAAGGGACCTCGTCCGTCTGAAAATTGAACTCGAATAATCCCCATTCTCTTCCCAACCAAGCGCTGCCACAAGTGATTCAGTTGTACTTCCTTCCTCCGTGCCTCGCCTCCCACCGTGCAACCAGGCCCAATTTCGAGGCAGTGTGCTCGTCACACCAAAGCCGAGCTTCTTAAAGAAACTCGCCCCATCCAATTCCACACAAAGCAGAAGAAATGTAAGTTGACACCGCCAACCCACGAGCCCAACATTATAGCATCGCTGACCTCACCTCAACCTAGGGCTTCCACGGTTGGTCGACACAGTGAAAATCGGTCCCGAGTAACAATTTGCTCACCATGCTACCCCAGGACCACTACATCGGCGTAGACGTCGGGACAGGCTCCGCGCGGGCCTGCATCATTGACGCAACTGGCGAGATCAAGGCGCTCGCCAGCGAGAACATCAAGCTCTGGCAGCCCGCACACGGCTACACCGGCTCACACTATGTAAGTCGCCCAATTCCTCCCACCATTCCCTCCCTTTGCCCAAGTGGGGGGGCAGCCAGCCACAACAACCACAATGACCCAAAACTAACAGACCGGCTTTTTCCCTCCACCAGGAACAATCCACAACCGACATCTGGCGGGCGATCGCGCACTGCGTGCGCAAGACGATGGCCGACTCGCAGACGGACCCGGCCACGATCAAGGGCATCGGGTTCGACGCGACGTGCTCGCTGGCGGTGTTCACGCACGACACGGACGAGCCGGTGCCCGTGACGGGCCCGGACTTCGCCAACGCCAACGGCGAGGACCGCAACGTGATCCTGTGGCTGGACCACCGGCCCCTGGCCGAGACGGAGCTGATCAACGAGACGGGCCACAACCTGCTGCGCTACCTCGGCGGCAAGATGAACGTCGAGATGGAGATGCCCAAGGTCCTCTGGCTCAAGAACCACATGCCCGCCGAGCTGTTCAACCGCTGCAAGTTCTACGATCTTGCGGATGCGCTGACCCATCTCGCCACCGGCGGCGAGACCCGCAGCTTCTGCAGCGCCGTGTGCAAGCAGGGCTACGTACCTGTCGGCGTGGACGGGAGCGTCAAGGGCTGGCAGGAGGATTTCTATAGAGATATTGGCCTTGGGGAACTGGCTGATGATGGGTTCAAGCGGGTGGGCGGTGTTAATGGAGTTGTGAGTATCTCTTTTTCTTCTTTCCTTCCCCACAGACCGGGGTACAGCGGAACGGTCGACTAACAAACGATAGAACGGCGAGTTCTTGAGCGCGGGTGAGATGGTTGGTGGGCTGTGCGAGAAGGCGGCCAAGGAATTTGGTCTGCCGGCCGGCATTGCGATCGGGAGCGGTGTCATTGACGCCTACGCCGGCTGGATCGGCACGGTTGGCGCCAAGGTCAAGCTGGACCCGGACTGCCTTGACGATTCCGTCGCACCGAACGATGTCTCACAGGCCTTCACACGGCTGGCTTCCGTGGCGGGCACGTCGACCTGCCACTTGGCCATGTCCAGGGAGCCCGTCTTCGTACCGGGCGTCTGGGGCCCTTACCGTGACGTCTTGATCCCCGACTTCTGGATGGCTGAGGGTGGGCAGTCGGCCACCGGTGAGCTCATGAAGCACATGCTCGAGACCCACGCTGCGTACTACGACACGCTGGCAGAGGCCGAGGCGGTGGGGAAGAGCATCTACGACTACCTCAACGACCACCTGCGGCACCTCGCCGAGAAGACCGAAGCGCCGTCCATCTCGTTCTTGGTCCGGCACTACTTCTTCTACGGCGACCTCTGGGGCAACCGGTCGCCGGTCGCCGACCCTAACATGCGCGGCGCCATCATCGGCATGAGCAGCGACAAGAGCAAGGACGGCATGGCGCTGCTGTACTACTCGACCATGGAGTTCATCGCGCTACAGACCCGGCAGATCGTCGAGGCCATGAACAACTCCGGACACAGTATTAAGAGTATCTTCATGTCCGGCAGCCAGTGCCAGAACGAGATCCTCATGGACCTGATCGCCACGGCGTGCGGCATGCCGGTGCTGATCCCGCGCTACGTCAACGCGGCCGTCGTGCACGGTGCCGCGATGCTGGGAGCTAAGGCGGCCAGCGTAGGCAAGAACGGCAAGTCGGAGCCGCTGTGGAACATCATGGACCGCATGAGCAAGCCGGGCAAGGTGGTCTGGTGCCGGAACGACCCGGCCGAGAAGAAGTTGCTGGATGCCAAGTACGAAGTGTTCTTGGACCAGTGCAAGACCCAACAGGATTACCGGAAGAAGATTGACGAGGCGCTCAAGGGGTCCACGCTGGATGCTGAGGCCGGCAATTAATTGATTGATGACCTGGGGGTTCGGTAAAACTGGTGATGATGATGACGGACAACCTGGAAAGGTGGATGACGGTGGATGCCTGACTTTGCGTGGCTCGGTCACTTCATTTCGATTCAGCTAGACGACTTAGTTAGAGAGATACTCATGGTAATGTAACGATTTGACTGCAAATGTCTACACAGTCGTTTGCTAGTGCCCGAGCGACAAACTGGGCCTGAATGCACTGGAACAGTGGGTTGACTCTTGCTGTGTGCTGTGTGCGTGGTCCTCTGTAAATTGGAGATGGAAAGTTCATTGGCGGGTCAACTGAGAGCTGCATGTGGCCCAAGCTCCCCACCAGCCCACTGAGTGGATGGATACCCTCCTGGCCGCCCCACTCAATTCCCTGCAGGCGCGTCCCAAAGCATTTTCAGGTTCAGGGCAGGCACGCAGGGTCAACAATCGGAAAACAACCAAACCTGAGAAACCAAGCAGTGCTCTTGCCTGCAAACCCTCCCTCCTACAAACGGGCCATATTGCGCGGCACCCCTCTCCGGCCGCAAGCAGCTCGCAAAGAATTGGCGCTATCAACGCTACCATGTCACTTTTCATGGGTAGGGGGACACCCGCGAATTCACAATCGACGGGAATGTTGGGCGCTTCAACTCCAGGAGCCAACCAAGGCGCCACCCCGGGCGCCGGTAACAGCATTTTTGGCGCGACGACCACGGGGAATTCTCTTTTCGGTAGCAGTGCCGCAGCTGGGACGACGACCCCCACCCAGCCTCGACCTGCGGGACTCAACCTCGGTTCCTCGCTGTTCGGCACATCGACGACCACCCCGCAAGGGTCGCTCTTCGGCGGAGGCAACCAGCAACAGCAACAAGCAGGGACCAACCAACCCGCCACCACGGGAGGGAACAGCCTCTTCGGTAGCACCTTGGGCCTGGGCGCCTCAACCGCAACCACTACGCAGCCAGCCGGAGCTAGCCTTCTCTCCGCTCCCCAGGGCGGGGGTCTGCGTCTAGGAGGCCTTGGTTTTGGCAGCACCACCAACACAAACCCGGCTGCGTCAACGAACCAGCAGCAACAGCAACAAGGCCCGCCGTCCGCCCTCCCGACGGGCGCCCTATTCGACAGCCTGCTAGCGAAGAACAAGAAACAAGCCGAGGGGGAAACCGCGCTCGGGGAGCTGCCTTCGCTCCAGCTGGGACTGGGCGATCTCCGTCAGCGTCTCAGGTCGCTCGGCCCCTCGCAAGACAAGCCTCTGGAGCATGGGAAGGCGCACTACTTCCTCGCCGCTTCGGGCGTCGACCCTGGCGCGGCCGTGCGCGATCTGGGCGCCTTCGGGCTCCAGGCACGGGAGCGGGGCGCTGCTGGCCCAGGGTCCGGGTTCGGCGGCGGTGCTGGCGAACTTGACGTCGAGGCGTACCTTTCGAACCTGCAAACCAAGACGACGTTGAGCATGATCGCAGACGGGCTGGATCGGTCAGTGCGGGACTTCGACACGTTCCTCGAGGACAACGTGACGATGGAGTGGGAGGCACAGCGGAAGCGGATTTATCAGCATTTTGGAATCAAGCCGCGGGAGGAGGCCACGGATTCTGCGCAGGCCGCAGCGCGCGCGTCGACACCACAAAAAGATGGACAGGGCACGTTTGGACGATCTAGGCGCAAGGCTAGCCAGGCTGCTGGTGGCGAGCGGGCCACCTCGCGGGCGAGCGTGTTGGGTAGATCGGCTATGCAGCGCTCTGTTATTGGGGCCCCTAGCCGGATTGGATCTCACGCCAGCGAGTTCACGGATGTAGAAGCCCGCAAGAACGTGGTTGGGTCCGGCGGCGTTGGGTCGATGGATGATCGGTTCTTGCGCGAGAAGCAGAGCAAGCTGGCCGAGAAGATCCACGAGTTCAACAATGCCCGCCAGCAGTCGCTGCCCATCTACATTTGCCGCGACTTGGCTGAGTTGGAGTCCAAGTCTGGAGATCCTCACGGGCCGCACCTCGTCGAGGCGTATCGGGCGATGATGGAAATTGTTGGGGAATTTCCCGAAGCAGAGGAGACGCCCAAGGAGCGGCAATACGCCAAGCTGTACCTGGACCCCAACCATCACTCTGCCAACGCCGTGGCGATGCGGAAGCAGATTCTGAACGGAGCCAACGCCTTTTTGGAAAAGCAGTTCTGGAACGAGGTGAACTCGCTGATCGCCAAGTACCCGCAGGACGCCAACCTGGGCGGCCTGCCAGACGTGGTCAGCAAGATCAAGGCCTACATCCGGCTCCGCCTCGCCCGGAAAACGCTCGTCCCGGACAATGTCGACCTCCAGCAGGCGAACAACGAGTACATTTGGGCCATCGTCTTCTACCTATTGCGGGCGGGTTTTGTTCATGAAGCCGCGCAGTACGTCAACGAGAACCAGAACCACTTCCGCAGCATCGACCGGACCTTTTCGGGCTACATCAACAGCTACGCCTCTAGCGAAGAGCGCCGGCTGAAGCGGCAGATGCAGGACCGGTGCATGAGCGAGTACAACCAACGAATCCGCAATGCGCCCGAGGGCTCGATTGACCCCTTCCGCATGGCTTGCTACAAGATCATCGGCCGCTGTGATCTCACCAACCGGAGCCTGGATGGATTGCAAACGGATGTCAACGACTGGATCTGGCTGCAGTTCAACCTGGCCCGGGAGACGGACCGGTCCTTGGAGCTCGCAGGCGAGTCGTACGGCCTCACCGAGCTCCAGATCAGCATTCGCGAGATCGGCTTGAAGCACTTCCCCAAGACACCGGCCGAAGATACTAACGGTAGCTTCGGCATGTTCTTTTACCTGCAGGTGCTGTCGGGCATGTTCGAACAGGCGATCGCCTACCTCTACCCCTTCTCCTACGTCGACGCGGTCCACTTCGCCATTGCGCTTACCTACTACGGTCTCCTGCGCCCGGCGGACGCACAGTCGGCGGCCAACGAGCTGCTGTCTCACAACACACGGAGCCAGCCGCAGATCAACTTTGGGCGCATGCTCGGCTACTACACCCGCGACTTCCGCGCTGCTAACGCCGCCGCGGCGGTCGACTATCTCGTGCTCATATGCCTGAATGCGGACGACGCCGGCGGCCAGCAGCAGGCGGCGCTCTGTCACGAGGCCCTGCGCGAGCTGGTGCTCGAGTCGCGCGAGTTCAGCCGGCTGATCGGCGACATCAAGCCGGATGGACAGCGCATCAGGGGCGTGGTCGAGGACCGTGGGCCGCTGATTGCGCTCGGCCAGGAGGACGACTTCATCCGCGCCATCACGCTGCAGGCGGCCAGCTTCGCCGACGACAACGGGCGCACGACCGACGCGGTCCTGCTGTACCACCTGGCGGAGGACTACGACACGGTCGTGTCGATTGTCAGCAGGGCGCTGAGCGAGGCGGTTTCGCTCGAAATTGGCGAGGAGTCCATGCGGCTGGTGCCGGTGAAGCCCCGCGTCGAGGGCGGCGCGGAGCCGGATGCTGCTCAGCGGGGCAGCAGTCTGAGCCTGGCGGCCATCGACGACCCGGTGGAGCTGGCCAAGACGATGATGAGCATGTACGAGCGGGACCACATGTTCTGGCAGAAGATCCGCGACCCGAACCGGACGGCATGCTCGGTGCTACTGCAGATGAGCGACATCAAGAACATGGTCGAGCAGGGCAAGTGGCCGCAGTGCTTGGATGTGAGTTTCCCCTCCCTTTCCCGACGCCCATTTTCAACCCCCCCCCCCCCCATTTCCACCAATAAATACTAATAACAACTACCCTAGAAAATCCGGTCCCTCGACATCCTCCCGCTCACGGCGCGCGGCGACCCGAGCGTGATCCGGGCGTATGCGGCGCGGTTCTCGTCGCTGTCGCAGCCCGTGGCCATCAACGTGCCCAACCTGCTCATGTGGACGGTCGTCTGCTGCACCAAGCAGCGCGAGCGCCTCGCGACGGGCCAGTTCAGCGGCAACCAGTCGACGGCCCGCCAGATGGTCGACGAGCTCAAGCAGATGAGCGTCGACCTCACCTCGTACACCAGCCAGCTGCGCTACCGCCTGCCGCCGCACCTGCACGAGGCGCTGGCGAGGGCGTCGGCGGATTGAGGGTGTGGGTGTTGCTGTGGATGGGGTTGAAGTTGAGGTTGGGGGTTGGGTAATGAATGTGTTGAGGACAAGCCAGCATTGGGGGGGAGGAAAGAGAGGAGTGATGTATGAAGGTAGCTGTTGTTGTTGATATTAGAGCTTTAACGTCGTCTACACACCAGTTATCGTATGCACCTTTGGGGTTTGCAGGTTTGCTTGCAGCTCGCCCGTCACCCCGTTCCTGTTGTGTTGCACCGGCAGCGTCATTGTCCGGGCCTGGGTACCACTGCCGACATACCCGTAACTCATAGCTAGTGTGCCACACCTCACCCACAAGCTGAAGCTATCTTCGTATCCCAAACATGGTATGTCCTTGTTTATGCCATCTCAACTCCCTTTCAAATCGTTCGGCTCACCCAATAACCGCCTCCTCGGGCCACCGGATCACGTACATGGTTAGAGTGTCTTAGATGTCGGCGCAATGATAGGGCGCCACGCCCCCAAGTGAGATGATGGATGATCCGTGCGGTGCGGCGGTCGGATCGTTTCGTGAACAAGACGAGGCTCCAAGTGGGCCTGGAACAGATTGCAGCTGCCCGCCAAAAACAATCCAAGCCCCTGTCGTGCACTGACTCGGGCCCTTCCTTCCAAGCTCAAATGCTTGAGTCGCTTCCCCTCGTTTTTGGCAGCAATCCTCCCGGACTCCGCCTTCCCTTGACCGCTGCCACAACCAACAGCCTGTCAACCCACAGCAAGAGCAACCTTGATCTGTACCAACTCACAGATCTGAGGCAGGGGCGGAGGGGGTCAGCACAACAGCGGCCCAGCGAAGTTCCCGGTTGGCTGTGCTCTGCATTGAATTGTTCGATTTCATTCGTCCCTCCCCTTTCCGGCGTGGTTGTCTTGTCACGTTGTGTATTTCGTCGTATCTTTGTTTCATTGTTTTTGTTCGCTGGTTTCCGGTTTCCGGTTTCCGGTTTCTGATTTCTGCTATCTGATTTGACCTGGGGACCCCATCCCAATCCATGGCGTCTCCGTCCGGTTCGGTCAACATAGCCGAGAGTACGAATTCAAGTGCAAACATCGATGATGTACCACAACCACAACCACCACAACCATACCCTGACCGCCCGAGATCCACCCATCACAGTTACCACGCCCATCACCCGCCGCCCCTGCCGCACCCGCTTGGCCCCGAGCGGAAGCGTAGCTACGGCGGGACCCCAACCAGTCCCGGACACGGTGGCGTCGACATTGTTACGGACCGAGATGCACGACAGCAGCAGCAGCACACCGAGTCGAGTAGGACGGGATACGGGTACGAGCTGCCACTGGCACACCAACACCAACAACAGTCGGCGGATGGCGCCGATAGCCCTGATCTGCAAGATGCCGATACCCCAGGTAGTACAGATGGGGGTGCCGCTGCATCCAAAAGGCGCAAGACCGGCCGGGGGTCTCGCGGCGTGGCCCATCTGACCCCAGAACAACTCGAGCGGAAACGAGCCAACGGTAAGTGGGGGGCCGAGCCGGACCCGGGCCCCGGACCCAACTGGTCTCGGGTAATTTCCCCGTCGAACCGAACCCGGCCCTAACGCCATGCAGACCGCGAAGCACAACGTGCCATCCGGGAACGCCAGCGCCTTAAGACGGAGCAGTATGAACGGGAGATCGCCGAACTCAAGGCTACTCAGCCCTATCGGGAGCTGCAGAGCGTCGTTCGACAAAAGGAAGCCGTTGAGGCCGAGCTTGCCGATGTGAAGAGGCGTATGGCCGCAATTGTGGGCATGATCCAGCCCATTCTGGGTGCTCCCGAGGGCGCTCGTATGTTTTACTCCCCGCTACTACGGCCAGTTCACGCTGACACACGTCACCAGCACCAGCCTGCCGGCCTCATGGCCAGAGCTACGGACCTACAAAACCATATACAGCACCGTCGGGCCATAACCCCGAGACGACCTCGGCAAGTACCACCTCCCCGACGTCTGTGGGGACACACGGCCGATGGCAGAACAGTCTATCCCCCGTCGCGCCCACAGTGAGCATCGACGGGCAGCAGCATCCTGCGGAAATGGGACCGTTTGATCAACAGCGCCACCGTCTAGTTCACGGCCTAGATCTAGGCTCGGACCGGCTGGGCCTCGACTTCTTAGTCGACCCCAATTTCAAGGTCGCCAGGATCAAGGAGGGCCCCGACGGAGCCCAGGACTCACCACACTACCGCCACATACCCATGAAGCACGACTGGAACGGCACCATTTCCATGATACCGGGTATGCAGGGACAACCGCCAACCCATACACAATCCCAATCCCCCATCTACACCCAATCTCCCGCCACCAGCAGCGGACTTCAACCCACGAGCGCCCCTTTCTCCCCAGCCCCCACCTCGGGACCATCCGCAACGGGATCACCCCCCAGGTACAACATCGTCCCACGCAATTGTGCGCCGACCTGCCCCCTCGACGCCCTTCTCCTAGACTTCCTCTCGGAGCGCCGCCAGCGCGCCGCCGAAGGCCTCTCGCAGTCCGAAATTCTCGGCCCTCGTTACCCCTCGGTCTCGTCCCTGCTCAACCCCGCCGTCTCGGCCTACTCGCACCCGCTCTCCAAAGTCTTCACCGACATCCTGGCGCGCTTTCCCGACCTGGCCACCCTCCCCGAGCGCGTCGCTGTGCTGTACGTCATGTTCCTCCTCATGCGTTGGCAGGTCTCGCCGACCGAGGAAAACTATCTCCGGCTGCCCCCCTGGTTCCGCCCCGGGCCCGGGCAGACCGCCAAGGACCACCCGGCCTGGTATGACCACCTCCCCTTCCCGGAAATGCGGGAGCGTTTGGTGTGCATCTACCAGGACGGCCCGTTCCCGTTTGACCACTTCTTCATCCCCTTCACCTCGACCCTGAGCCTGAACTGGCCGTATGAGGACACCCTCGTGCTGCTGGCCAGCCCCACCAGCGAGGAGCTGATGATCAACCCGGTGTTTGAGCAGCATATTTGCATGCTGGAGAATTGGACGCTCGGTCCGGCTTTTGAGAGGGCTTTTCCGGCCTTAGTGGGGTCCTTCAATTTGAAGGTTTGAATTTAAGGGGGATAATGGGGGATGGTATATATCCTGACATGAAACAAGCAATGATTTTCTTACATTTCCTAGGGCGGGTCTGGAACATGGAAACAAAAAGCGGTACGCTGTTCAACTTTCGCAGATATACTTCGTTTGGAGGGAGGGCGGACTAGTCTAGTAAAAATACCGGGCGTTCATGGAAGAGAAGGAGGCGGCCGTTTGGTACACATGGCTCTACATTGTGGGGGGGGGGGGGGGTCATATATTCTCTTGTAATATTCACTTATAGCATCATCAGTCTCCGTGGAGACTAGAGACTCGATGTGGCAACACACACCGATGCCCAGCCAGGACCTTCAACGGCCGACTGGCATCACACAAATCTAATCATCAAAAACCACTACCACCACCAACTCCCATTCCCAACCTTCTTCCCATATTTTTTATCTAACCCACCACACGCGAGTATATCCATCCCCAAACCCCCCAGCAACGCCAAGTAAACAAAACAAACCCCGTCCCGTCCCGTCCCGTCACGCCCAAAACGAATACTTGCCGACATGCGCCCCCTCCCCGACGAACAAACTCGGGTGCCGATCCCCCGGCAGCGTCTGCCACACCAGACTCTTGACCACCGCCGGCGCCCGGATGCCGTCGACCGCGCCCCCGTCCATCCGCGATCCGTCCCGCAGCGAGTGCAGCGCCACCCCGTACCGCGGCCCGCAGTCCTCTTCTCTTTTGTTCATCCTTTGGTTGTTGGTGGTCCTTCCACTCTGTTGTTGTTGTTGTCCTTGTAGTTGCTGCCACATCAGTGTCGGCGTCGCTGCGGCCGCGGCTTGTGATGTGGTGGCGATGTCGTTGGTGTGTGCCGTCGCGACGATCCCGCACCCGTACCCCGCTGCTGCGGGCAGCACGTCGAGCCCGGCGTGGATGTTGTCGTCGTTGCGGTAGTGCGGGAAGGTTACGATGGGGCGGGCGGCGTTGGCTGCGTTGGGGGGGTTGTGGTGGTTGCGGCCCTGTGGGTGGGGTTGTTGGTGTTGGTGTTGGTGTTGGTGTTGGTGTTGGTGTTGGTCTTGTTGTCGCCGGCGTAGGTAGCGGACGTCGTAGAGCGCCATGGCGCTGTAGGGTCCGGCGGCGAGCACGCCGTAGTCGCCGACGGACCGCACGTGGGCTGCGCTGCTGACGTGCCGGAAGGTGTTGCTCTGGACGGACCACTCGCGTGCCGGGACGCGCAGGTCGAGTACGCAGACGTGTCCGGACCGTGTGCCCGCGAGGACCACCTCGGTTGGGTTGTGTTGCAGGAAGTCCACAGACAGCACGTCCCCTTGCCAGGGTGGTGTGGTGCTTGCGCCCGCGGTGCCTCTGCGGTTGCGCTGGCGGGGTGGTGGCGGTGGTGTGAGCCAGGTGAGCTTGTCGTCTCGCATTTGCACGATGCCGGCGTTGGTGCCGGCGATGCAGGTCATCCGCGAGCCCGGCGGGGCTGTCTGCAGCGCGTTGATGGCGCTGGCGGAACCGTCGCTGAGGAGCGAGTTGTGGGTTTGTAGGCCATCCCCGTCTTCCCGCTAGCTGGTTAGTAGTGCTGCAAGGTCGAGAGATACGCAGCGTAAGGCGGAATCATGAAACATACCGGCGCCTATCACCCATCCTGGACCCGGTTCACTCGGATCCCGGGACCGCGGTGTAAAGTGTTTGATGCCAATCGCCGTGATGCCTTCCCAAGCCATGAGCATCCTGGAGGACGGCTCGTGGAACTTGATGGCCGTTATGCACTGCTGGTTACTCTGCCCGAAATACCTGGGCTGGAAATCAACCCGGGGATACCGTTGAGCAGCGTCCTGGAAGTTGATACTGTTCCCCATCAGCATTCGTTCAACCCACCACCAAAACCAACCCCCCCCCCCTTTCGTTCTCAGAGTAGCACAACTCACCAATCCTCCGCATCCCGCGGAATATACGACGCCGCCGGACTCGAGCCACCGACCACATACGCCAGCCCCAACCCACTCCTCACATCCCCCCCAATCCACATATCCTTGATAACCGACCCCCGCCACTGCAACCTCTCCAACACCCCCTTCCCCCTCAACCCCCCGGCCCACGCCCTGGCAATCACCTCCCCCCCCTCCTCACCACCACCATCACCACCACCACCCCCTCCAGTGCCACCACCCCCCAACCGCCCCCCAAAACCAAAAGCCCCAACCTCCCTCGCTAACAGTCCCCCCATAAGCGGCGCCTCACGGGGCAGGAGCGCGCCCGCCCTCCTCACCCGGCCAGCCTCGCGGCGGCGCTTCTCGCGGCGCTGGCTCTCGTCCCGGCGCTCTTGGGCGCGGCGCTTGACGTTGGGGGCCGACCAGGCGGCGGCGCGGGGGGCGGTGCGGGCGTCTTCGATGCGGAAATACTTGCGTTTGACGGTATCTATGAGGGGGGGGAGGGGGGTTGAGTGAGTGATGGGTGGGTGGTGGGTGGGTGAGGAGTGGGGGGGGTGCTAGGCTAGGGTGGGTGGACATGAGGATGGGTGATGTGATTGGGAGGATTGGGAGGATGGGGCTGACCATAGTAGAAGCCGGGTATTTCTCGATTCATTTTCAAGAGGTGACGGTTAGGACTTGGGGGTGAGGAACGAGTCGGTCGGTCTGGATTCGGCTCACTGCATAAATGCATACGCAGGTGGGTGACCGATTGATGCTTGAAAAAAAAGGAAAGAAAAATTGGGAGGAGGGTGGAGGGAACGGTAGAAACAAAAACCACAATAGCAACACTCGCACTGCGGTCAAGGGCAGTCAATGAGAGATGAACCGTAGTATAAAACAGCAGTTGGCAGTAAATTCAGATGGGAGACAGTGCCGTGTTCGATGGAATGCTTGGCATATTCAAAATGGTTGTCCACTCAAGGTTGCATGCACCACCCACCCCAAGCAGTGATGTCAGGGGAAAACACAGCGAGTCTGCAGGTAGGCAAAACGCCAAACCTTCGCCGCGTTCGTATCGCCACCACATCACAAGCTCACTTAGTCACATGGAAAAGATACCATATTTTTTACTCTTTATATTAGATTGTCTAAGGAAATCGGGGTAATTCTAGCCCCTAATACCAAAGTCCATACAGAACTTGTTCAGAAAATGAAAAAATATATCCCCGGCCGTCCATTCCTAACTATCACCCGCGACCGAGGATTTCTATTTGCTGCCATCTAGGGCAGGCAGGTAGGGAGTGAGTATACGCCCCACGCCATGGCATCGCTCACGCCGCCGGGGTAATTTGGAGGCACGGCACGAGGCACCGCTCGCCCACGCGTCGCTTACTGCGACTTCTCGTGCTGGGTCGAGACGCGCTGGAGGGACACGACAAAGTCCTCCAGAGAGCGCTGCTTCTGGTTGCCCTTGGGCGACTTGCCGTGCATGAGGTTGTCGAAGCCGACGCTGTCCTGGAGCATGTAGTAGAGACCGCCCATGACGCAGAAGACGCCGAACGAGAAGATCCACACACGGACAACGGCGACGATCGAGGTGTCCCTGCCAGGGCCCTCCTCAAACCAACCGAAGATGGTGAACAGGGTGGCAATGATGTCGACAATCAGGACGGCACCGGCCAGCTGCCACGAGGGAAGCGAGGACCAGAAGGGACCGTTGGCACTGAACGAGTATTAGCATTACAAACGTTGCGACAAAACAGTCAGGGACCAAGATGCAAATACATACCGAGTGATGAAGATGAGCCAGTTCTCAGTGAGGGAGATCTGGAGGAACACGACCTCGTCCATGTTGCCGAAGTTCTGGACGATACCGCCATCGGGGCCATGCACGTACATGGTCGTGACAGTGATCCAGGTGCCGATGGCGAGGACAATGCCGAGCAGGACCGACATACCCCAGAGCTTGGGCAGGTTCCACTTGACGGGCGTCTTGCTGTACGGTGCGTTGTCGTAGGCGATGGCGAGGGTGGCAACATCGGCGAAAATGGCGATGAAAACGACGAGGTTGATGTTCAGGCTGCGGTTCAGGATGGCGATCCAGAGACCCAGGTAGATCTCGAGATGGATCGACAGAGCGATACGGTAGACGACGTAGGCGTACATGCGGTGGAAAATCTGGCGAGACGTCTTGAGCGCATCAATAATGGCACCGAGACCGGGGGCAAGGAAGACGATATCGGCGGCAGAGCGGGCAGCGTCCGAGGCACCCTCGACGGCAATACCGGTGTCGGCCTTCTTGAGCGAGGGGGCGTCATTGACACCGTCACCAGTCATGGCAACGAGGTAGCCACGCTGCTGCAGGATCTCGACGACGTTGTACTTGTGCTGGGGGAAAACCTCGGCGAAACCGTCGGCTGCCTCGACGAAGTCGTACACCTCAGAGCCGGGCATGTCACCACCGCCACCGAGACCAAGGCGCTCAGCGTTGTAGACGTTGGTACCGAGACCGAGCTGGCGCGAGGTCTCCCTAGCGATACCGACGGCATCACCAGTAAGCATCTTGATGGACAGACCGAGAGACTTGGCCTCGTTGATGGTGCGGGCAGTGTCGTGACGGGGAGGGTCGGAGCAGGGCATGATGCCGAGAATCTCCCAGGAGCCCTCACCGCGCTTGCGGGCGACACCGAGCGAACGGAAACCACGGGTGGCGAACTCAGCAACCTTGTTCTTGTAGGCCTGGTCGACCTCCTCAGGGATGGGGTGGTCCTCCTCGACGGTCTTGAGAACGAACAGAGGGGCACCCTTGACGCAGATGATGCGCTCGCCCTGGGGAGACTCGACAACGGCGGTGACCTTCTTGGAGACGGGGTCGAAGGGGTGGAAGTCAAGGACCTTGTACTTGGAAAGGACGCCCTTGGCACGGGGGTAGTACTTCAAGCTCTTGAGGAAAGCCTTGTCGATGGCATCCATACCCTTCTTCTTGCGCGAGGCAGCCAGGCAGGCAGTGAGCATGAGGTCCTCGGGGTCGACACCGGCAACAGTGTAGGGTTCGGCGAGGGAAAGCTTGTTCTTGGTCAAGGTACCGGTCTTGTCGGAGCAGAGAATCTCGACACCAGCCAGAGACTCAATGGCGGAGAGCTTCTGGACGATGGCCTTCTTCTTGGCGAGGTAGGCGGCACCGACAGCCATGGTAGTGGTGACGACAGCGGGAAGACCGACGGGCACACCGACGATGGTGATGGCCAGGGTGAACTCAAGGATATGGACAATGCCGTTGGAGCGGTAGAAGCTGGCAACCCAGACGATCAAGTTGGTGAGAATGACGAGAACAAGCAGAATGGTACCAATGCCGTTGAGCACCTCAGTGAAGTGACCGGAGCCGGCGCTGGCCGCGTTGACGAGGGCAGCGGCGCGACCGACGAAGGTGTTGTCACCAGTGGCGGTGACGACCAGGAAGGTCTCACCACGCTTGACACCAGAGGAAGCGTAGCACTGGTCGCCCTTGTGCTTGTCGACAGCGAGCGACTCGCCGGTGATGGCAGACTGATCAACCTGGACGAAGGCATCGTCGGTGACGATGCGGCCATCGGCGGGGATGATGGTACCCTCCTCAACCTGGAGAATATCGCCGGGGACGACCTCGGGGGCCTCAACCTCCTTCAGAGTACCGTCACGGAGAACGACAGCCTTGAGAGCAAGGGTCCTGCAGCGGGTTAATGATGGGTCCTTCGTCAAGTTGAACGGGCAAGTCGCCTTACTTCTTGAGTTCGTCAACGATGGAACCGGCCTGGTATTCCTGGATAAAACCGACGGCGGCGTTGAGAAGCAACAGACCGCAGATAACACCGAAATCGACCCAGTCCTCGAGACCAGCAGCCACTATAGGTCCAAGCGGTCAGCAAAAGTGTTCACTCCATAACCAATTGGTTGGCGCTCTGGTGAGCTTGGCGGCCTGGCACCAGGGGGGTGCCCCTCAGCCGCATGCAAGAAAGCCGTTTGGCTCCCCGCAACGCAGCCTCACGGCATTGGGTGGGGAAAACATGGGACGACGAGTTGGACGGATACATACAGACAGCAGCAGCCTGGTTGATGGGTTAGCATAAAGTCCAAGACGGTGAGTGGGGAAAATGTTTCGTTTCAAGGCTGCTGCGCCAGAGCACAGCAGCTTGTGGATTTCGACGTACCTCCATGACGAACTGGATAGGGCCCACGAAGAAGCCGAGGAACTTGAGAATAAGGTTCTCCTTCTCCTCCTTCATCTGGTTGAGACCATATTTGCGGCGGCGCTGGGTGACCTCCTCGGATGTGAGACCGACGCGAGTGTCGGTCTGGAGCATGTCCTCGGGGACAACACGGCCGCCACCGGGGGTGACATCTTCCTCCTCCTCGAACTGCAAAACCAATTGTTAGTATTAGATGCCAATCGAGGTGATGAAATTTGATGTGATTCCGCCCGCTCGCGGATCCATCGGGCAACGCGGCCGAATTGGCGGCGACGCGCCAGCAATGCACTGGGCGAAAACCGCCGATGGCACACGCTACCCAATTGAAGCTCGTGATTGGGTGGTACAAATCTCGGGGAGGGGCCCGATTGCGCGTGAGTGGATTGGCTTGGCTTGGCTTGGCTTACCTGGTCGTGACCATCGTGGCTCTCGAGGTCATCAATGAGAGCATCAATGTCCTCGTCCTCCTCTTCCTCCTCGAGAGGCGGCTTGGCTGCCGGCACGCTGTGGTGGGCGGCCTTCTCGTCAAACTTTCCGCTCTCAATGTCGGTCGACAGCGCGGGAGCGCCGGTGGTCGAGTGTTCGGCCATTGGCGCGGTTGTTGCGGCAGATAAAGCTCTGCGCGGGGCTCACGGGTTGTCGACGTGGGTTGGGCGCTCAGAATTGGGCGCGTGAAGAATTAAAGGGCGATGGTCAATCGGGGTGGTTGTATGAGGGAGCTCGCGTCCACGCGCGAATTACAGAAGTATTTATGTGGGCGGTGGTCGGTGATAAGCGCGAGGAATTTTTCAGACGATGACCTTCTTGATTAGGGTCGCGGTCAGGTGCAATCGCCCAAGTAGACCAAGACCGGACGGCGTGAATTGAGAGCGGAGAGGGCGGACTCGAGGGGAGAAGCGAGACCTCACGTCGAAGGGAGTTTTAGAAGGACCTCCGTGCGTAAAGGAGAAAAGGAAAGGAAAGAGAGCTTTGGGGGGGAGCGGGTGGGTGACCGGCGTATTTCAACGTTTGCTCGCTCACCATGGGAAAGAACGCTCGTTGTTCGGCCCACGCCCGAAAGCTCTAACTTCCGTAATCAACGCACCTTGTCCCTGTATCGATAAAACGCTACCTTCTCGCTCCGCTCGCTCCAACGCCCACGGCGCGGGATTGTTACGCCATGCCCCCCAAGCGAACCTTCCTCACGCTCCCAGGTTGGCCACTGGAGAGCGGTGGATCCCCCGTCTTGCCGAAGAATGGCACCTGGGCACCCGGCCACTGGCGGCGTTGATGCGAGTCGGGTATCTCCAGCCCCTACCGTATGCGACGCTGTTGGCACTGGGCGCGGCCCGGTCCTACCAGCCATTTCCGCGCATTGGAGCTGTCTCGGGGTTTTTTACGTTTCAATTCACACTGTCTCCAGCCGGAAATCGATGTGATGTGACCCCAAGCATTGGGGGGCAGCAAGGACCCCTGCCCGCCAGGAAAGAAAGTGGGCATCCCGGCTGTAAGTCGCAATGTCCAGGGAGCGACCAGTTCGGCTTGCACGGTTCAGGTAGCTCTTCCCCACTCTATGTTTGCCTTGGCTGCAAATCTCTCGCGGTCGGTACCTCGTTGCAGCTTCCCTCCGAGGTACCGCCTCAAGCAACCCAGTCTGCGGGATTTTCTGGCTGTGCCTCCGTGCCTTCCTCTCAGGCTTGCCTGCCCACAGCCGTGTGCATCTCGCCCAGGCGGGTTACCGACCTTGGGTGCTTGGGTACATTACACGGGACTCTTGGAAGAATTTACGTGACGATGATGCGGTGTGAGCTCGGTTTCGCCTCTCTTTCAACGCGCGTTTGCCTGACAGAGGGATTTAATTCGCGCCGGTTGAGGCCAGGCTGGCTCACAGACAATTGACAGTCTCACGGAATCTTCCAGGGAAGGTTCACCGTTTCTCGCCCAGCAAACACTTGCCTGCTGATGTTGAGACATCAACTCTGTCGCTCCCTTGGCGAAACGTGAAACCGCACGGACTGAGAAAATTGACAAGCTTTGAGCATTTTGCCCGTTCGTCATGGAAGGCCTGGACGAGGAGCATCCATGAAGCAGTTGTATCGCTTTTGACTGGGTCGCCCGGACGAGGTTCCCATGGGCAGCACGCAATGCCGTTTTCTTACTGGTGGTTGAAGCGGCCATCCTTGCGAGGAAACAACGGGATGGAAAGAAACAAAGCTTGGTAACGTGGTAACGCACGGTACGATACCAGCGAGACTGCATGCCTCGCTCTCGCCCCTCGTCTCTCGCGGCGGCACGGCGCATCCCAGGCCAGGGTCTTGCGAGTTGCCTGACTGATCCGAGTGTGGAGCCGGAGGCTCATTCACCCACGGGAGGATGGGGCAACGAGCCATTTGTTTGTTACCAAGTATTCGTCAATTGAGGACGGCCGAAGCATGCGGGCATACCCGAAAGCCAGTTGAGGCCAAAGTGCTATGCGCGCTTTCCCTGAGAGCGCCAACTCAGCCAACACCACCTTACCCGGCAGCATAGCCTTTCCGTCAGCGAACCCCCAAAATGGCGGAAAGAAGCGATCGCGAACGTCATGGCGAATTCGCGCAATTGGCTTTTCAGCCCGGATCCTTGGTGCCGCCGCCCGAAGAGGGTGTGTAGGATCGGCCGAAGCGGAAGTGCCGAGGCCATGACCGCCTTCGCTACGTCATTTTTACTTGCCCCAAACCAGCGCTTCGAACCGAACCACAGGCACCTTGTATCGTAGAGATTCGAGACCTTCACTTTGACAGGCCGGCCCTTCCGAACGGGGAGCCTTCTCGAAAATTTTCAGCCTCTGACGGCTCTTCGCACACCTCGCCCCTTGATAATTCATTCTCTTTTCTAGCCTCGGATTCCCCGATTGATGGCGAGTACGTCCTAATTCGCCGCCTTACTCAGTCAGGGACGCATCCCTCAACGCTGCCCAGCCCTACCCCTCCAAAACCCCAGACTCGAATCAACAGCTCCCCAGCAGGGGTTGGCAGTGCCGGCCGGTTGTGGCTGCATGACCCGAGTCGTGGCGCCCGAGCCAGACAACGACAAGCCTGGATATTGCGACGAGCCGGCGGTATTTGACGGACAACCCAGGGAATCGAGATAAGAATAACGTTTACTGGATGGCGTGTGTGAAGGATTCTCGAGCCAAGTTCATCGTGGAATGCCGATTCGGGGAAACGAACTCACCAAGAGGCCCGTCACCACCTGAGGTGCGACAACGCCCAGACTTATAGATTTGAAGAGGCGTGTAGCCAGGCCGCTTGGCACCTTGGATGAAATTGGGATGTGAGCATAAGGCGGCCAACCGGAACTCTTATCAGAAAATCTAACTGGCAGTTGCTTGATCGTGTTATCTCGATCTTCACTGCGGCACCCAAGCACGCGACAGACTGTTTTCTGTCAACCGGCAGTCCGAGGTAACTAATCTGTAGTTACCTAGTTACCAAGTATGGGCTTTTTTGGTGCCGAGATCTGGAGAGCGCTTCTCTCCATCGTTACTGCAGCAATCGGGACCCCCAAATCTGGATGCACCGACCGAGCCTCCACGTAAGAACGGACGGTTACAGGCGATCAATCCCGTCAAAGGCGGCACATTATCCCGCAAATGGCGGTCTGAGAAGTTATGTGCAATGTTGAGTCTTTTTCCCATAACCTTTAGCCAACTGAATCCAGCCAGAATCTTTGGCAACCAATGGAGCAACCTAGCAGCGGGTTGCGGCGGCCGTTCCAGTGTAAGTGGATTTTTGTTGATCCTGCTTGCGGGGAACTTCCTCGCAGAGTCTTGGGGGAACTGGGGAACGGCTCTCAACATAGTGCGATGTCAAAACACCATGCCCCCGGTTCAATACAATAAGGTTCTACAATATTCCGTTTGGGGCATCACGGCATCCGGCGCTAAAGGCGGCAACGGGACTTCAGCATGCATTCGAGCCTGAGCGAGCAGTGAACACGGAGCAGCCGGCTCACCGGGCCATCGACCCCAACCGTTCTGACGGTGAATGGCGCCGAGAGTCGCTTGCCGATCCCGTGCGGCGTGGGGGGCGAGTTTGCCGCCCTCGGCCACCGCCCGACGTCGCTTCCGTCAGTGGCGATCCTCGGCGGCCCCCCCGGGCGAGACGGCATCCAGGAGCCACGCTTGCCACGGCAGCAAACGTCGGGAGCGACCAACAAAGACGGTCGGGGGGCGCGTTTTCGATAATGGCGACGGTGTGGTTGGCTCGTTGGCTCTGTTGTGACACGGACCATGGCCAGTGGGCAATTGAGCCTGGAAGGATGGAAGTGGTCCACTGCCCCCACCGGAATATGCGCGGATCCGAGCTATCTGCACAAAAAAAAATCACACTCCACGTGTGGTGGATCCGTTTGTCCCCACTTATGCAAAGAAGACCCTGTCCTCTGCAACTTTCACGATGCTGCCGGCGGCCATTTGCTCGGCAGCTCTGCCGCAGGAGGAGTTTCAATTTCACAGTTTCCCACTCGCCATCCGTTCAGGAGCTGCCTGGGCCCGCTTTGTGGGCATCCTCGGACATTGCAATCGTGTCCATCAGTGTTGACACGCTACCCGGCGAGCGCGAGTGTTTGTTTACGTGCGTACGGACAGAGGCGAGGAGAGTTCGGTAGGTTCCAAGACGGGTGTTCTCGTCACCGTCGCTCAAAAAGAATCGCCAATTCCCTCAATCCATCGCCAAGATGGGTCCAGAACCCCAAGCCCTTGCTTGCCTTCCCCGCATTCTCCATTCCCCTCATGTCATCGGCTTGAGCCAAGCAACAGGGCAATGGGCGTCAAGCCAAAATGGTGGGAGAAAGTCGACGGAAGTGCGCCCGGCCGCATTCCGTTTGGCGTGGGGTGCATCACCGACGGCCCAACTGGTTTTAGCCTCGCGAACGGTGAGCGACAGCGATGGAACCGCTCCGCCGAAACGAGCCAGTCGTCGGCGAGCGAAACCTGCAAGAACGAGATTTGTTGGATGCTCGCGATGGAGCCCCAGAAGCCCCCGGCCCCCGAGGAAACCCATGGGGGTGGGCCAGGACTCACCAAGTTCTTGTTTTTGTTTGGTTTCTCCGGCCTTCCTCGTCGTCCAGGACTAATGCCCAAAGAAGGAAGCGGTCGAGTGACGAGGCCGGCGCTCATTCGCCGATCGAAAATGCGCTGCGCTTGCGCATGTCCAATCCACTGCATGCAGGTACGCGTTTCCGTCCGTCTCCTCCCGTTCTCCATCAAACCCGCACCGTCGTGGTGCTCCGTACTACCTAACTACGAGTTATGCTTCGCCGTTTGTTTGCATTTGCTCGGCCGCCATTGGGGTTGACAGGCGAGGTTGCGATGCTTTGGTTCACGATTTGACTCCTTGGCCCGGTTGGCGTTGGTCTTGGGGGCTGGTTTGCGTGACACGACACTGAACGCTGTCAAACGCAATCCATCCCCGGAATTAGTCGAGGCCTGTGGCTTTTTTACGTTAAACAAACGGCCATCTCGAAATAGTGGCATCAAGGGCCGGCCCTGGCTGGCCCTGTGCGCGGGCTCGTCAGACCTTCCAGCTTGGCCATCCTCCTCGTCATTCCCAGCCTTCAGCATTCATTATCCAGGATAGGACGAACAATTGAGGACATACTTCGTCCGAGGGAACTTCGCCGTCAGCTTACCCTCATCAAGCCAGGAGCTCCACGAGACGTGGGTGGCTGGAGAGGTCGACAAGGCACAAAACACGCTAGTTGACGGCTGTGCCTCCGGGCGGCGTCCCGATGAAGTTGTGTTCCCCATGGGCGGGCTGCATCATCGCTGGTCTTGCCGTCATCCCCAAGGAGCCGCTCTATTTCAGGGAGGCAAGAAGAGGTGGTTGGGTGTATAAAGCCTGCTTCCGACCCCGGCAGCATTCCACCAGCCTACCAGGCACCCAAGTGCCGAGGTGCCCAGGGAGTTTCTCCTCGGGGCTGACAAGCTGCAACCAACACCACGCCAGATGGAGCATCATCGGGCAGGTGACACCGCTCGTTCGCCTTACCTCGCGCCTTGCCTCATCGCAAGCTAGCAGGCGGAAAGAACCGGTGTCGAGGCAATTCGCGACGACCCCCAACTCTCGAAGCGATGAGCTGCTGCCCCTCCCCCACCCCCAGGATCGAGTCCAGGGTCTGTCTCGCAGCGCAGAGCCTCGCTTATCGGCCGCCGACAAGCAGCAATTAGCACTTTTTTCTCACCTGAACATTTTACCCTATCACCTCATTTCTGGCTGATTATCATTCCAACCCTGACCTAGTATGTACTCTTACTTACATTCGTACTGTAAGTAGTTACCGTGACGAGTACATATTACAATCATGCCTTCTCTGCCTTCTTCAGCCAGTGCAATCATACATAGTCCCAGGCCCGGGCCAGGTCCAGTCAAGCCCAGCTCGGCTCGAAAAGACCTCATTTTGCGCGCTTTATGCACCAGGGGGGAAACATTTAAACCAGCGGCCCGATTCGGGGAAAGAGGAGTCTCGTTCTCGGTCAACCGTCGCCTTGTTACGAGGCCAATGTTGAAAACGAACAGAGGGAGATTGGCCCATGGGAGCATGGGCATCGGCGCTGTCGCGTGCCGCTTTCCGCTTTCCGCTTGCCGCGGCGGTGGGCGGTGGCTGCGAGCTGAGCCTAGCCTTCGGCCCTCGCTCGTCGTCTCCGGCACTTCGGCGATGCCCAGGCAAGGTTCGGAGGACCAGGGCGGAAAATTGCCAGTTGGGAAGTTTGGGTCGGTCGGAGTTCGGGATTGGGAACGTACCTTTTCGCCTTCTGCGCAAAGGTGCTGAAGTGGAATTCTCCGGTTTGGGTTCGCTTTCTCCGGCTCGGGTTTCCTGTTCTTGCAGTTTATTGCCGGTTTATTGCCATCCTTGTAACAAACGTATCGGCTGGTTTTTTTGGCCTTCCAGAAACGCTCATTCCAGACGCCGGAAAAACGTGAATGGGTTTGTCACTGGCTGTGATAACCCCTTTCAATTTTGCGGGAGCGTGGAGTCGGTCTCCCCTGGGGTTCTTCTGGAAACAAGACGGCTCGGGTCTTTACTCGCGTTCACTACTCCGCTCTGCTCCGCTCGGTCACAGTGATGGACAAAGTGGAAACCAAAACACCATGGAGCCCTTGTTCTTGCTCCTCGACATTCTTGCCATCTCCGAAAAGTTTGATGAATATAAACCGGGGTCATCTTAGCTCGCGTGGCTAGGTGCTGCCTGGGAGAAATGAAAACACCCGGGTGGAGGCAAGAGGAGCATGTTTTGTGTGAGTATAGCCTTTACGGCTGAAGCAAGGCTGACCGTGTTGCTGTCGTCCTGGGTTGCCTTGCCTTGAGCTAGCATCACCACGCCGAAACTCAGCGATGGTTCCCATGGCTTCACCTGTTTGAGCAAATGTACGTGTCTCGTTTGTGTCAAGCTCAGTATGGTCAGGTTGTTCCATACTATTATATTCGTCTAGACTAGACCACTTTGCGGTTAACGGCAGCTGTGGTTGTCGGCACTTTCACATGAATTATAGGAGTTCAACTAGTTGAAGGTTGAGCCTTTACGCCAATTCAACGTCTCCGGGATTCAAGTGCTAGAGCCTTCTTCGGATAACATCTCGAGGCTGGGTGGCAATGTCATCCTTCGTAATACCTTCGTGATACCTCCATGACTTGTCGTTGTTCGCCTTCCACCCAAAAGCCAGAGCGTCCAAGACGCCGGCAAGCCCGAGATCGTCCATGGACCATAGCCAGGAGGCATCACGGGCTCCTAGTTGTTGCTTCATGTTTGTGTCAGAAAGTTTGCGTTTGTGTCATTATTGGGCTCCTTCTCGGCGGCTCCGAGGTTAGGAACAGATGTCGGCCCGGCTCCTGACTCGGGCTTCCGGGTGGCAACCCGGCGAACGTTGGAGATCCCGGCTGCGGGTTGGTCTTCGTTTTGCATGCGAAACTCGGAGCTTGACCCGACCGTTTCAAGACTCGGGCCGGAGAAAACAAGAACGCCACTAACAGATATGTACAACGACCGTTATGCGGAAGCCCCCGCCCCATGGTGGTTCTTCCTGGGGTTCAAGCATGACGTCTGCCCAGAAACTTTGAACCAACGTTGCGAAAATCAGCTTCGAGGTTAACGCATGACCTTGGTTCTTGTCTCCCGGTATTGAATAAAGAATGGACAGCGAGATGAACTTTATATACGTGTGTGTAACTCGTTGGCCTCGTATATTCCCAAGCACTTGAATACCAATCGAAATATGGGATGTGTTGGGGTTCGAGGACCTGTATAGCGAAGTAGAGCCCCGCGAGGAATATGGCAGGTGAAAGAGAATGGTAAAGAAACAGGGACCACAGAATGGGAACTTGGAAAGGACGGGCAAAGGGGACAAACATAGAAGAGAGGTGGCCATCTCCATCTAGGAGGAGATCTGAGTATCGAGTGCCGCAGCCTGCGTGATATCTTCTGTATCTCATCCTACCCACACGAAACGTGGCGTCGCGAGGTATAAACATCCCTCTCAACTTTGACGCTATCCCGGAACGCAAGTAATAAATACTGATGTGGAGAAAGCTCCCCGGTTTATGTATCTCGGCGATGAGAAACACTCGGAGGCCCCTTGAGGCTGCTCCCATCTCCTATACTCAGTCACGACCCTTGTTTAAGGCTCATTACTGAGCACAGGTTCGAAACCTAAATATAGGCGGTGTCAATGGCCAGACTCTTCGAAAGCAACTGGGCTTGATATTGGACATCCTGCCCCCATAGCACCGGCCTCCGTTGGGGTACAAGCACACTGCAATGCTGTGGTCATATATTTCCCTCTTTGACAAGCTCATGATAACCGACATACCCTCCATTAGACGTCTTCTGACAACCATTAACATTCGAGGTACCTTTGTGTACATAAGCCTGACAACTAGAACGATAAACACCGCCCGGACCTTAGCATCACCCTTCTTACATTGATCCTAGTGCTCCAGGAGCCCCTTATATAACTCATACCCATACTACGAGGCAAACCCAAATCATAAATAACACCAAGTCTATCGCTTAGTCCTCCAAGTGCCGTTCACAGTCACAACAAACATTTGCCGCGCGCTACAAACAGGGCTGCATTCATCCCCACCCAGCACCACATGGCCGAGACTCCGAGAACGGACACCGAGCAATACCATTTACACTCGCCCACCACGACTTCACCCACGCTCACTCCGACCAGCACTTCACCCACCACTCGCCCACAATCACTTCACCACCACCACCACCCCACCCTCCTCTCCTCCACCCACGCACCCAAGCCTTCACAAGCCCCAAACTACAAGCCCCAAGTCCTCACGCCTACGGCACACCCCCAACACCAGGGACCTCGATCGTGTGGGCACCCAGCCCGCAAGACACCCTCGCCCACAATCCCCATCGGCATCTCCAACGTCCCACGATTCCCGTGACACATCTTCAAGATTCTCTCAACCTGCCTACTGACCTAAGAAAGGGAGGAAATACAAATCAGCTTCCCAAGATGGAAGAGGTTTCCTCGGCGGAGAACAGAGGATAGCAGTGCAACGGATAATTAGTTATGGGATTGCGCTCGTAGTACCATACGATGCTGTCACGGCTTACCAGCTGATGTAAAAGGGTGGGTTAGGGTGGAAGAAGCAACGCCTCGCTTCTAGCCACAAGGCCTGCCAACAATGCATGGGGCGCTGCTTGGCGGAGGGTCTCACATCGTCCGAGGAGGACTAGGACTGCACGATAGTTCGAGATATCTCAACGGGGTTAGTTTCCCGGAGCTGGAGTCATAGGACAATCGCGCACGGAGCGAGAAACAATCAAGTGCCGGGTTGAGGAACAGAAAAGGGAAAGTCTATATTCGTCCAGCCCAGAACGACCAAGGGTCCTAGCCTGTATTAAAAAGCGCAGGAATCCGCCAAACCGCCCGCTCTAGAGTGAAATCGACCGAGGAAATAACATTGGCGAATAGTTTATCCCGACGAGAGGTTGAGCTGATGCCCTTCCTGCCGCACCACAAAAAGAACGGCGCCGCTTAATGCTTTGCCGTGACCTGGTCGCCCGTAAGCTTCTCGACATACGTCTTCGCCCTGTTTTGAAGAGTTAGTCATGTTGGATCAAAAGCGGGAATAATGAAGAAATGGACGTACATGTCACCCATGGCAACCATGCACACCGTCTGCCAGATACCCAGGCCGATGCGGGGCGCGACGCCGCGGTACAGGCCCTTGATGCCGTTGCTGTCGTAGATGTACCGGAAGGTGTTGCCGACGGTCATCTTCTTGGGACGGTTGGGGTCGTCCTTCTTGCTCTGCATCTCGACACGGATGACCTCGATGGGCTGGTTCCAGGCCGAGAGGCCACCACCAAGAGCCGAGGCGGTGATCTTCTCAAAGGCATTCAGCTTCTCGCCGTGCTCCTTGTGGGTGACCTTGCGGATGCCCTGCTCGGCGAGCCGGCTCAGACCGAAGCGCGAGCCCCAGTTGGTCATTTGACGGATGGCGACGGCGTTGACACCCCTGTTGATGCCGCGAATACCCTCGCGGCGGTAGATGTCCATGAAGGTAGCCCAGGTACCGGGCGCCTTTTGGCCTGCGGCCGCCACCTTGTGCTTGGTGATCTCGACCGTCTTCATGCAAGTGCAGAAACCCATGGTCGCGTATGCCTGAGCAACACCGCCAGTCACGCCGCCAATGATACCGCCACCGAACTCGTTGGCGCCCGCGTTGCGGGCATAGTATTCAGCCTCGGAAGCGACAAAGAGCAGCACGGCGCCCTTGGTCGACGCTTCGATCCAAGCCCAGGGAATCAGACCCTGGTAAACTGTGAACGAAAAACCCAAAGGTCAGCAGCGGTTCGCAAGGGAGACGATCTCTGCCAATCGGGGCGATGTAACCTACAGCCGAGAATACCACCGCGGTTCCAGATGCGGCCCAGAGCTGTCGCGAAGCCATCGCTGCGGTGAGCGGCCATGGTGGTTTTGGTGACCTCCAGGGGCTGACCGAGGGTGGTGACCTCAAACATGTTGAGCCCAGCGCCCAGCAGCAAGTTGGAGAACTTGATGGGCTTCTTCTCCAGCTTCTGCGGCGACGAGGCCGGGGCGGGGGCGACAGCGGCGGACATGACTAGGCGGATGTTGCGACAAAGGGGCCCTGACCAAGGGAGGAGGTTGCTTCTTCGCGGGTGAGGGGGTGAGTACGCGGGGTGGTGGGAGAAACGCGGAGTCTCGGCAGAGATGTAGTGGTTAGACGGATTGGCGGATGTGCGTTTCTAAGACTCTCCGGAAGAAATAGGCGGTTACTAGGTGGATTGCTTGATGAATCGGCTTGAGGAGGACCCTAATTTGCACGTGTTACCGATGGGAGCTCGTCATGGTGGGTTTCAACTGGCTGGGCTGCTGCCCAAAGAGGAGTCCCCCCGGGACGAGGTTCGTTTTGTCTACCCGCGGCAATGCGGACAAAGCGGGCAATGCGACATAGCTTAGGGTCCACACTTACAGACGGGATGCGCTTCGATGCGGATTCCGAGCGATTGACGCGAATGTTTGACAGTGAGGAAGTTGGCGATGGTTGGAAAGGAATCGGGAACAGTCGGGGGACTGAACGGGATGTACTTTTTGAGGCTGACACCCTGGAACACCCGAAAAAAAATCGCTGGTGTCTGAGTTGGGGAGAGGGGCATCGGGCACCGGGCGATCGTGCTTGCTTGGTTCGGGCTCTTTGTGCCAGGGGGGAGGCGTGCACCTCAACAGACGTGTCTCATTGGCTAGTTTCCCCTGGGCCACTCAACGCCTTCCTCGGCAGCTCAACGCAATCCGCTTGGGGTTTGGGACGATCTTCGCGGACCCGGGATTTTGGGGGACGATTTTTAGAATTTGGGCTCCGAATTTGTGCGACTTCGGCTTGTTGGCATCACCGCCTATGAACTATCCAAACCGCTGTTCGACACGTAGACAACATGTCTCTGCTTCGCTGTCCCTAGAATTCGATTGATCCAGTTGATCGAGATACAGCTGCTCAGGTCGGTTGGATGAACCTCTGTCGGAGCTCAACCTAAACGGGGGCGAAGCCGCAATCCTCCGAGGCACTCTCGGGCGATGCTCGGTGCCCCGAGGCCGGAGGCCGCGATACGGACACCATGCGAGGTCAACCATGCATGCATTTGCGGACCTCCGTCCCTTCTCCTACTTCGTACATCTTCCGCTCGGAATCGGAATGCTTACTTGCTGTGAACTTTTCATTTTTTGGGCCCGGAGTACGGAAACTGTATCGTACAATCGCAATGGATAGCCATCCGCCCAGTCAACCCCCGTGCCGGGCTGGAGAAACCGCCCAGATATCCCATCCATTCTATACATGATATAACCGTAAACGAACCCCTTCACGCCGTGCCCAGCAACCCAACCCTATGCGCGCATTGCGCCAGTATTACAGCCTTTTACAGCTTCTTGCAGATCTCGACCCACTTATCCGTCGAGAAGCTCTTGGGGCTGCACACGTTATCATGTCAGCGGAACGGTTCGGGGTTGCATCGAGTGGGTGGGGGTTGCTTACCGCTCGATGGGGGCGCCAACGGCGCGGTCAATGATGAGCTGGGGAAGTACACCAATGGCGCGCGAAACACCAAAGAGGACAGTGTAGTAGTTGGCCTCAGTCAGGCCATAGTACTGGAGGAGAACACCAGAGTGGGCATCGACGTTGGGGTACGGGTTCTTGGTCTTGCCGTGCTCGGTGAGAACCTTGGGGGCGATCTTGTAGACCTGGCTGACCAGCTTGAACATGGGGTCCGAGGGCATCTTCTCTGCAGAGGGGGTCAGTAACCATTTCCATACGCGTTTGGTAGCGGCTCAGTCGCCGGGGGAGGGTCAGAATCGGCTTACCCTGAGCGAACTTGCGCTGGGCAGAGTAACGCGGGTCGGTCTTGCGGAGGACGGCGTGGCCGTAGCCGGGAACGACACGGCCGTTGTTCAGGGTGTCCCAGAGGTACTTGGTAATGGCCTCGTCGCTGAGGTCGTCGCCGACGACCTTCTTCATCTCGGTAAGCCAGTTGAGCACTTCCTGGTTGGCGAGGCCGTGCAGGGGGCCTGCAAGACCGTTCAGGCCAGCGGCCAGGGACAGGAAGGGCGAGCTGAGAGCGCTGCCAACCAGATGGGTGGTGTGGGCGCTGACGTTACCACCCTCGTGGTCGGTGTGGATGGTGAGGTAGAGACGCATGAGCTCAATGAAGTCGGCGTTGTTGCCGAAGCCGAGCTGGTTGGAGAAGTTGTACGCATAGTCCTTGTCCTTCTCAGCGGCGACGACCTTGCCGCCCTTGAAGACGTTCTGGTAGATGCGAGCCGCGATGGTGGGGAGCTTGGCAATGAGGTCCATCGAGTCCTCGTAGGTGTAGCCCCAGTAGTCCCTCTTGTGCACGCCCTTGGCGTAGGCGCGAGCAAACGACGAGGTCTGCTCGAGAGCGGTGACGGCCATCGAGAACTGAGCCATGGGGTGGAGGTCGGTAGGGCAGCGGTCGATGAGCTCCTCAACGAACTTGGGGATCTCGGAGCGGGCAGCCCAGTCGGCCGACAGCTCACGGACCTGCTGCTCCGTGGGGACCTCGCCGGTCAGGAGAAGCCAGAAGAGACCTTCGGGGAGAGGCTCGTTGCCACCGGGGGCCTTGGGCAGGAGCTCCTGGCACTCGGGGATGGTCTTGCCACGGAAACGGATACCCTCCTCGGCGTCGAGGACGGAACCTTCCCACACCAGGCACTTAATGCCACGAGCGCCGCCATATACTTGGTCAAGGGTGACCTTGTCGATGACCTTGGAACCGTGCTCCCTATTTGCGACAGGGCGTCAGCAACATGCACAACGGCGTGCGACCAGCTAAATGGCGAGGGCGTTCATACTTCCTCAGGGCCTTGATCTGCTCAATCTTCTCTGGCAGAAGCTCGGCGAAGCGCTCCTTCAATGTCTGTATCAAGGTTACACGGTCAATGGATGATGTCAGGCTGCAGAGGGCGAGGCGGGACGAGGTCTATGTACCTGGCTCTTGGAGGAGTAGCATCTGGCGGCCGTGAAGGCGGTGTTTCTGTAGAAAACCGAGGGTGCCCTCAGGGAGGCCCTCATCGTGGAGGTCGCTAGGCGCATAGCGGGAGCCATGGTTGGTATCTGAGGTGTGAGGCTTGAAAGGTGGTCAAGGAGGTGAGGAAGGACGGAGGGAGAGAAAAGTTTCGGGCGACCAAACTTTAAAAAAAAACCCGCAGCCCCCAGCCGGACACATGGGGGCGGCACCTGCAACAACGGACCAACCGGGGTTCGGAACCAAGGCGGGCTGCCCCAAAAACATAGGTCATTGCAATGCCAACAACGCCTGCTGTTTCCCGCACCCTACACCGTACCTCAAGGAAGCATCGCAATTCCCGATCTCACCCGTAGCGGTCCGTTGGATCAGGAGGATGCCCATTCTGGTACCAGATAAGATATCTACAGAAAATGTACTCATTTTTGGGTTCTTGACAGCTTCTCTGGGCAGCTCACACTGTTCGTCCCCAACAACAACAAGAGAGGTCCATGCTTTTTATGAGCTGCTGCAAGGTGTGGCCATTGACGTCACGGCGCTTGATGGAATCGGCGCATCACTTGAAACAGTTGGGAGAGGGCTTTCAGCCGACTGATCCAGGGTTGTGATGCTGCTGGTCTTACAAGTCGAGTTGATATTATGGAAGTGGGGGACTAATTGACACCCACAGCCCCGGCCCGAGAAAACTGTTCCTCAACTGCGTGCTTGGCCGTACTGTGCAAAATGTTTTGTTGGTGTTGGTCGGCTTCTCGGTCTTTCTGTCCTGGGCGACCGGAGGTTTGGCACCAGCCGCCACACATCCGGCTTAGTCAACCGGCACCTGCAAACTTGCCCGGGTGATTTCTGGCTCGGGGAAATGTGGGTCAAACCAGATTCTGAGAAAAGGACGCCCTCAGTTCTCCTTGTTCGGCCCCTCCTTCTTTCATCCCACAAAGAACTGGTGTTGCTGTTTGCTGCGACCCCCTCCATCGATTTTTCCACAACGCTCCATCCGAAGACATCCTCATCAATTCCAAAATCACAGTAGCCCCGGTGCAAGTTTGCTGGTCTTGAGGTCGACTCCGCGACTGGTGCAGCTGGTTGAAATACTATTTGCACTGCGCAGAATCTGCTGGTGCCGTCGCGGTTTTCGCAAGAGCGGGCGTCACGTCACAGTGTTCCGGGCCAGGTCCTTTTCCTTTTCGCCTTTCAGCACCTTCTAAGTCAGCCCTTCGCGCCATTACCCTCGCCCTAGTCGAAGTTTCGTAATCCGTTGATTGCAGTCTCGCAAAAGAGTGCATCGACGAAGGCTGGAACTTCCCAACAGGCACCGTACTTTCGTGACTTTTGGAGCATGTCATAGACCTTTCTGCCTGTCAACTTGGGCAATTATCGTACTTTATCGCGAAACACGCGCTCCGTCAAAAACTCTTGATCAGCCATCGCCTGCCATTGTTTCACCATGGCATCATCGGTTGTAGCGGAGCTAGAGGCCGGCCTGCAAGGCATGCTCTCGCTGAAGCCACCAGGAGTATCTGGTTCCCGAATCACAAATATCACGTCGCTATGTGTCGACAACGTCCAGGTGAGCAGTGACAAGCCCACGCGAATTCACGCGAAAATCTTGTGCGGCACAGTTGTTTGGGCTAACATCGCCTCTTTCACAGTATGAATCGGTCCTGATACAAAAGCTATTCACACATTTCAAGAAAACACCCGGCACACACAAACTGGGAGTACTCTACGTCGTAGACTCTGTAACAAGGAAATGGTGGGAGCAGGCCAAAGCTCGAGGGCAAACACCAAGCCTCTCGGCGCCAGACGGGTCATTCGCTGCGGGTGTGCATAGAGTAACAGAACTGATACCCATCTTGATGAACGACATCATTGCTACGGCACCAGAAGATCAAAAGGTACGCAGAGAACATCGCATTGAATGCCACCTGATTCCTAGGAATATGCCAGCAACATGTGAGGCGAGCCCAAGATGACCCCATTCACGGGAACACCGCGATTCGCGACTCAAGAGTCAAAAGTCGCGACGAGGGCATTACCTCGAGGCCCACCTCACTTGCGTTCTGAGAACTCGTACTTTCACTTTCATGATGGATGGACACTCACAAGGATCGTCACCCGTAGGAAAAGATTAAGAAGCTTGTCGATATCTGGGAGAAGGGCCAAACGTTCCCTGTTTCTATGGTCAACTCCTTCAAGGAGAGACTGAATGCTCCGAGACCCACGAGTAGGTTTACCCTAAGACTGCCCTCACCGCTTTGTCCTGGAACACGCTTCAGCGTCCAATTTGCTCTAACCATACCCCTGTCGACAGATGCCTCAACAACACCACCTGGCAGCCCGCCTCCCAACCCTTTAGCCTCGCTTGGTTCTGGTAGCAAAGTGGCAGCAGCGCCATCGGCAAACCAAGCGGCCCCGAACATCATCTTGGACAGGCTTGCGAGCATTGCGCGACAGAATGCTTCGTCTGCGCAGAGTAATCCCAGCCTGGCAGCTTTGGCTCCGGCGTCCACCCCGGCTACGGCACCTGTGTTCAGTGCACCCGGTGGTCTGCCTAGTAATGCCGCCATGCAGGCCGCTCCGGCGCCCGTGCCGGCGCAGCTGGGCATCTCGTACCTGCCGACGTCTCAAGCAACTGCCCATCCTGTAAATGCACCAGGACTGCCGTTCACGTTTCCACCAGCGATGCCCGCACAGACAGGGCCTCCAGTTGCCCCGGGTGCCGTCCCGCCGCAACAGAGCGGCTCAAGTAATCCGGCTGCTGCGACTGTGCAACTCGTTGCAGCCTTGGCCGCTCAGGGTATTCCCATTGACAAGATCGCGACCGTAATTTCGATGATGGGCCAAGCGGGCACGATGCCCGCCGCAGCTCCGCCTCAGATGCCCCAGCCCACCCAGACTGGGTATGCAGCACCTCCTCCAGTCGGCGGTGGCCCTGCTCCTTGGGACGCACCTCGACCGGACGAAACCCGTGATCGTGGTAACTATCATGACGGCATGAGGTCGCCGAACCGACACCGCGGCAGGTCCAGGTCGCGCTCCCCTTCACGTTGGGATAACCGGGGTTCTCCTAGATCGCGCGCGAATGACCGTAGTTTTGACTATGGACGCCCTGGCTCACCTGGCCGGGGTCGTGTAGATGACCGGCGCGGGCAAATGCCCGATTACCGCCAGCGGTCTCCTCACGGGCGCCACGGCGACAGCCCGGGCCAGGAACCGTCCCAGCAGGAGAAGTGGGTTGAATATGACAACAACATTCCCAGCAGCAGCATTAAGGTGTACAGTCGAACCCTTTTTGTGGGCGGTGTAACGTGAGTATCAATCACCCTTGCGTATCCTGCGTATCCCGTATGGACATGGCTCACTGACGATCCCTAGTTGTTCCGAGAGCGAGCTCCGTGGCATCTTTAGCCGCTTCGGCCAAGTCCAAACCTGCATTGTCAACAAGGACAAGCGCCATGCCTTTGTCAAGATGTTCTTCCGCAAGGACGCCGAGCGGGCAAAGACCGCTATGGAGGACATGCGCAGCCAGGACTTTCAACTCAGAGTAAGCCTACGCTAACCCCACCCCGCTCTTCGCTGAAACCCCTTTTGTTAACCATGCCACCATCCGTAATAGACGAGATGGGGTGTAGGCTTTGGCCCCCGCGACTGCAGTGACTACCAGAGCGGAGTCAGCATCATTCCCATTCATAAGCTGACCGAAGCCGACCGCAAGTGGATGCTGACCGCACCCTACGGCGGCTCTGGCGGCCGCCCCATCGTTGGCGGCCTGTCGGTCGAGGAACCCGATATCGAGATCGGCGCCGGCGTCTCATCAAAGGCCATCAGCCGCCGCATGCAGACCGACAAGGGCGGTAACCACGGACCCAAGTCGAGCAGACATGCCGAGGACGAGCCGCCCGTCGGTTTCGGGGGACATGCCAACCCGCAGGCCCCTGGCCACGGACACATGGGCGGCGCGCCCGTCGGGCCCACCAACAGCGCTGCTAACAACCCTGGCGGTCCCCCCGGTGGCCGGTGGCGCCATAAAGGCGCGGACAAGCACCACGGCGGCGGCGGTGGGCGCGATGCGAGAAGAGGCGGCGACGATCGAAACGATGGCCACCACAACAATAAGGGTGGCAACGCCGACGAGCCCATCGTCATGGATCTACCCGCGGGTATCACTATGGGGCCCAACGGAATTAATTACCCGCCCAACTTTTCTTTCGGCGCCGCCGCCTCGCACCCCTAGGCTAGTGAACACCGTGGGCGCTGCTCCGAGAGTGTTTGAGGGGCTTGGGGAATCTGGTGCTATTTAGCTTCTGGCGTTGGGGTGGGAAATTTACCCAGGTGCCGTCTTCAGCTCTAGGGAGGAGGTTGGTTCTGAAAGCGGTTCATGGGATCAGGCGGTTCTCTGCATACTCTTCTTCTTCTTTACCTGATTCGTTCACCGTTCTTGGTTTGCTTGTATACACTACTTTTTTGTCTCTTCTGTTTCGAGCAGCATCACGGACCTATCACGGACTGGGGACGACATCATGGGACACGGGCTGTGGTTCGAGGAAGTTGCGATGGATTTCCAAGACAGGTCTTCAGATGACGGGCTGGCTGGCGTTGGGGGGGGGGGGGGGGGGGGGGGAAGGTGATGCTTTTGAGGTTCGGATGGCGGCGGAACACATGGAATACCACCGTGATCTTCTTGCCTTAAAAATGTTTTTTTTTGGGGGGGTGACACTCTTGTTTTACGGGTACTGCGTAGAGACTTGCAAGTGAGCGAGAAGGGAACCTCGTCCTATAACCTGATATTCATGCCCCGAGGTGTGAGGGAGTGAGAGAAGCTTCGCGCTCGGGTTGAATCCCCCGGGGGTCGGTGCCTCGGGCCGAGAGGTCGCACCAACGGTCCGAGTTTGTTGTGTCCCAGGACGTTACAGTTGTCCGATCTTCGGACATTTATCACGAGCACCTAAGGCAAAAACACGGGCAACTCTTTTAGGTTTACCCCCTAGTATCGTTTGCGTTTCGTTGTACAGTATGAAGTTCGTTTCGATGAGAGAGATGCAGAGCTTCGTGTAGACGAGACTGTAAGTCCCCACTCTACTCGTAAAGTGCAAGTAGAAATGGCCTGATATTATAGGAGAAATGCTAGTAGAATAGCACTATGTGTTTACCGGAGTGCTTCTCGCTATACATAATAGCCTCTAAACGAAGACAAGTAGGTAACACGGAAGGAGAACGAAAGGTCGAAAAGACCAGACGAGAATAGTAATTAGAGAGCTAGTAGAACGCTGCTGGTCATGCTTACTCCAGGTAGCCAAATGTACCTGGCTCTGCTAGGGATAGACTAACAGAGAGAGCCTTCGTTGTACACAGCAATTGACGTTGCATGCATCCATCTCTATGGAGTTCCGTTGCCGTGGCCGTTACATTTTTCTTAGGTTTAGCATTGAGCAAGCACAAGTAATGAAGTTCTCTCTCTAGCGTTCGAGTCCTACCGGAAAACCATTTATATAACAGTAACGGTGCTTATATATATACACATATTTGAGAAAGCTGAGCGGAATAACAAAGTTTAACTTACTAAAAGTAAACTTTTGTTACCTCTTTTATATTATACTATAAGCTATATAACAGATGGTTTTATATAATAATATCTAACTAACTTAGCTAAATAATTTATAATATATATATAATATAATTATTTAACATTTATCGTTAAATAAACTTACGTTAAAGATCTAAAAATATATTATTATTCGTATATTTTACTTGTGCATGTGAAAAGAAGAATATATTCGAGATAATTAATGTATATTCGAACTGATCTCCTTCGGTGGTTGTTTACAATGTACAGTACGATAACAGCCCGTCCCTTCAAATAGTAAATTACTCTTCCTCTTTGAGAAGATAGTCATCTCCTAACTTCAAGTCAACCCCATCTCTATCGAGACTAATCCTTGTCTCCTCAGTCAATGCCTCAACACTGAAATCCAAGCCGTTGTTTGTTCTATGCCTAGCTTCAAGATTATCCACCTCCCTTGGTGGCCTAATCACATTCCCTTGGTCCCGGCGCCTACCCATAAAGCGCCACAAGGGTTTCGACGCCCCTCTTGCTGCATAGCCTCCCACTGTGCAAGGAGTGGTTGGTTCGGATCTTCATTAAGATGCATCTCCCGCCGGAATAGGCCTGTCTCGGCATATCGTGGGCCTTGTACAACACCGATTGTAGGGTTGAAATGTCGTTCGAGATATAGGTTGTCAAGGTAGCCCCGCCCTATTGTAGGCCCTGATTCCGACGCAATGAGGCGTCCCTCAGCATCAAGAGTTGGCGCTGGAGGGTCCGGGTGGGGGGTTATGGTTGGCGGGCGCAGGATGGTCCTGAAGCCCCTTGCGCCTGGCAATGGCACTTTTATCGATGTCATCGATTGTGCCTTCTCTTCGTCTATAGAGCACATGAAAACACGGCCACTAGCGTCCCCAACTACGAGGCGCGACTTGTCCGGACAAAACATGCCCGCTGTGATAGGTGCCGGGGCTTGCAGCAGGTTTCGAACGAGCGGTTTGTCTAAAGAGCGGACGTTCCAGACTTTTACCACACCATCTGAGGAACCGGTGTAGAATCGATCGGGGGTGGTGCCCCACGCGCAAAACTTTACCCCCACGTCTTCTCGTTCCCGATCACCTCGGCATTCGTCGATCGGCTGGCCGTGTCGAAGGACGTGGATGGGTTTGTCGCCTCGAGCTGTGTCCCACACGTACGTATTGCCATCCGTACAGCCGGCTGTGACATAACAGAAGGAGAAGCTGTTTGGCCTAAAGGGGAAGTGAGAATTAGCAGGGGGGAAAAAGGTAGTTGTTGGGGTGAGGTGGGGGATTTAGGGAGGAATTTACATGATTGTTAGCTCGTTGATGTCGATTGCTGTGCAATCGAGCGTCTTGATCGGGCTGTACGCCTTGACGCCAAATTCGTCTTTATCGGCCGGCCGGAAAATCCTGATCTGTGTACGCACACTAGGCTCCAGATCAAGGCCTTGCGGCGACGTGGCAGCGATGAAGGAGTCCTGGGTTGGATGCCACAGGACTTCAAACACGTTCTGGGTCGTAGCAGACGTGACTCGCCACCTCTCGCCGGTAATCCCATCCCAAAGACACAGTTCCCCCGAATCCCGGCGAAGCTCAGGGATATCGTTATCATCCCCCGTCCGGCTTCGGGGCGAGTAACCAACCAACAGAAGGTGTCTGACGTTGGGTGCGAGACCCCACTGCATGGTAGCAGGGTAATACGCCCACTTTTCGGTAGACACGATATTTCCTCTCTCGTCCGTAACGCGAGAGCATGAGTGAGGCCGAAAAGGGGACCTCGAGATGTCGGTGGCGTTAGAGTTGTAGATACGGATCGCGTCAGCCGCAACATCGGCTGCCGTAGCGACCATACCGGACTCATGTTTGGAAGCGGTAACGAAGTTCACGTTGCCGTCGTGCTTCCACTCACCCAAGAGACTCATCGACGATCCCGACTTCTCTACCTTCCAAATTTTGACCGTTCGGTCGAATGAGCAGGTGAATGCGCGGTCGTGGGCCTCGTCGTAGTCAGAGGATACCACAGATGAGTAAAGCCATGGATCTTGGCTCTGTCGCATAGCTTCGGTCGAGTTCTCCCCTTTCTCGACAACCGGCCGGACGATGCGATGCTCTGGGTAGGCGCGGAGCGCTACATTAGGGCAAGACCCGAGTACCAGGTTCCCGGGCTTGTTGTATTGCTGATTGTGGGCGTCCGAGTGCTCCGTGGTGCCGCACAAAAACCCGTCGTTGGACACCCAAGTGATGGTGAATATGTCCCCCGCACAGCCCGTCCATTCCGCTTTCTTTTCTAACTCGTCCTCCCGGCATGTTCGAAACTCATTGTGAAAGTTCCGTAGACACCTTGTTGCCCCTAATCGCTGCCCTGATATTTCTCTTGCCAGGAGGAGGGAAGGTACCCGGCTTGAGCGGACAAGCTCGCCTCGCTGGTCGCGGTCGTCTCTCCCGATAGTGAGTATAACCGGCTCAGAGCTTGACTTCCGATAGTATAAGTCCTGAACTAGATTCCTGACGTCCTCCCTTGTCCGCCCGGGAAGCCGGCCCTCCCGTTCGAATGTATCCAGGACCCGTGGGACAAACTGGGGATTTTTGCGGAGAACCTTCCAGAGGTCCTTTTTTGGGTCCTTGGTTTCTTTCGTCTGCGATAGTTTGAGGGTGCGCCGGCTGAGGCTTCGGAGGTGCTTGATCTCCTCGGTCGAAAAATCGACGTGAAACGTGACGGGGTCGACAAGACTAGTCGGGTCAAGCTCAACGGCGCCTTGAGCCCCCTGGACCATCAACGTTCTCTGTGACGCTGTAAGATAGGGCCGTCGCCGTCCAGAGGCCCACCTTGCCCCTAGGTTAGATGCGTCTTGACCCGTAACACAATCCTTTCCTCGCCAGACGAGGGTATGGGCCTCGGTCCTCCAATCTTGCGGCGTGCTTTGATGTCGCCGCGAGATAATTGGTTGCGATGGCCGAGCTGGAGGAACGACAGATGGGAGAGGAACTGCTAAAGGTATGGAGGGAGCTGGTGCCGGGGTCGGAGCGGGGGCGGGTGCTCGGGTTGCGTTCGGCGACCACCGAATAGCGAGCAACGGAGGCGCGGCAGGCTTGGGCGAAGTGTACCCTGGTGTTTCCCTAGCCGAAGGCGGCGTACGAGATTCGAAAGGCTCTATAGCTGCAGGCGTCGTCCCAATAGACACCGGCCGTTGCCGAAGAATCTCGGGATCGTCATCTAGAGCAATCACCTCAGGCGGAGTTCCCAAAGCACTTGATGACGCGGCTACGCTGGCCGGCAACAACACCTCGCCAGCCCCGTTTGGCTTGGTATAGCCATTTTGTGGTGTATTGCTCGGGAGGGCAGGAACAGGAATCGGCGAAAACGAAAACCTTGGCGTCGGTGAGGGTACTGAGATGGGACGGACCGGGTTTGGCTGATAGACACGGAATTGAGGATCGGGGATTGGGACCGGTGTCTCGACCCGTTGAGGTGCTGGCGATGGGGATGGAGATGGTGCCGTCGATAGGTTGGGAGGAACCAGTTGGTGACCCTAAGCAAGCAGAGCGGGTTAGCATCTCGATCACTCGCTATGGTTTCGAATCGAGAAGCTAGGGAAGGACTGTTTTTACAAGGCGACGGGCAAGCGATTGAACATGCAAGGCGGCAAGATCCGCCAACTTGGCCTCGAACTTCAGGCTTATGGTTCCATCACCACGGCTGTTGTATTCCCGGGAGAATTCTTGCCCGGTCAAGAGGGCGACAACCTGACGAGAACATGTGTGTAAGGGTTTTGGAAAGCGGCAGGACAGAATGTATAACGATGGGATGGGAGAGGAGCACTTACTTGCTTCCCAATTGCCAAAGTGTTCACCCTCTCCTTGGGGAGGGTTGCGATCTGCGCATCGATGTGTGGGAAAACCTGCCTTTGTAGACAATCTACAAGTTTTTGGTGGGAGGTTGGCGGACCCAGGCGTATCCGCTTCGCTGGTGGGAGTTCTGAGGAGTTGTCGGCGTTCGGTAAAGCCTCCGAGGCACCGGTCCCGAGATTGAGGCCCGAGCTAAACGGACTGGTTAACAACGGTCGTCCAGTTACTGGTGATACAGCCGCAATCTGCTGGATCTGGAGGCGGGTAGGCGGAGATGTGGTTGTGGTGGCCGTCGGGCTCATGTCGGAGGTTGTGGGGACATTATGATTCTCGTAGGATATCGCCTGATAATCCTCAGAAATCCAAAGAGACGCGTTATACATTGATTCACGCGTCGATTATTTTACGTACCGAGATTCCATTTGAGGTGTATGTTTTATTTGAAGGTCGGTGGCAAGTTAAATTAGCATCTTGGTTAAGCGAAAAGCCAAGAAACAGCTCATGGAGATACTTACTAAGCAATCAAATAGTTAATTTATAAGATATTATTATTAGTATTTTATTTGTATTTAGTATTAATTATGAATTGAAATTAATAAATGGCTTTTAAGTTACTATATTTAATAACGAGTTTATTTTATATTGAATATTTATAATATTTTATGTTATATTATTTTAGTAGTTTAATATGCCTCTGCAATAGCTCGCGTTTTCTTTCATTTCTAAATAAGATCTGTTTTTACCTTTCTTTTTAAAGATACTTCCTTACATTTAATATCGTTAAGTTCTGTCCTCTTTGTAACACTGAAGGTGCTGGGAGCGTTGCGCTCGTGCTGTGTCCGAACAGAATGCTCTTGTATTCAGTATCGGGAAAGGCTAGGTTATCATATTGAAATGCCATCAGCAGTAAGCGTTTCACCTGAGCACCACTAAGGTTCATTCCATCTCATGCTACAATAGTTTAGACAAGTCACCTCCTCGTCATTCTCGTTTTTAGCTTTTGCCGCCGTGTTATTACGTGCATAGTAACCTAATCTGTCTCGAGCCCATGGGCAGGCTCTGCCTACTGTGACGAACCTGTCTCTGGACCCGTCCTGTTAGGGTTCAGTATCGGTCGAAGGTATTCTCTCAAGGGTGCTTAGGTTCGGTGCAGCCAAAGGGTGCACAACAAAGACTTGTCTCAACAGTAGGCTCTCGAGCTTGTAGCGAACTGTAGTTGTGATTGCTAACTGGAGAACTCCCAGAGCTCTCCAGAACGAGTGACTATATACTATCTAATCCTGTTGCTCATTATGCTCACGAGTCTTGGCTCTGAGCACATTGAGCACCTGGTGCTCATGGTGCTCACGAGTCTTGGCTCTGAGCACATTGAGCACCATGGCTCTCGCTTCTTACTGGCTGAGTGCCTCGTCGGGTGATTGGTCCGGGGTTACTGCCATCATACCCCGCCGGCCGGCTGCATGCGGCCATATCCGTGACACGATGCCCCTCCCCTGAGGTCGACGCCCCGACGACTTGTTCCCTTTGCCAACTTCCTTGAAGTAGAGCCAACAGCCCTAAAATTTCTTGGTAAGTGCATCGCTTCTTCCTTCCGTCATCGACAATCATGCCCCCTAACCGTGTGCGCAAGAATCGTTTTCAGAAGTCCAGCACCGATCGCCGTCGTACTCGGGCCGACATTCTCAGTGCTGTGGCCCTTAAGATGGTGCGCTGCACCCGTTGCAAAGAAAAGCAAATTCCTGATTGTCGTGTCCCTCCCGGGGACGATACCTGCGTCTCTTGTTCTCGTGTTGGGAATGCGTCGTGCGATTCCTTTGGTTACGACGATTCTGCGGTCCGTATTTTGGTTGAGCGGAAACGCCGTCTGGACGCCGAAGAGGCGGAGGCCAACGAAGCGATTCGTTCTGCGAATCAGGCGCTCGTGGCTGCCTTAGCGACGGCGGAGCGCCTCCGCGCCCAGCGCCTTGCCCTGGACAAAAAGGCCCTGGCGATGTTTGAGCAGGAGGGGGAAGTTCTGGCAGAGCAGGAACGTCAAGAGGCCGCTGTCGCGCAACCGACCTCGTCGGGTTCTGCTGGTGCCTTTCCTTTCGATCCCTCCTGGGCCCAGGGGTGCGTCCCTGTCCCGCCTCCCCTTATTCCTGGGTCCCTGCTGATCGTGCTAGTTTTTCTTCGGACGACCCCTTCCTCGCCGGGGTCGATCTGTCCGTGGGGTTTCCTTTGGTCGGTCCGGGTTCCTCTGGTGGAACTCCTGAAGTTTCTCGGGGCAGTTGAGATTCGTAGCTGGTTGCCATGAATTGTCTTCTGGGCCAAAGTCTAGCCATTTGACCAAGTATTCCAACTGTCCTTTCGTGATGCGTGAGTCTAGGACTTCCTCAACGTCCCATTCCTCCTCTTCATCTTCTGCCTCGACGTCCCTGCCGAGTCGTACGTTCTTGGGCGCTGGTTCCAGAAGTGAGATGTGGAAAACGTTGGTCCGTAGTCGCATTGTCGAGGGTAACGCGAGTGCGTAATTGTTCTCCGAAATCTTTTTGTCGATCTTGAACGGTCCGATCTTGCGGAAGTCGAGCTTCCTGCTTGGTCGTTTTGTGCGAAGGTTTCGAGAGACGAGGTAAACTTTATCCCCCTCCTCCAGGCGAGGTCCCTCGAGCCTGGTTCTGTCGTAGAACTTCTTCATCCTTGTTCGTACGAATTCGAGTTCTTCCTTGAGCATCGCGTGCAGCGAGCTCATTTTGTCGGCTTTGACTGCTGCTCTGGGCACCAAGACTTCGGGCCCTTGTCGCAAATCTGCTTCGTAGCCGTAATTCGCGAAGAATGGCGTAACCTTTGTGGTTTCCGTGACGGTGGTGTTGTAGGCGAGTTGTGCCGTTGGCAGCAGCTCGACCCAATCGTCCTGCTGGAAGTTGACATACAACCGTAGGTATTGTTCGACAACCTGGTTGAGTCGTTCCGTCTGTCCGTCCGTTTGTGGGTGGTAAGCGGTCGAAAGCTTACTCTTCGTACCCAGCTTCGTCATCAAAGCTTGCCAAAACTTTGATGCGAACTTGGTGTCTCTGTCCGTGATCCATTCCTCCGGCCAGCCGTGGACCGAGGTGATGTTGCGGTAGATCACGTCTGCGAGTTGTTCTGCTGACCATGTCTCCTTGTAAGGGAGGAAGTAACTCCACTTGGTGAGTCTGTCCACCATCGTGAGGATGCTGTCGTATTCTACTCCCGTTACTGAGTCCTTGGAGACTGGCAGTTTGGTGATGAAGTCCATCGTCACCGAACTCCATGGTCGTTCTGCGACTGGCAATGGTTGCAACAGCCCATATGGCTTGTGTCGTCCTGGTTTGCTTCGTCCGCAGCGGTCGCATTCTGCTAGGACTGCTTCTGTCGCCTGTTTGATTCCTGGGAAGTCGTAGTTCTGCTTGACTTTTGCAATTGTTTTGCTGATTCCCATGTGTCCTCCGAGTCTCGACTCGTGGATCTTTCGAATGAGCTCCTTTTGGTCACCAAGCCTGACGTAGGCCTTGTCGTGGTACCAGAGTCTCGTTTCATCAAGTCGCAATCCCGCGATCTTGGATTCTGGCTCTTCTTGCCATGCATCGCGTTCGTCGTCCGCGATGATTCCTTGGAAGTCTCGTTCCAATCTTTGTTCTCTGAAGGCAGCGCAACATTCTACAAACGGTTGCAGAGGCCTGGCTTCGGGATCTTCCGACTGTTGCTGAAGTGCTGCGATCTCGTAGTCTTCAGTCGGTTGGGAAGCGTGCCGTAGCGATCCGTCTGTCTGTTGATGTAGCAATGGTGGTGAGGCTTCAGACGTGTTGTCGTGATGATCCGCTCTCCTACTCAAGGCGTCCGCTCGTGCGTTCTCTGAGCCTTTCTTGTAGTGGATCGTGAAATTAAATTCGGACAGAAATTCTGCCCACCGAGTTTGTCGTCCGTTCAGCACCTTGGTGGTGGTGAAGTACCGTAAGTTCTTGTGGTCCGTGTACACCTGGACTTCGTGTGTCGTGCCGCTGAGGTATGGTCTCCATTCCTGAAATGCTTCGATGATTGCGAGAAGCTCCTTGTCGTGGATCGGGTAGTTGAGCCTTGGTCCTTCGAGTTTCTTTGAGAAGAACGCAACTGGATGAAGCTTGCCGTCCTTGTCCCTCTGACCAAGTTGTCCTCCGATCGCGAAGTCCGAAGCATCAGCCTCGACTTCGAAAGGCGTGCTTGGATCAGGCAGCATGAGCACCGGGTCGGCGATGATCGCATCGCGGATCCGCTGGAAAGCCTGCTCGTGCTCCCGCTTCCACTGGAATGTGGCATCCTTTTTGGTAAGTTCGTGCAGAGGTCTCGCGAAGTCGCCGAAATTCTTGATGAACATTCTGACGAAGTTGGCGAATCCGATAAATCCTCTGACCTCCGTGGCGTTCGTCGGTGTCGGCCACGTCTTAACAGCTTCCAGTTTCTCGGGTTCGATCTTGACCCATCCCGGGGAGATTTCGTAACCCAGAAACACTGTTTTCTTGACATGAAACTCGCTCTTGTCCTTGTTGACTGACAATTTGTGCTCGTGCAGTGCGTCCAGCACCTGCCGCACGTGTCTCTTGTGTTCTTCGAGTGTTTTGGAGTAGATGAGAATGTCATCCAAGTAACAGACTGCAAATTTATCGAGGCAATGTCGAATTGCGTGGTCGATAGCGGCTTGAAATGTCGCTGGTGCGTTGGTCAACCCGAACGGCATGACGCGGTACTCGTAGTGCCCGTAGGGTGTCCGAAAAGCCGTCTTCCATTCGTCTCCTTCCTTGATGCGGATGTGGGCGTACGCTGTCGGAAGGTCGAGGCGCGTGAAGTATTGTGCCCCTGACAGCTGATCCCGGAGCCTCGAGATCAGTGGCAGTGGGTAGCGGTTCTTCACCGTCTCGTTGTTCAACTGTCGGTAGTCCACACACATCCTGAGCTTCCCATCCTTCTTTGGAACGAAGAGGACTGGGTAGCCTGCTGGAGATGTCGATGGTCTGATGTGTCCTATCTCGAGATTCTTTTCGAGATAACTCCTCAACTCTGCATCTTGCTTCTCGTTGGTGTGGTACACCTTGAAAAACTTCAACTGGGCTCCTTCCTTGAGTTTGATCTCGTGATCCCAAGGTCCGTGGTCTGGTAGCCCTGCAAGATGTTTTGCCGTGAACGCCGGGTGCCCCTTGTAGTCGTCTGGGATCTGCCCCGTCTTTGCGCTCTTCGCCGTACCTTCGTAGTACGCGAACTTGTTGTTCCCAGGCTCGATGCTTGCTGCTTCGAGTTCCCTGACTTCCTCTGCTGCCAGCTCGATGCTTGCCGCTTCGAGCTGATTGACCCATTGTTCGTGTTTGAGCATTCCGTGCTCGTCGACTGAGACGACGGCGATGGTTCGTTCCTCCCGTGTCTGCTTCTTTCGTCGTGTGCCGCTTCTTCCGGACTCCAGAGTGCGTGGT